AAGCATACGATAAGAGTTGTGATCGGCGATCCCTGTTTTATGAGGGTTGTGGCTGTGCTGGGTTGTCCGTTCGAGAATCTCTTCAGCTTTTTCGAAGCCCTTAGCCCTAAACCCCGTCTTCGCATGATGGCGCAACGCCTTCGGCCCCATTACTACGCCCCTCACGCAGCAGTCTTGCATAACTAGCAACATCTTTCCTTCATGATCATGAGAAGTCATAGTACATCTAGCATACTCGCACACCGGATTCGGTCTCTGACGTGTTGTACATCTTCATGCCCGTTTGAGGCGACCCGTCTTCTGTTTTGTCACGGAGCCTGGACCGAACCATGGGTGGTTGTCAAAAACATGGTCCCTTTCTGGGTTCTTAATATCATACGGCTCCTAATATTTCAGGTGCCCAAGAAGGGACCCTATTTTTGACAACTGCCCACATTCATGATAAAGTCGACGTGCTTGACGAAGTGCACAACCTCCCGAAATCCAGTATGAAGAACAGATGCATGGGGAGTTTCAGGACCACATGTCAGCAGCTGGCAAGCGTGTTGGCTACCTATGCATGTGCCTGGTCAAAGGGGGGCTCATAGAGACAAGCCTTGGAAAAGCAGCAGCACAAGAAGGTACGTATAACACCTAAACCCTAAACCATAAACAACCCTAAACCCTAAACAACCCTAAACAACCCTAAACCCTAAACCCTAAGTCAAAAGCTTCAGCTCGAGGTCCAACACCAATCTTATGAAGATGTGTATCCTGACTTCCCCTGAGAGTTCAAGACGTCTATCCCTAGGGGTCAAAAATGGCCCAAAAGCCTTTTTTCAAAAGCCTTAATACATGGGTCCTTAGATCCCCAGGGTATAGAGAGCGTTCTACAGTGCTCAAGTCAAGGTGAGCCTCACGGACTGCGGAGCAACCCTCCACTGAAAAAGATTAAACCTGGAAGCCTACAACGGGCATGTTCCTGGTTTAGGGTTTAGGGTTTAGGGACGGAGGACGTCGTGTTGCCGTCTTCGGGTCAGGGACACCACCGGCCATCTCGCCAGCTATGGCATTCCGATGCCTTGGCTCTGGCCGCCGCTTCATGAGCTTCCGCGGCTACAGCAATAATCACACATGGTGCACGTTGATGGAACGCCTTATTGATCACGAACACCAGCAGAGCGTCGTGGATTGCATCAGCATAGCTAAGCATGTGATAAACCTCACCACCTCCAATGCCGACATCTATACCTGGACACCCCCACGGTGGAAGACGGGTGGCAGCAAGATTTTGGGGCCCGAGATAGTTCCCTCGCACCTCATAATGGTGGCCCTTAACCTCCAGCCCAAACCCTACAGCACGGTCTCCCAATTCGCATCACCGTTAAGTCAAACTTCAAACCTCAAACGGCTCCTGAACCCAAACCCCAAAAGCTCCTCTCATCAGAAGGCTTGCATTCCTCAACCTGCATTGTCCAAAACACATCTCCGTTCAACGATGTAGAGAAGGAAGTCACGATAAGCGAGAAGCCGCAGTAAGCTACCAATGATATTTTTCGGGTTTCCTCATGTTCACTATGCCCCGAAACCGTATTCTAGCTACTAAGGCGCCCCTGAAGGACCGAACGACCCTTAAAAAGTAGGGGCCCTATACCCGTATACTATAAACCCCTATATGGTATATGAACCTTAAACCCTTTTAGGGTTCATCTCGTCCTTAAGGTAATGAAAACCGTAATATAGTGGGCTTAAGAGAACCCTACTACAGATCCCTTATGGCGCCGGGATCCTCAAGTACTTGCCCTCCTTTGGGGATCCCTATGGGCGGTTGTCAGAGTCAAAATTATGCTCATTTTGGGGTCCCGACTTTAATACGGCACCTATCGTTCAGGGTGCCCCAAAAGGGACCCTAATGTTGACAACCACCCTTATCAAGATATTATCATACGCGTCCTTTACGAAGGTAGGTTGTTCAAGGTCCTGGTTGGGGGTCCCGGCTCCTTATAAAGATGTCTTCAAAATACTAAGGGTCCTTAAAACTGCACCCTAAACCCCTGAATCCTAAATAATTCCGAAGCCAAAACCCTAAATCCTAAACCTGCAAGCCCCTAAACCCAACCCCTAAAAGCCCTATAAACCCTAAAAAGCCCTAAACCCCTATAAGCCCCCCTTAAACCCAAGCGTGAAGGAAAGCTCTCCCATGGTCCAGGCCGGATGCAGCCTCTCCTTGCCCTAGAGCCTTGGAGAGCCCGGGCCTCGCCTCGGTTTTTGTTCCTTTAAAGAATTCCTATAAGGGATCTATAATGGGTCTATATTATGAGGGTACTATAAGGCTTGGGGTTCCTTTAAAGGGGCTAAGGGGGCTCCTTTAAGGGATTCTTTAAGGGCTCATTCAAGGGATCCATACGTATGGTTTGGGGGTTTTTGGGGGCTCCTTTAAGGGATTCTTTAAGGGCTCATTTAGGGGATCTGTATAGTAGGATTTTAGGAGCTATAAGAGTTCCTATAAGGGGACTATAGGGCTTGGGGGTTAGGGGTTTTAGGGGTTCAGTGAGGGTTTAGGGTTCGGGGGTGACGGTTTAGGGTGTCGAGTTTGGGTTTGGGGATCCTCTAGCCTACCGTGACCTGTAAGGGCGGAAAATTTAGGCATTTCTGCGTTCGTGAGAAGTCCTTTCGTGGTTTTTCCTGAGGGTTCTGGACGGTTCTGCAAGGGTTCAAAGCTGGAAAGGGCGTTTTGCGACTCTGTAAGGGGAAAAAAGATTCGCTAGGGTTTTATGGGAGTTGAAGAGGTCTGTACGGGGCTTTCAGGTTTTGGGTTTCGGAGAGGTATTGAGGTTTTCCTTAGTGACGAAATGAACCCTAAAAGGGTTTAAGGTTCATATACCATATAGGGGTTTATAGTATACGGGTATAGGGCCCCTACTTTTAAGGGTCATTTGGTCCTTCAGGTTGGCTTCCCAGACATATGTCCCAAGACTTCGGGGATGGTTTGCTGCAGCCATTTCGACAATGGTCGTTTGGCTCTGCATTCCGTAGTATTTAAGGGATGTTGCGTTTAGGATAGGGTTGAAACCCTAAACCCTAAACCCTGAACCCCTAAACCCTGAACCCCTAAACCCTAAACCTTCAGATGTTTCGGTTTTGGGGCTTTGTAAACTGCAGGCCTAGGTTGTTGCAGCTCTGGCAGTTTAGAACCCAAAAGGTCCTATGTACCGATATTCTAGTAAAATGTAGGGTTTCCATATTAGGAATTACTATTATGACTTAGGGAAGTATCCCCCATAACAGTACATAGGACCCTTTGGGGGAACGGTTACAGGTTGGTTTGGTTCGGGTTTAGGATCTATAGGGTTTAGGTTTTTAGTCTTTTGGAATTTGGGGTTTACCATTTGTGAGTTCGGTGTTGGATCGTGCTTTTCTTTAAATAGCCTTTAATGCAAGGCCCTAAACTCTAAACTCTCAATCCCTAAATTTTACATCCTAGACTCCTGAACCCTGAAACTGTAAAATTACCCTCAAACCTCGAACTTATCATTCTAAATCTTGAACCCCTGAGCGCACTTTTTTTTAAGAGCCCTGTAAGTGTGTCTTCGAGAGCTATCGTTCCGGCGAGGTCGTCGTCGGAGCGAAGAAGTTGGGGAACAAAAATGCCGGGGCCTGAAAGGTAGGCAGCTTCAGGGTTCCTGTAAGGGTAGTTTAGGGTTTAGGGTTTAGGGGTTTAGGGTTTAGGGTTTAGGGTTTAGGGTTTAGGGTTTAGGGTCTAGGGTCTACGGTTTCGGGGTTTAGGGGCATCGGGTTTAGGGTTTGCGGTTTAGGGGTTTAGGGTTTAGGCTTTAGGGTTCCTATATTTAGGGGTTCCTGGAAGAGTTCCTGTAAGGGCTTGGCGTTTAAGGTTCCTTTAGGCGTTCCTTTCCGAGCTTCTAAGAGTTCCGTTCCTTTAAGAGATTTGAGGATCCGGGTGGAGCGAGCTTTCTGATGGTCCTTACTGGAATGTATTTCCCTAAAGGCTCCATGTACCCTTATGGTATATACTTAGGCCTTAAAGTACCTACATAGGGACCCCTGCAAGGCTTAAGTATCTACTATAAAGGTACATGGAGCCTTTGGGTTTGGGGTCTAGTAGAGGGCAGTTAGTTGTAGCGTGTGGGTAGGTTGTAGGGTTTAGCAGGTTTGAGACTTTCAAGATTTAGGGTTTAGGGCCTTTTGGCAGTTGGGTTTGGGGTTGAGGAGGAGTTGCAATGTCTGTGTAAATTTGCCATCAACCCTGCAAATGTTTATAATCGGAGGAGTCACATGAACTTTCTCGCACGTGTCTTGTTCCCTTTTCAGTCTCAAGCCGAATCAGACCCCCCCAAGCTTCAGTCCGATTTCTCAGGCCTTTAGAGCAGGGTGCTTAGAGTGAAGAAAGTTCGAAGTGAATATTTTGAGCAGTGGCTCTTGAAAGGATTTATGTCAATGTCAGAAGACAGTCGTACAAGGAGGCCCAAGAACGTCGAGGTGACGATTGATGCGCAGGCGAATATTGCAAACATGCCCAAACGCCGCCATCATCATCAACAACATCATCATAATTTTCATCATTCTCACCCTGACCTTCACCTTCGATCTTCATCATCATCTTCGCAACTCACATGGCCATCATTCATGTCAGCACCACCATCGCAGGACCGTTATCACCATTCATCATCAGCCAGCTGGTTGTCAATCTGCTCTGAACTTTCTACTGCAAGTACAAAAAGGTATCACAGACTCTTATTGTAATGATGCTTAACGCCCCTGTAGTGGTCTGTCAGTGCACTGCACGCCCCGCAGCCCAAATTATTTTCCAATTTCGCTTGGACTTTCGTAAGCGATCTGGCAGAAATGCACAGTGAAAACCCTGCACACTTCAAGCCCTCGCAAGCAACGCTGTGTAACTCACACCCCGAAAGCCTTGAGTCTTCAAAACCCTAAACCCCCGAACCCCTAAACCCCTAAGCCCTAAAACCTAAACCCCAAGCATCTCATTGTGCTTGAATGACATGAGGAGAGACGTTCGTGGCAGGCAAGGGTCATGGGAGTTCTGGCAGCGACAAGCTGAGGGTCAATGGCGTGGCACCTTGAACAAGATAGTGGAAGCTGCTTTGGCCCAGCAGAGTCATGCACACATAGGCATCGCCAACACCAACGAGATTCAAAGGTCAATGTATTTTTATACATTGACAGCAGACAGCGCCCATGTCCAGTTCCAAGACTGGCTGTTTGAGAGGCTGGTTCGCTATGCGTTGACGCTCATGAGGTTCATGTGCATCTATGATGCTTCCTTGACTTCCGCTTCATTTTCAAGGTTCGGCTTACAAAATTCCAAACAAAACACAAAAAAAAACGAACCACCACAATCCCAAGCCACAAAAGTCACTGCAAAACCTTGACGACTCGTTGGAGTTTAAGAACCTGTATAAAAGCTTTCATAGGGCTCTGCGAACCCTTAAGGAACCTTTCAAAGAGGTCGTTCCCTAAACCCCAAACCCTAAACCTTGAACCCTAAACCCTACACCCAAAACCCTAAACCTTGAACCCTAAACCCTACACCCAAAACCCTAAACCCAGAACCCTAGATCCTGAACCTTTCCAAAAAAACCCTACACCCTAAAACCCAGCAATCTGCAGGAGATGCGTGGGTCTTGCCTTCAAGACAGTCTCGCTGGGTTGCGCCTCGGACTTTAGGGGAGGTTACATTGCGGAGGTTTAGGGGCTTATGGGGTTTAGGGGGTTTATAGGGCTTAGGGGATTTAGGGGTATAAGGCTTCGGGCGTTTCTGGGGTTTCTACAGGATTCGAGGGACAAGGTTTCCCAAAATGGTTCATGTCAAACGGGTAAAAAATTCGTGTTACTGAGAGGATTGCCATGAGGTTTCTGTGTACTCTGAGGATTGCCATATCATTGGGTTTGGGAGATCCTTCATTCAAGGGCTTCTTTGATGAGGTCGAGAAGGGACTCAGCGTTTATCGGGGGTTGTGGTCTCGGGTTTTATAGAAAGGTTTTGTACTAGGGTGTCCGGCAGTACAGTTATGCTTGAGGGTCTATCTCCAGCTCAAATAAGATGTTTTCCAGAAGAACTGAATAGGTGATCCTAAACATGTAAGCTTTTGTGGGGTCCAGGTGGGGCCTAGCACCCCAATATTCTCACGCCGCCAATTCCCATATCATAAGCGTGTGACAGCACATTGGAGCTTTATCCAACTGCTTTTCAATCCAGAACCATATTTACATATATGACGTACATCCCAAGCCCAGCACCCGAAACCCAGAACCCACGCGCTAAACCTTTTAAACCGAAGCTAGCAAAGCTACACGCTGCACCCCAAACTTTGTTTTGCTTACAGCGGCATCGCTAAACCACAAAAACCCTAAAGTTCTGAGCCCTAAACCCCTAAAGGGAACTCCAGAAAGTTGGAATATGGATTAGTGGTAGGATCCCTTATGATTTACCTTAAAGAGGTTACGATAATGATATTCCAACTTTCTGGCTTCTACTGTAAACCCGCGGATCTCCCATGGTGCAAGCCTCGCACAGAGGCCGACCCTTGCACGCAAGGAAAAGGGCATTGCATTAAGAAGATAACCAAAACCTAGAGCTCTAAACCCTAAAGCCCTAAACCCTTAAAAGCCAAACCTCAACCCACCCCCACAGAGCAGCAGGTGCTCAACGATCTACGGAGCCGGCCTGACTCGACCAAGGACGTAGCGCTCACGGGTTGTTATCGAGTTTAGCGTTCAAGGTTTACCTCCTGACGGACAAAATGACCCTTAAAAGTAGGGGCCCTATGCCCATGGACTATGAATCCCTATATGGTATAAGAACCGAACCTTAAGCCCATTTAGGGTTCAGTTTCGTCCTTCAGGTTTCGCGTTGAAGGTGTACCGGGCCGTGAAAACGTACTTTGTTGAGGACGTACGTAAGGAAATCATACTATGGAAGCCAAAGAGGCGCTTACGTTATGTAGGGTTGAGGTAGGGATTCCTTTTTAATAGTGTAAGGGCTTTGCGATTCTTGTCGAATTTCATAAGGCATCTATAGAGGACACGCCTTGGGTTTATAGTTACTGAGGGATTTAGTCAGATGCAACTTGCAGGACCCCTACGGATGCCATCTTCTACATCATCGCCATCGAGCCAGTGATGTTTGTTTGCAATCGCCTCTGTTGCAACCTAAGGCGGGGTTGAGGGGGTGGGTAAGCCGTAAAACCCCAACCCTGCACATTAGACCCTAGCCGCTGAAGACCCTACGCCAAAGAGCACGAAGCAGGCCTCAGCTTTCGGGCCGCATGGATTTGAGTCTTCGGGCAAAAAGCTTTTGTATTCCGGCTTGGGGCTGATGCCTAAACCCTAACGCTCAACCCTATAAACCCTGAATTAAACCCTAACCCTAAACCCAAAATTTCAATACCCGAACCCCTATAAGCCATAAGCTCTAAGCCGTCTCAGCATTAAAAATTTGATGTGATTCTCCTGGTAGGCTCAGCTTCGACGAGGAGGAGCTGCGGCACAGTGCCGTCTGCGAAATTCTGCCGGGAGAGGACAAGGCTTGGGGCCTTCAACCCAGGATATAAAACTTACATGGGTGACTCGCAAAATCATGGTTCCTTTGAGGAGCCCCATACAAGACTCTTCGCAATACGGCACCCCCTAGTTTGGTAGCCTAAACCTGTCCATTTATAGACTTCTGGGTTCTGGAGTACCATTCGTGAATAATTACCTTGTTTGAGACTTGCTCCTACCGCAAGCCAGTATGAAACAACAGTTCACAACTTTTTCTCCCCGGATTACTTCCAAGGCCGGACTTAGACTCAGAAACCCTAAACCCCCCCTGGGATCCAAGAGATCCGCACGATTCGTGCGCTCAGCTCCTCAAAGCGCCGGCTGCTCGAAAGTGCTAAACTCTACAGTAAATCCAATAAGTTGGAAGCCGGATTAATGACAAATAGTGCTGGGATCTCCCATGCATTACTCTTAGGGATCGGGGCTATTGGGTTTCCAACTTTTGGGCTTCTACTGTACAACAAAACTAGGAGCTACAATACTTAGTAGATCAGTGGATACACTTTACAATTTATGGGATAATTCTACACACACTAAAACTAAACGTGTGCACTTTGGGGGGGCCTTATGTAGCAACTAAGACTAGGAGCCCCACTCTACAGAGAAAAGATCCAAGGGTAGACCTCGATTTGTTCACGTCACCTCCCTACACAGGGATCACTATATACACTAGCTCCTTATTACATATTCAAAGCCCAATGCTCTAGAACTGGCTGGTTACGAGAATTAGATGAATACTAATCTTGACTAATATTAGTACCAGTAGGAGATACGAGTAATACTAATGTACTGATACTCGTAAATTTGAGAATGGGCTGTTGGGCCGTCCCGCATAGAATTTTCCACCACTGCTCTCGATGCAGAGGCTCCTTCAGTTCTGCATAGTCGCTTCCCGAGCTGAGGCTTGTAGTGAGGCCCTTAAAGGAACCCTGATAGATCCCTTATAGGAGCCCCTATAGATCCCTTAAAGGGGCCCTTATAGATCCCTTAAAAGAGCTCTTAAGGGTTGCCGTTAAAAGGGTGTCATTAATGCGGTAACCCCCCAGTCCCTTCACCCGAACCCCCCCAAACCCTAAGCCTCTAACCCTAAAATCCTAAAACCCTAGAAGCGTCCATTGTCCAGGCTGTGGCAGCCGTGGATCACGTCCTCATGGAGCTGAGGCCAATGCAGCCAGCTGTTGGGGCTTGGGGGGGGCTTATCGGTTTAGGGATAAGGGCTCAGGGTTCACTGGTTACGGTTTACAATCGTCGAAGCCGTTTCGGGCCTGAAATATCTGTCGTAGACGTACGAGGACCTTCACATCCTTGATTGATACATAGCCCGAACCGAAGCGGCTATCCAACCCCAAAGCCCCCTACATCAACAACCCACCGCTGAAGGCAGAACGTGTAGCATTTGTTGAGTTTGATGGACCTTTGATCCAGCCATGCCAAGACCCTGTCCGAAAGCCTCAACCTAAACCCGATCATCATCGCTGGTCTGGGTTTGTTTGGCCTTGGTGGCTTTCACTCCTAAGCTAAATTAAATCAATCGCCAAGCCATGTGACCATGTGACAACCCTGAAGCATTCTGAATCCCCAGCTGGATTTTCAATGAACGCTCCCAGGCGTAATGACAACTAAATATTGGTGTCCTACTGGACCGAAGAGTCAACCCAAATCGCATGCATGGCCCAGATGCCAACCTTGTGGCTTGGGGTGGGCGTAGGCTCTGACAAGACGTTATTCGAGGGTTCATGCCGCAGACATTTGGGGTTTCTGTCCTCACAGTTTTGGGTGGTGTGGGACTCCTCCAGTGCGATGCAAGTCTAGATTTCTAGGTTCCCTTAAAACCCTACAACCTAAACCCAAAACCCCGAAAAGGAGCCCTTAAAAAAAAGTTCTAAACCGATATAGATCCTGGCAACCCACGGCGAAGCGCCCCCTTTGCTCTGGAAGTGTAGTGAAGGCGAAGTGCCGGCTCTGTCAAGGCACAATTCTCCGGCTTCCAAACGGAGCCCGGCATTTGAAGAACCTAAAACAGCCCTGCTGAAATCCGAGAAAGCTTCATCGAAGCTAAGCCAACTTACAAAGCAACATACCACGTCACGGAAGACATTAACTTCGTACCTTAATAGGTTCACAGTAGTTCTCACAATTCTCCAAAGCCCTAAAGCCTAAACCTGTGAATACTCATAAGCCCTGTACCCTAAACTTATACACCCTACACCCTAAACCGTATCAGCTAAAATTCTAGGATGAAGCGAAGATCAGAATTCTGCACCAGGCTGCCGAAAGAGGCTCTCGCCGATGGGGACGGTGACGATGAAGCCTACGACTCTTACCTACACTATTTTTGGTGACAAGGGGTCTGTAAGGGATCTATAGTAGGGTTCTATGATATACTGTATACTTACCAATACGATTTGGGGGGGTTCTTGATAATGCTGAAAGTACATGATTAGGGGTTTAGTTCGGGTTTAAGGTTTAGGGTCTAGGGCCTAGGGATTAGGCTCAAGGGCTGAAAGTTTCAACAGGTTTGTTTGGGGAATTCCGAGTGAGGTTTAAGGCTTAAGGGTTTAGGGTTTGGTAGTGCCTTTATAGGGCCTCTTTAGACTTTGCAAGGGATTGGTTCGACTATTCAGCTTTGTGCTTGCTTTATGGGTGTCTATGCTAGCAGGATTTGCAGAGTTGTTCGGGTTTCATACGAATCTATAAGTCCCCTGTTTGCCTCCTTAGATGCAGGGCCCAGGTTGCTCCTTAAAACGAAAGCATCTCAGGAGCGCTTCATAGTACCAACAATATTTCAGAGACAATAATATAAACGACAAAACAGAAACAGATGCCCAAGGATGTCTTCAAGCGAGAAGCCCTACTGAACCCTAAACCCCAACGGGCACCCTAAACCCTCAAGCCAAACAATAGAAACAGCCGCCAACCCTGCAAACTCCATATGCCCTAACCCCCAGAAGATTTTCGTCAAAAGCCTGAACCAAAACCCTAAACCCTAAACCCTTAGAACACAACACCCAAATGGCTACTATTACTACTGGTCCTACCGTTATTCCTGCTACTACAATCACTAGTATTACGAACCCCTGAACCCCAAAGCCTAAACCCAAAACAAAGCGGCCCAAGGAGATCTTCAAGCTGGACCCACCTTTGCACCTCGAGGGTTCAGCGGTGACCCCGAGCTCCAAGCGCACGTCGATGCACCACGGGAAGAAGCAGGCAAGGGCTTCGGGGCTTAGGGGTTTAGGGATTAGGGTTTAGGGGCTCATCAAACTCAATAAGGCACCCTTGGAAGACGGCCAGGGTTCCTTAGAACCCCGCAACCCTGAGCCCTAATAGAACCCCAAGCCCCAAATCCTAAACCCTGAAAACCCTGCACTAAACCCTAACTGAGCCCTAACAGAACCCCATACCCGAAACCCTGAACCCTAAACCCCTAACCCGAACCAAACCCTTAACCCAAACTGCCACACCGTTTCTCCCTAAACCCAAGAACCAGAAAACCCCAAACCTTAAACCCTAAACCCTCACTTAACCCTAAACCCACACCCCAAACCCTGAACCAGAAAGCCCCAAACCTTAAACCCTAAACCCTCACTTAACCCTAAACCCCTAAACCGTTTGCGGGGGGCAGGTTCTTCACTTCTTCGGACCCGGTGGCCGCCAACTCCAGGCATAGCTTTGCTGTACCGAGCGGTTCAAGACCAGGGCTTCCCTCACGGAATGGCCCTAAGGGTCTTTAAGGGTTCCCTTAAGGGTTTAGGGGTTTAGGGGTTTAGGGTTTAGGGGTTCAGGGTTTAGGGTTTAGGGGTTTAGGGATTTAGGGTTAGGGTTTAGGGGTTTAGGGCTAAGGGTTCTTTTAAAGGGCTCCTGTTAAGGGTTCCTTTAAGGGCTGCTTTAAGGGCTCCTTTAAAGGTTCTCTAGGGGTTGAGGTTTAAGGGTCCATGTACCCGAATAGTATAGACTGCGGCGATTAGGGTTTAAAGTAACCATCTACAACAACAGTAGGTTTTGGTAGGTAAGGCAGTATATACTTTGGGGCCCAGATACCTAGTAAGAGCCTACTACAGTGGCCTAGCACATTGGTACATGGACCCTTTGGGCCCCATAGTTCCAGACCATCCCAATACTCGGACCCCACCAAATAATCATAGACTCTACAAAATCCTGACCTAGGTGACCACTATCCTAAAACCGAGTACCTAATTATTGGGTCCTTTGGACGCTTGGGGGAACCCTAACAAGATCAAAGGTATATTTCTTTATATTCCTTACACAAGGGGATGTGGAGTCTCTGGGTTTAAAGATTCTTTTGGGGGTTCCTTTTGAGGTTACTTCAGGGGTTTTGCCTTCGTGCTTGTAAGGGATTCGGGGTGTAGAGGTTTCAGGGCTTAGGGGTGTTTGGGTCAGCGCCAAGGGCTTGCCTGTATCCCCAAAGCCTCAAAATAGTAGGTTTATGACCCCTTAATTAGAGGGTATAGCCCTTAAAACAGCAGGTTTTTGGACGCCCAGGTGGGGTTTGGGGATTATGGATTGGGGTTTAAAGGGCTTGGATGGGCTACAAAGGCACTGGGGAGTCGGTACGTAGGCCACACTTGGGGTTACCAGTGCCCTAGTTGCAGTTATCCTAATCATCACCCAGCCATCACCCTACTTATGAGCTACTTGCTGCTAGAGTCCCGTGATCCCGCAAGTAGGGTTCGGGGTGCATGCACGGTGTAGGCATAGTACGCCTCAGAGACGTTCTTTGAGGCTTCTTTCAGGGTTCTTGCAAGAGCTTAGAGGCTTTCGGGCCTTTACAAACCCTAACGCCTAAACCCATGCAGTATTATAGGGCTCCTTTAAGGGCATCTTCGTGAGTTCTTCGAACAGTGGGTTGATTGCTGGAAGGATCATGGGACTTAGTAACTATAGGGTTATAATTCAGGTAACTATACTCATAATTACTTAAAACCCAATTAACGTACTCATAACCATACCTACTAAGTCCCATGATCCTCTGAGTGCCGCAGCTTTACATGGGGCCGGACTCTAGGGCTTAAAGGGCTTACAGGGCTCAGGGCGGCGTTTCTTTTAGTGGTCTGTCTCTCTGCCCTGGACTACGTCGTTGACAAGATCAGTGATCGACCTCGGAACTTGGCGAACCTTGAGCCCGGGAACCCTCAGCTCCGCCAAGTCCTGGGCCTACATCTTGAACTTCACCCCGGGCATTCGGATCTGAAGAAGCCTAAACCCAGGCCGTAAATGCTAGAAAGTCACAAGCTCTACTTCAAACTCTCAACCCTGGAGCCTTAACCCCAGAAGCCGTGAACCGTAAAACCCCGAGAAGCCTTAAACCCGTGCAAACCCCTAAAACCCCTGTAAACCCTCAACCCCTAACCCTGAACCCCTATCAACCCTAAACCCTAAAGCTCTTCTCCCTGAACCTGAAAACCCCTACAAACCCTAAACCCCTAAACCCTGAACCCCTATAAACCCTAAACCCTAAAGCTCTTCTCCCTGAACCCCTAAACCCCTATAAACCCTAAACCCCTAAACCCTGAACCCCTATAAACCTTGAACCCCTGTAAACCCTAAACCCTAAAGCTCTTCTCCCTGAACCCTTAAACCCCTGTAAACCCTACACCCTCAACCCCTGTTAACCCTAAGCCCTGAACCCTTAAAACCCTATAAACCCTAAGCCCTGAGCTCTTCTCCCCTTTTGGGGGAGTAGCCAGGTGCATCTCCAGAAGGAGGAAGGCCTTACCCTCGAAAGGCCTGGGCTCCTCCTCTTGTGGGGGGTTTAGGTTTTGTAGGATTTACGATTTAGGATTTACGGTTTAGGGTTCAGGGGCTTTGGGTCCTCTTGGGTGCCTCATTCTGGGCTCTTACGACCTAATTTTGTGTCGGAATGGTTAGTAATGGCTCTTCTTAGGACCGAATTTGAGTTATCAGAGTGGTTGGTAATGGCTCTTGTTAGGACCTAATTCGAGATACCAGTATGGTTAGTAGTGTTGGCAATGGTGATCTGTAGGATATTGAAAGCCTAAGCCCCGTCAATTTTAAACCCAGTACTGCAGCCAGCAGCTGGGGACCCAAAAAGGACATAAGCATAAGCATTTTACGGGGATATCCCTACCCAAGTGGCTTCATTGCAAGGGCTTTTTGCTTAGCCTGAACCTCAAACTCCTAAAAGAAGAGCTGAGCCCAAGAAGCAAATCCTAAACCACCCGGGTGTTTGGGGATTATAATGCTGTTTTTGGATATCGGGTCCTGCTATCAGACAAGAACTTAGTAGTAGAGTAGGTACCTTGAACCGTTTTTGGGTAGTATAGTCCCTATATAATCCCGATATACCCAAAAAGGTTAACCTTTAGTTCCCCATGATACCCGACAAGTAGGTAAAGCCTAACCCCAAGGGTCCACAGGACCGAGCAATTAGGTACCTGTGTTACGCATAGTCGTTTTGAAAGGTTAGTATTTAATTCGGGAAACTGTTTGTGACTGTTAGTTACTGGGGGGACCCTTAGTATTTTGGGGTAAAGCCTTCTTTGAATCTGGACAGGACCTGGCAACAGGAGATGCATTTGCGGAGCCTCGGTTGCATCAGAAAGCTGAGGGTTTGGGTTTTGGGCTTTAGGGGTTTACGCTCCAGGGGTTTTGTGGGTTTGGAATTGGGGTTACCATGGTTCACCTATAGTATTAGCCGTAGACGCCGACCCTTGCGAAGCCGTAAACCCTAAAGCCCTAAACTCTTACGAACCATGCCATCCAGATCAGAAAACAGTGTATTTCGTTCAACCGAGGAATAGAGTTGGGCAGTACCTTCCCCTCAGGGTCCATGTACCCAAATAGTATATACTTTGGCCTTAAAGTGCTCCCTGTATAGGTACATTGGGGCCCAAGTATATACTTTTTGAGTACAGGGACCCTTAGGGTTACAGAACTCTTCATAGAACAAGCTTAAACACTGAGGAACTGGGCTGGGCATACCTACCACATCACCCTCTTTGTCAGCCACTGGCTCGTGAACCGAACTGGCTTCGCAGCGGCAAGTACCAATGGGAGAAGGGGGTGGAGGGGGGGAGGTTAACTGTACGGGCTACGGTATATAAGGGTTACTGGAAGGGTTTTTGGGCTCTCGGCTTGGTATATTGCTTCGGGTCTATAGGGCTTGGGGTTTAGGGTTTCGTGGCACACTGGGTTTTAGTGTTTTATCTTCATCCTAAGGTTCCTTACAGGGTTCTACAAGAGTAGTTAATTATAAGGCTTACTGTAAGGAGCTTCGGGCTAGATTAGGTCTTCCTCAGCGCTGTCTTGGGGGGGCATCTACGACCTTGTATTTTGATGAGCTTGGGGGTTTAGAGCTAAGCCAACTAACCGTGCTTGTTTGTAACATCTCTTTAGGGGCCTCAAGGGTCGAGGGCTGAGCGAAGCTTAGGCTTCAGGTGTCAGATTGGGTTTTGATTCGATATCAGTCGAGTACATAGGGCTTTCAAAGTCTTCCATGCGAGTTTGGACCTGGCAGAGCTTGAAGCTTAAATTGAGACGAAAGAAAGGCTTCGGCGTGGGATGGTTCCTGTCATCTCGGGAGTCCTTTAACTGTAGGGCTGAAGATCCTTCTTATTTATGGCTTTCAAATAATGCCCAGCACAAACTCCAAATCCCAAATCCAGATCCCAAGCCCCAAACCCACATCCTCAGAAAAAAGACGTTCACTTTTTGGGGTTTCTAAATGAACTATAAGTATAAGGAGGCTGAAGGTTAACTTTTAGGAGGGGTTCAGAAGTCAGCCAAGTTCACTTATGTTTTTGCTGATTTTTGGATGGGCTTCCCAGCAGCTTTACCTTCCGCCTCGGGCTGCAAGTGAACCGTACTATAGATTCCTGAGGCTAGCCCCGTTATAGTATTCCAGCTTTAAAGCTTCTAGAACCCTATAGCATCCCCTGGTTCCTCATCTCTTTCAGGAACCTGTATTATAGATCCCAAGGGGACCCCATTATAAAGCCCTATGTAAAGGGGCTTCAACCATATAGACCTTATAGAAGCCTATAATATAGTACCCCTACATAAGGGTCCCTATAGTACCCCTATATCAGGATCCCTCTATAAGGGTCCCTATAGTACCCCTATATAAGGGCCCCTTTGTGAACCCTACAGAACCCTACTGCCTTAATATAACTATAGTATAATGGGCCCCATAACCTTATTCTAATTATTAAGGCCCTTACATTATGGCCCCCAAAGCCTGGGTCCTCCCTCCTTCCCCAGGCTGCACGCTGCTCATTCCCCGGCCATCCACACTTCCAGCCATCCTCAGGCCTCTTCTTGCTTTTCCAGGGCCCTAATGTAGGAGCCTTAAGAATTCGAACTGGGTTTCGTTTTTAAAGTGGTCTGTCTCTAGGGGCTACCATAAGGGATCTAGAGTAGCATTCTAGAATACAGCGGCTTTAATCATTCGAAGGAGGTTCCTTTGTAAAGGGGTCCTTAAAGGGCTTTTTTCTAAGGGGTCTTTAGTAGGGTTCCATATTATAGGGGACTTAATAATTAGAAAGGGGTTTTCGGGCCCATTAATTATGCCATAAATATACTCAGGAACCCGCAAAATACATATAGGGCTTTTGCAGGGGTTCTTAGGCTTTGTGGGGGAACTGCTTGGTTTTCGAGCGTTGCAGTGGTTGATGCTACCTGGATTCGCACCAACTGTGTTTACTGAACTCTTGTCAACTACTCGAGAGTTTTGTGATCAGCGTTGTCTACAAACTCGCCTTGTGCAACAAGCTCGTTCACCAAAAGGAGCCTGTGAGTTCCCATATAACCGAGTATAGTAATAGTTCTGGGCAACAACACAGTCGCCTTGTTCTTCTACCCTAAGTTTATACTATATCGGCAATTTGGGGGCCTTAATAAGTAGAATAGGGCTTGGGGGGGCATTATACTATAATTATAAAAAGGAACCTCCAAAAACGATAAAGATAATCAGTAGGGCCCCTATACTCCATGGAGCCTTGGGGGCGTATTGCCTGCAGCTTCTTCCGCAGTACACCTCATGAGCCCGGTGCTTCTCTGACGCTGGGCCTGCAATGGCTTCTACATAATTACCAACACTATTTTCGTGGCTTCTTATTCTAAATATAGTGTAATGGGCCCCAAGGCCCTATTCTACTTATTAAGGCCCCTACTTCACGAGTCCGCTGTTATAAAGGGCTTAGGACCTAGGGCTGCGGAGGTCGGGTGCTGGTCTCAACTGTACACACCTGATTAATCCACCCTTTTTCAGTTGTTAAATTGGGGATCCCGAAAGAAGCCTTCGAAAGAAGGAGGTGCATGGATTCTCACTTTGCATGTGCAAGGCCCTCCATGCAGCTCAATGCGCGCTCCGTCATCCCAGCTGCAGTTTGCTAACGAGCTGCTACTAAACCTTGAGCCCTAAAACCCTAAACCCGAAATGGTATTCTTGCTGTTCCTGCAGTCGGAAAAGGGCCCATAACAAGAAACATAAAAACCCGAAATGGCGGCGGTGCTAGTCCTAAGCAACCGTGAACCCTTCAGACTCCAGACCCTATCCTCTCAAACCCCAACCCAATCCTCTAGAGCCACCTTAAAGCCCTACGATCATCTTAGTCCCTACTTCAACCAAGCAGAATCTATATTTGTATATCTCAGGTTTGTAAAACCAAGATGAATACTGAGATCTTCGGTTCGGGGGCCACGAAAGAGGGTTATGGTAGGTTAAGGCATTCGTGGGCCGTGCAGCCTGCAAAAAATGCCTGTGCAGGGACTACGATGGCGAATTTCCGGGGCCCTGTTTCCTTGCTGGTCGCACCGCTTCAACATCCAAAGCGGCTCCACCAAAGCCTCCCGGAAGACCCTGGCAAAGGACGCAACCGCCTAGGGAAGCCCGTGGGTTGTCTCCACGGAGACATCCGCGATCCCGCACCGGGACTAGGCGAGGGACATCAGCCTCTTCGCCCACCAGCCCGCCACGGATGAGGCTTTAGGCTTTAGGCTTTAGACGACAGCTGCTCGACCAGGTGAGTCCAGTGGTGCAGGAGCTGGCTATTCGGGCCGCCAGGAAGGAAGAGTAAGAGAAGAACGAAGGAGGACTTCGGCTGGCGGTGACACCGGCTGCCCGAGGGCGTGTCCAATCCCACCAGGCTCCTTCCTGCTGCGTGGCTGTATGGTAGTAATGTAAAATTTTAACACCAGGTCAACGACGATGACGAGCGTGATGACACAGAGGGTTACGGACTGCAGGCGAGCGTCGCCGACTCGGGAAAGAGCACCAAAGCCAGGCACCCAAATCTTTTTGGCGCACTTATGGTACTAACTAATGCAAATGCAACAACAGCCATACCAAGTAGGTTGTAGTACTATTTGCAAGAGAAGAACAATAGTTCAATCATGCACAGAGCCAAATCAGCTTCCGACCCGCAACCCTACAACCCCAAACTCCAAACCCGCGAGACATCCCTGCACCCTAACACCGGTAGTCTCGAAAGCCAACCCTCAGCCCGAAAATCCTAAACCCGAATGCGGACCCCTACTTACAGTATCTTACGGTTTAGATCTGGGGTTTTGGGGCACTCCTCGTACTCGACTAGCAGTACAGGCTTTGCTTTTCGATTGGCAGCATATACCCTTGCGAAATGATAGCCCTAAGCCCTAAACTGGATCCTCTTTAGCCGCACAGCCTTCGTTGTCAAGGTCGACATCTCCTTTCAGGATATAAATGGGAGTTTCCGAAAATAGGGGGACCCTGGTATAGTACCCTAAATAGTAGGACCCTTGTTATAAGGACCCGAAATAAGGTACCCCTAATTTGCGAAAACTCCCATCTATGCTGCGTTTTCGCAGTAGGTCTGGGTCATTTACTCTTCCCAAAACCTGCTCTCTTAGCTTGATGACATTTGGTCTCTGCTGATGAATTACTTCGTTACTTAACAAGGTTCAAGAAAGGTCCGGTCCCTCTAACTTTCTGGTTTCGGGTATCTCCATGTTCTGGACCTTAAGCCTTGCCTGAACCCCATGTCGTGTTTGGAGCTCCGTATCTTGACTTGCTTGCATTGTAAGTCCTCAAGACAGTAGGATTTTGGGGTCAAAGTATAAGCCCCCAAAGACCACACGAGGGCCCTTGCACCCGATAGGTTGAATCCTTGTGCTGGAGGGCCTTTCTAGCAAAACCTTCACACCCAACTCTAAACCTGAATCCGTAAATGCTGCCTTGAGCTACCTGGACACGATTTCTTCTGTGCGGATGAGTTTCGATATTAGCCAAATACTATGCTATACAGTAGACCACGTGCCTTAACTAAAGCCAGGCTTCTGCCGGGCTGGAGGACCCGCAGATGTCCATCTCTGGACATGCCCTTCGACCACTGTCGCAGCACGTGATCCAGGATTCCTGGCAGTCCTTCCCTTGGTTTAGGGTTTAGGGGGATATACCTCAAATTGTAAGGGGGTTGAGCGGGTGGTGCAAGGCATATGTTCCAATTAAACAGTATGGGGGGAAGGGGTACGCTACTGCTGTAGGTACTTGGAGCCATAGGGGTAAGCGCTAAGCCTAGGCAAAGCCTTGGTCGGGTCCAAAGCTTTCGCTTCAACGAAACATGGCGCAATATGCAGCCCTGTAACGGGCCAGGCAGACTCCTAACGCGTTAATCCTACTTAAAATGGGTTGTTAGCCTAACTTGGGCTCCTTAACCCGAGCTCCCTGTGCAGCGATCTCTGCACCAGGAGGGGACTTTCGACATCGGCGTCGCCGAGGCAATACTCGTGTGAAGTAAGTTTTCAAAGTGTAGGGGGTTTACGGTTTAGGGTTACATCTTTACGAATACGTTTGCTCAAGGGTTCCTCGGTGGAAGGATAGCATGGACACCTGCAAGACCCCAGTCGAACGATAGAGGTTTCGTTGCTACCCCAAGGGTCCAAATACCTAATAATCATATACTTCCCCAAATCCTACGTAACTACTATCCTAAAACCGAGTACCTGATTATTGGGTCCTTTGGACCCTTGGGGCTATGCACTCTGGGCAGGTGGACCTTGACGAGCCGGATAACACCAGCTGCCCACAACTGAGGAGGCCGCTGGTACAAGACCTTCCAAAATCCCTTGATTAAGGAATATGCCTTAAATCACATGAATCAAGGATCCAGCTATATATATATATATATATATAGTTTAAGACTTCTTGATTAAGGGATTTTAGAAGGTCTGGGGTACAAGACCTTCTGAATCCACCCCCGGGATGCACGATCCTCGCAGAAAACTTGGAATTATGATGTATAGCTGTATCTCAAATCCTTTGAGGTAGTAGGTCAATTTAGGCTTAGATAGTGAACGGGGAGCTTTAAACTTTTCGGCCTGATATAGTAGCTATATCTTAGAAAGTTTGAACTTTTTGGGGGCCCGGTTGTTGAAGAAGAGAGCAGGTTATGCATACCCTCAGGTAGGTTCCAGGGCTTGACAGTTTTCGGATCTAGGAACATGGGACCTAGCAACATCGAGCCGGATAGCTCCTGAGCTCTGTCGCTGACGATCATAAACTTCGATGCCGTCAGGCTTCAAGGTTTAGGGTTTACCTTAACCCGGAATAACCTACCCTTTTAAGGACTTGCATAAGGAGCTCATAGTAAGGAACCCCCAAAAAATGTAGGTTCTTCAGGGTTCAAGGTTTTGGGTTTCAGGATTAGGGGAGGGCTGAGGGCTCGTACGTTAAGGCTTCAGGGTTTAGGGCTTAAAGGGTTTAGGGTTTAGGCTTTAGGGTTTAAAGGGTTTAGGGATTAGGCTTTAGGGTGTAGGGTTTAGGGTTTAAAAGCTTTAGGGTTTAGGGACCCAGCGACCATACTGTTGAAGTCTTTGTGGTTTTGGTTGGTTGATCCTTCGGGATTTTGCTCATCTCGAAACTTACACCCTACAAGAAAGTAGATTATGCTATTTCTTGACTGAAGGTCCTACGCCCTGAACCACGAGAAACCGAAACACTTTAAACATAGGGCCCTCCCACACTGATAATTTGGGTATCCTATGTGGGACTTGAACCTTGCAGCCTTTTAGGGTACATGTCGTGCTCCTCAATCCTGGGGCACCCACAAAAGCCGAGTTTTCTCGACGAAAGGCGTAGCGTCTTCCGCACGCGAGAGACGAACAAGCTGCGGCGAACAGTCACTCGTCCAAGCGGGCTTTAGGTTCTTATGCTTTGGCTGGTTGATTACTCAAAGGGTCTATAGGGGTCCTTAAAGGCGTCCTTAAAGGGATCTATAGGGGTTCCTTAAAGGGATCTATAGGGTTTAGGATTAAGGCATGAATGGTGGAGACACTTTACCATAATCAACTATAGTCCTTTCTGAGAGATGGGTTTGTTAATCAGGGTCTGCATCAAGGTGCGGGTCTGCAAGGTTACATGATCTGTACGTGCTTTATCGGGATGTGTAGGATGTCTTGCAAGATATACCCGGTGCAGGGGCTTAGGTTTCAAGGGCCCAGGGTTTTGGGTTTCAGGGTTTAGGGTCTTAGTGTTTTGGGTATGGGGTTGGGAAAGGTCCCGAGGATGGTAGGTTCAGATAGTTGTAATCACTATAGTCTCCTCAAGAATTGTTCTTAAATTTTGTTCATATAAAGCCCAAGAGAATATTAACAAGTTGTTATGTTCTTATTATGGTTCTAAGGTGGGTATAGATCATGTGTACCACCACCCAAAAAGTGACGATATTTGTTCGCACGGGTCATATTTCTGGGTCGGATGCTTTTCTGTTCCTGTTCTCTGCAGGTTTCCTGCGCAAAAGCAGACTTACAGCCTAACCATTAGATCCCCTGAGCCTGCTAGTAGATCGGTAGTAGATCGCTAGTTTAGTCTTGAAATAAGGAATTGCGGCCAAAAGAGCATTTTTGTCATTTCCCGTGTCCTTCTCTACCAAAAACTTTGTTGCAGGTGGTAAGACCCGAAGTGAAAAGGGTCAATGTACTATTGTAGAAGGCTCCTAGGGTCAAGCGCATTCGGATTTGGGCCTCAAGCCGTAGCGTGAAATCCGAAGCCCTAAACCCTAAACCCTAATGCTGGTGAAACCTGAGGTAAGCCAGAGGGTTGCAAAGCGCTTTCCCAACCGGGATTCCTCTCTTGCAGTTGGAAGAAGGCGTTCAAAAACAAACTAACACTGAAAAGTTGCTCAAGCCACCCCAAAGGTTCCCGCGCTCAAAAGCCTCGACCATAAAGCCAAGGCCGTCGTCCTGGCAGAGCGACCAAGTAAGGTCAGCGTGCTTCCTCTGCTACTTTCCTTCAACAACTCAGAAGGATTCAAGGTTGTGGAGCATCCGCAAAGTAGATCCGTATGTGTTGTGGTTCCGATGTACTTTCCAGGGTCTGGGTGAACAGTTTTGTTCTTTGTCACGGTGGTTCTCGGTAATATATCCTTAACCCTTTGCGCCGAACCAGAACCACAGGGTTTAGATCAACAAGGCTTATATGAAAGGAACCCAAAATCTTATTTTTGTATGTGGTTGGCTTTATTTGCGTTTAAAAGTGTTTTCTTGCATTTAAAAGTGGTGTTTTGTATTTAAAAGTTTTTTAAATATGTTTTTTGTGTTTTACAGTTGTTAAATTTTTTTAATTTTATTTTTGGTGTAAAAGAATACATGTTTGTGAATTATGAGTTTTTGTTTCTGATTGAGTCAAATGGCTTCCTGTTGTTCTACCTGGTTTCCTGCAGCTGTACGTCTACAATTTTTTATTTGTTTTTGAAGTGCTTATTTCATCAATATAAATATTTTTGGTTGTGATTGAGTCAAATGATAAATGGCATCCTGCTGTTCAACCTGGCTTCCTGCTGTTCTACGTCTACAAATTTGTTTGTATTTGTTTTTAAAGTAGTTTATCAATTTAAGTTGGGGGTTGTGATCGAGTCTAAGGGTTTAGGGTTTCCTTGAAATGCCGACCTTCCCCACATGGATTCGAGCGGTGCAGTGGTGTGTCGTACAGTAGTAGTACAAGTAATAGCACAGTAGTAATGCAGTAGTACAAGAGTAGTACCATATTTAGTAGTACAGTAGCAGTGCAATAGCAATACAGAAGTACAGTAGTAAGAGGGTAGTAGTAAAGTGGTAGTACAGTAGGGGTACATTACAAGGGTGTGGGAGTACCTGGAGCTGTTTAGCAGGGTGTGGGCACGACCAAAGTCCAAACCACGATCACTCCAAGATACCAACACTAAAACCTTTTATGTTGAGAACTTTTTCGTCCGGCCTACACTCCTGTACAGCAGTGCATTAGTATTGCAATAGTACAGTAGTAGGACAGTCGTAGAAGAGAAATACATAAAATCAGTCGGCCCAACAAAGAACGCACTAATCATTAATTAGGCCACCATTTTTTTGATACAGCCCGAATAAGCACGGGAAACACGCATCAACTAGGCACACCGGACCAGAAGGACCCCCACATTAACCTGTATTAGTGGTGTGATGCTATTAGTCAATTTCAGTATTCGCATGCGTTTGGCATGTTGCTACTTGTTTGTGTTTGCTTGGTGACTGTTTTGTACAAGTCTGTTGTTGTGTGTCTTGGCTCAAAACTTCTTCACAAAAAAGCGAATCACAACGTCGCCTCCTGCTTGGAAGCAAAACAAGATATAGAAAACCTGGCTCAGTCTGGTCAAGTTTGTTTCGGTAATGTTTTTTTCAAAAAAGGAGAGCCCAAATTTAGGAAAAGGGAAAAGCAATCCACACTGGGGTGATTGAGCCGGGGACCGGCCATCCGCCCCCAGCCCAGCCCAATTCCAAGATGCCGCATCGTCAGCCCAGCCAGCCCACCCCCACCCCAGCCGACCCCCCCCCCACCCGACCCACCCCCTACTTTCGGGGGACACCCATTGCGATTTGATGTTTTTGGTTTGGGGACAGGCACCGGACACCCCTTGCGAGCTGCGAGTTTTTGGACAGCCGTAGGGGGAGCCCTTGCGGTTCATGATTTGGGAACCTATTTTTTAATACAACCTGCAGGGAGACACTCTTTGCGATCCGTGATTTTGGGATCCGCGATTCTTCAAAACCTAATCGGACACCCCTTGCGGGCCCCAGCCCCCAACCCCAGCCCACCACCGCATCTGTTGGCAAAATCTGGCGGACGTGAGCCGCCACCGAGCAGAAAGCCTGTAAATACCGCGTTAAAACAACGGCCAGGGATCCCACACATCTGCGGGCAAAATCTGGCGGAAGTGATCCGCCACCGAGCAAAAAGCCTGTAAATACCGCATTAAACAAAGGGCCAGGGATTTCACACATCTGTTGGCAAAATCACTTCCGCGTGATTTTGCCAACAGATGTGTGAAATCCCTGGCCCGTTGTTTTAACGCGGTATTTACAGGCTTTCTGCTCGGTCGCGGCTCGCAGGGAAGGCTGAGCGTGGGCTGGGGGACTGGCGGGTGGGGCCCTTCACTACACCCTCCCCCAACCCCTTTTCTCCCTGCCTTCACCCAGCCCGAACCGCCCCAACAGGCCCAACAGGCCCAACAGGCCCAACAGGCCCAGCAGGCCCAGCAGGCCCAGCAGCCCCAGCCCCAGCAGCATTTTATCATGAAGCCTTTTCCGGAAGATCGGCCCGGCAAAATCTTAGAAGACATTTGTGGCACTTGTGGCACGCCCCGGAAAAATCTTATTAAATCTTATTAAATCTTATTAAATCTTATTGAATCTTATTGAATCTTATTAAATCTTATTGAATCTTATTGAATCTTATTGCTCAGCCCTGTTGATCCAAACTTTGTGGTTTTGGCTTGTTGCGAATTTATAACTTTTTCCTTGGAAAATCTCAAATATTCGCCACCGTTTCGCGGGGGGCTCCCGCCCCCCGCACCCCCTGGATCGAGGGCTTGCCCCCCTCGAGCTCCCCCCCTTCCCCCCAAGCCCCCCACCGGGGGAAAGGGGGGGATACCCCCCCTTGAACCCCACGTGGAAGCATATTTCTTGGATAGATAGATCGAGATTCCCTTTGCAAGGAGATTACATAAAATCTTGTCAGTGTTAGAAAGGAAAACAACCCAAATAAAATATTACTACATCTAACTATAAATCTCATTAAATCTTAATTCGTCTTCAAAAATTATGAAGTCCCGAGCCCGGTCCCCAGCCCTCGCCCTTGCGCCTTATCAGCCCACCTCCCAGGCCAGCCTCGCCCCCGCGCCAAACTCAAAGCCATGACCCTATAAGCACATATAGATACCAGATATGACAGCAAACAGCAAAACCTTTAAAGAGCAAAGACAAAGCACCCACACAAAGCAAAGTGTACAGGGGCGCTCCCTGCTTGAGTCGATGAAACACACTACTGTGCTTGTACTGTGCTACTACTGTACTACCATTGCACCAATGTACTACTATGCTACTGTACTACTGTACTCTGTACTACACGCCACTGTACCGTACCAGGCCTCAAACTTGGTCGATCGTGGGGGTGGTTAGGTTGGAGGCAAAAGTCTTCAACATGAAAGGTTTGCAGTGTTATCGGGGCTTGTTTTCAAGTTTTTGGTGATCCCCAAGCCCCCCGATTGCGGCGTTCGCGCAGGTTTCAAACCGACCATGCGACCCCCCATTTCCCTTCTAACTTATCCAAAGCCATTCAGACCCTCAGCCAGCCGAACCCCGGTCCAGGGGGTCACGGACACCAGACTATTCAAACCAAGAACCTTTGGTCGAGGGGGGGTGGCTATTAAACGGCCGCCACATCACAGGTAGCAGAGATACAAGAAGAAGCTCGATGATGCACAGGTGAGTACATGTAATCGTCCAGTAGTAATGCATGTAATGGTACAGTAGTAATGCAGTAGTAGTACAGTAGTAACACGGTACGAGGTTTTTAAGTGTACTTGGAGCTGTTTAACGGTTTGGGGGGATCACCAAAGGCTGGAAACCAAAAGCCCCGATCACTCCAAGATACTATCAACACTGAAAACCTTTCATTTTGAAGACTTGTGCCTCCAACCTACACTCCCTTTCACAATCGACTATGTCTGAGGCCTGGTACGGTACAGTAGTAGTACAACAGGGTAGAGTAGTACAATAGTAGTACTGTAGTACGACAGTCGTACAGTAGTAGATACAGTGCAGTGTTTAGGGGTACTTGGAGCTGTCTAGCGAGGTTTGGGGACGACCAAAAGTCGAAGCCAAGACACGGTCACTCAACGAGAACTACCAAAACTGCAAACCTTTCACTCTGAAGACTTTTGCCTCCAACCTACACCCCCCTCCACAATCGACCACGTCTGAGGCCTGGTGCGGTGCAGTGGTGTGTCGTGCAGTAGTAGTACAAGTACTAGCACAGTAGTAGTACAGTAGTACAAAAGTAGTACCGTCGTAGTACAGTAGCGGTGCGATAGCAGTACAGAAGTATACTTGTAAGAGGGTAGTAGTAAAGTGGTAGTACAGTAGTATTAAAGTAGTTGTACAGTAGTGGTACAGTACGAGGGTGTGGGAGTACCTGGAGCTGTTGAGCGGGGGTTTGGGCACGACCAAAAGCCCGAAGCCAAGCCACGATCATTCCAAGATAACTACCAAAACTGAAGCCCATTCATGTTGAAGACTTTGGGACTTTGCCTTTCAGCCATTAGCCTTCAACCATATACCATGGCACTCTGCCTTCTACCCCTACACCCTAAAACCCTGAAGCTCTAACCCTAACCCTTTCAATACCCTCAAACCCCTAATACTATGGCACTCTGCCTTCTAACCCCAAACCCTAAAGACCCTGAAACTTTAAACCCTGTGCCAGATCTTCTTCATCCTCGTCTTCTTGGAAAAAACCGTAAAAATGTAGAAAAAATAGTTTTTTGTGTTTTAAAGTTTTTTAACAATTTTAAAAGTTTTTTAAAGTCTTTCAAAGTCTTTTAAAGTTTGTAAAAGTTTTTAAAAACTTTTAAAAGTCTTTTAAAGTCTTTTAAAGCTTTTAAATGTCTTTGAAAGTTTTTAAAAGTCTTTTAAATATTTTATAAGCCTTTTATTTTTTTGAAAAGTCTTTTGAAGTTTGTTAAAGTCTTCTAAAGTTTCTAAAAGTCTTTTAAAGTTTTTAAAAGTGTTTAGAATGTTTTTTCTTGCATTTTAAAGTTTTTAAAAGTCTGTAAAAAGTTTTTAAAAGCCAACTCTGTCGAACAAGCCCTGTGGATCTAAACCCTGTGGTTCTGGTTCGGTGCAAAGGGTCAATGAATATAATGCCTACAGGAATATTACTCTCTTATAGTACTTTATGAAGTTACAGTATAAACTACCCCAACACCCTACTCTGACTGCTATACCCCCGGCAGTAGTTTGCTTTTTCCTTTGCAGGGTTTGAGGAGGGGTGCACGGTATCCGCTCAGGGTCCAGTTACCCAATAATTGTGTACTCTCCTAAATCCTAACCTACAAATCGACTATCCTGAACCCAGGTACCTAAAAATTAGGCTCTTTGCACCCTTGGGGATAACCCTCACCCTGAAGAACCTACCTTTTCAGGGTTCCCCATTATGATTTCCTTATATAAGTTCTTGACAAAGTAGGTTCTTCAGGGTTAAGGAAGTCTTTTTTCGAGACGGCTTAACCTTACGTCTGACAAATAACTTCTGAAGCCCACGCGTTTTTCCCCCTAAAGCTTACACCTTCGAACCCAAAGCCTCATGCAAGTGCGGAAGTGCTTTTGGGTTGTAGCGAGCTTCGGGGCAATACAAGGCCGAAGTGTTGTAGTGACGAGTAGTATCTACGAGTAGTCCCAAATCAGGTTTAGATATGGTATAAGATACCCCGCCACTGCTCTAATCGTTACTGTTAGTATGAGGTTTAGGGGTTAGGGTATAGGGTCATGGTACTATCCTATGTGGATCTGCCTGTTTCCTGCAGGAGGCCTTACATCGAAGCCCTACTAAAAACCAAGATAGTCCACAACGTAGAAGTCTGAATCTGAATAACGACCTATATTATTCATTAGGGTTCCTTATTATAAGTATACTATCAAGGAGCCCAAAACCCTATTCTAGTCATCAAAACCCTATTCTAGTCATTATGGCCCCTACATTATGTACTACCTTGCTCGGACAAGGCCCCGATAGACCATCCTTTCTTTGATCTCTCCGCGTCTCTCTCTCTCTCTCTCTCTCCTCTCCCTCCCACTCTCTCTCGCTCGTTCGCTCTCGCTCTCTCTCTCTCTCTCACTCCCTCTCTCTCCCTCTCTCTCCCTCTCTCTTGATTTTTCCTTCTATCTAGAAACTATCAGTTATCTCCATCACTATGTCTCTATCTCTCCACATGTCTCTCTCGTTCCCACAAAGGCTCCAAGCCGGCAGCAGAGCCTTCTGCTTGGGCTACTGCATCAGGCCGGGGTTGGACCGTGAGACCTACGCCGGTTCCGTTCAGGGTTCCTGTAGTAAAGGGCTCCTTATGGGGGATCCGTTTTCAAAGGGATCCTCTCAGAGTTCCTGTAGTAAGGGGCTCCTTAAACGGCTGCTTTTTCCAAGGGACCCTTTAAGGGTTCCTCAAGGGGTTCCTTAAAGGGTTCCTTTTTCTGAGGGTTCCTTTATAAGGAGTCCTGTGAGGTTCCTTTAAATAGGTTTCTTTAAGGGTTCCCTTAAGGGTTCCTTCAACGGGTTTTTGTTAAGGGTCCTTAAAAGGTTCCTGAAAGGGTTCCGTATATGGTTTGATAGGAGTTGCATCATTGTGGGCTTTCCTTACGATGGTTCAGGTTCATTTCTGAAGATAAGCACACGCTTTACATAATCAGCCAATCGTCAATATAGGGGCCCAGATAATAATGGACCCCAAAACCCTATTCTAATTCATCGAGGCTCCTGTATCAGATAGCCATCCTTTTGCTTTATCCTACCTTCGAGATTCTCACTCAGATGTTGCAATACGGCAGATGATATAAATCATGCATTACCGTAAGAACCCTAAAGTATGGACAAAGTCAGTCAGAATGCTGTATTCCTTATTGTGGGTAACGCAGGAGTTCAAATCAACAACAGTAGGCTTTCATTAGTGATAGATCTGATTCCCCTAAGGCTCTGTGCCCCAACTAGTATATACTTTGGCCATAAAGTAGTCCGTATATAGGTACATTGGGGGTAAAGTATATACTAGTTGGGCACATGGACCCTCAGGGATTCAGCTAGGTTAAGCGATATTGGAAGATACTGTTGATGATATAAATCCTGCATTAGCCATAATAAGGAATATACCATAATTCCCATAGTTTAGGGTCATGCACGGAATGCAGGATTTATATCATCAACCGTATGGGCAGGCCTTGCTGTCCTCCTGGGTTCAACTGAACAAGAGAACACAGAATTCCCATTTTATTAAGGTAAAACTAGGTATCCCAGTTCTAAAGCCCCTAGAATAGCCTTAAGCCTCAATTGTGGAATACTAGAAATCCACAAGAATCCTAAAAAGCCCAGCGCAACCAACCCTTAAACCCAAACAGTTAGATAATGTAGAGGTCGTTGTAATCAGTCAAAGCATCCCCGGTGTAGCCCCTCGTCCATGATTTCCGACTAACCCCCGAAGCCCTAAAGCTTTGACTTTGCGGAGGCAGGCTCCGTTCCCCTTTTATCGGACACTCTTGGTGGAGGCCTGGGAGGGTGTTTTGTTGGGCTTCAGGGGTTAGGTCTTTAGGGCTTGAGACGCTTAGGGTTTGGGGGTTTAGGGGTTAAGGTTTTGTAAGGGGTTCAATGAGGGTTCCCATAAGAGTTCTACCAAGGTTCTATAGGATTCAACAAGGTTGAATCCTACATCGAAGCACTCAAAACCCGCACACGACCCTTTGTAAACCCCACGACCTCAACCCCAACCCTTGCACCCCAAACCCATTGGCTTACCCCCCTGGGACCCCGTATTCGTAACTCCGACTATAAGGATCATGTGGCCTTCAGTAAGAGTATCTTGATAATTTCCTGGTACCTGCGACTCCTCAACAAAAACCAAGCCTTGGACTTGACTAGCCTAAACTGATCCCTAAACCCTAGACCCCAAACCCTAAGTAATACTCCAAACTCAAAGGCTCATGTCGGACAGCCCTAAACCCTAAACCCTAAAACCCCTTGAAAAGGTCACCCGGCGCTACACTTTCATCAACCACACGCAGAGGACTGGGCCCGGCAGCGGTGCAGAGTTTAGGGGTTTAGGGTTTAGTTTGAGAGTTGAAGGGCTTTGGGTTTGGAGTTTGTTGCCGGGGACCCTCGTCCATGATTGAGCCCTTCAGTGAGGCTTATAGGCCCTAAACATCCCTAAACCCTTACCTGGCAATACACCTTGATGTGTTCGTATTTTAGGGCATACCTCGAGGCCCCATAGTAGTTCCTTTTGGGGATTACCTTATCGGATTCTATATATGAACTCAAACAGGAACTACTTTCGGGCCTTTGGGTATTCCTCAATGGGTGTTGGCATCTCTGGCCACCCTGAACCCGACAAAACCCTACCGAAGACTTATACAACCCATTCAAGCCCGTAACATTCCTACGAAACACTGCAACAACACAACCCTTATGCAATCCTCATAAAGGTATAGCGCCGCACAGCTGCATACAAGCTTACCAAAATTAAACCCTTATGCAGCCCTGCAACACTCTGTTAAGACCGGAAGCATCCCGATAAAAATTCTAATTCTAAAGCGCTTGGCAACCCTGAGTAAACCTTACAAATATGAATATACATATGAATATAATTATGAATATAATTATGATTATAATTATGATTATAACTATGAATATAATTGTAAACATATAAAAACCCTGCGTGCAGCACTTGTGAATCCTTTTTACAACCCTGCAACCCTAATACATCCCGATCCAGCTTTATACAGCCTTATACATCCATTCCCAACCCCCAACTTTATAGAACCCTTTATCAACCTCTTGATAACCTTAATTACAAAACTCCACAGAATCAACCCCTAAACCCTAAACCCCCAAATCCCTAAACCCTAAAACCTGAAGCCCTAAACCCTAAAACCCTAAACCCTAACCGGAAGTATGAGGCCCTACGAAACCCTCAAGCTGAAGCCCCCACACCGTGCAGGACTCTCTTCGTCTTCGACGGCAGCAAGACTTTGGTGACCCGGCTAAGGGTTGCCCTGCGTAAGGGTCCAAAGGGTCCAAGACTTCTGGCTTGGTTCCTTATGGGGGCTTTCCAAGATCTCTTTAAGGATTTAGAAGGTGTTGTCTAAGCAGTGTTTCTGTTAACATCGGTTTTGTACAACAAACTTTGTCTGTGCAGTTCGATAAAATTCCAGATCTGGGTTCCTAAAGGCGAGATGCAAACCAGGGGGTGATCCAGGCCTTGGGGAGCTTACTGTTTGAGGGTTTAAGGCTTGGGGTTTAGGTACAATAGTACCGCTGATGGAGGCCCCTATTCCTTCCATACCCTGAACCCTAATCTGGATGTCAAGCAGGTCTCGACATTAAAAACACGTCTGCGAATGGACGAAGTCCTGCATCACGCACCTGCATCATGAACATTGACATTGGAGCGGATCGGGAGTGATCCAGCTAACATGTCATGCTCTTCTAGTTGTGTCTCGTGCAGGATGTACCCCCCCCCACCCACCATAAGTTCGTATTGTAGCTAGACGCCAAGACTAGTACCCCAAGACCCCGGGCCAAAGTAGTACGTTAAGCCACCTGTACGCTGGCTGGGTCTCAGGTCTTAGGGCTTGACTTCGTGTATGTTAGGGTGTCACGAAGCCCTATAAACTCTAAACTCTCTATCCCACCCTACACCCGTAAACCCTAAACTCTAACTCTATATCCCAGATGCCAGAGGTCGAACCCCAAAGGATGTACTGTTCTACAGGGGTCATCAGCAAGCTCCAAGCCCAAGCCTCAGACCAACGACGTATGTAAAGACATATGGAAGGCAACCTCATGCCTTGAAGCCTTCTGCGAGGCTCATGCAGCTGTCCACCTTTTTGTACATAGGTATATACATATTTCTTTATGTTTATATTAGATATATACATATATACATACATACGAGGAAGTCACGAAGAGGTAGGGGAGGCCCTGAACCCTCCACCATAAAAACAAAAGCCCTAAAGCCCCAAAGCCTAAGCCGTTTCAGCAACCCTTGGAGCAACCGACACTACAGCCCTTATCAAACTCTTGTGCAACCCTTGTAGAGCATTTAAAGAACCGAAGCCCTAAACTCGAGAGCATCGGAAACCCTACCTGAGTAGGAACCTTATATAAGGAACCTTAACCCTAAACCCCAAATCCTAAACCCCTGAACCCTACACCCTTTTAAAGGAACTTTGGAAAATGTCCAAGGAGCTTCCGAAAGACGAGCCCAAAGCCTACGAGCCCTCGCATCCGGGTCCTGCGGAAAGCCCCTGAACCGAGTTAAAGTTTAGAGAAAGGGTCTTGGGGTTTTGGAGTTTAGGATCTAGAGTTTAGGGTGTACTTGGGGATCCAAAACCCTATTGATTTCGTGGTTAGAACCTACAAATAAGGGGTCATAACCTACTACTCTGTCGGTTTGGGGATACAGGCTAGGTCCTTAGGTAGGCTTCGGGATTAGGGCTATGCAGAGGGTTTAAGGTTCAGGGAATACATTCCCTCAACCGAGGACTATCGGGTAGTGTAAAACATAGGAACCTGATTAAGAAACCCTGGGATATAAGGGTTCTGTACATAAGCCCGAAGAGTTTGGGCGTGATGGGGCCAGGGGATTTCTTACTCAGGTTCTTACTTTAGGATTCTGATCTGATGCGGGCTCTTTTGAAGGGGTCAAGCGCTTGCTCCTTTCCTGAGAGGAGGTACCGACCCCCAACTACCCTCCAATATAACCAAATACCCACTATTACAGGCCATCAGGGCTCTATTAAAGGGCCCTTGGGGGTGCTGGTAGCTGAGGCTTTTGGGATATTTCGTATGTAGGGTTTAGGGTTCAGGGGTTTTCCGTTATTATTGGGCCTAAAGGGGATCGTATTACGCATCTTGTTCAAAAGGGTTTGAATGGACCAACCTAGGGTTTTCAGAGGGGCTTCTCGTGGTTGCATAGCCCAGAGGGTCCAAGTCCTTCCTGTTGTAGGACTTTGGGGGCTTTTTAGGTATCACAAGCCGTAACATGAGCCCTAAACCCAAAACCTAAACCCTACACCCTAAACCCTAAACCCGAGAGGACCACTTGGACTTTTAGGGTAGGGGTTCTAAGTTTTTGTTGCTACGAGCGTTTCATAAGGGGCTCAGGTTTTGTCTACTTGAGACTCCAGAACCTTCCAATGACGCTATGTAGGGCTTAGGGTTAGCGGTGCGGGTCTTAGGCTTTGAAGTTTAGGGTGCCTAACTTGCATGGTAAAGAGTCTTGACTATGGCTTAAGATGTAGATTTGTCCTTGCTTATAGGGTTTTAGAGTCGCTGGGGGAAGGGTCTTGCATCGGGCTCGAGGTGGGTGCTGTAAGTATAGCCTTAACCCTGAATACCTACCTTTTAAGGGTTCCTCAGTATGATTCCCTTATATATAAGTGCTTAACAGGGTAGGTTATTCAGGGTTATAGGAGAAGCGTAAGGTCAGGATTCTACAGAGCCTACGAAAGGCTACTACAAGTACATGGGCCCTACAATGAGTCCACCAGGGTTCCCTTTTTTTCACAAGGCTCCTCCTTTGGAAGGGGTGTGCCTGAGTTGAGGATTTGCTCGTTATGTCTTCTAAGTGGTTTTGGGTGAACCTTTTTTGTTGAAGTTTGAAGGGGCTTCATGTTTGCTTTCATTCGCCTGTACGAGGTTCATAAGGGGTTACCGGTGTTCGTGTAATAAGAAGCCCTGAATAAAGAGCCAAGAATCCGAGCCCCGACGAAGGGCGGTTTAGGGTTTAGGGGTTTAGGGTTTAGGGTTTTTGGAACAATGTGGCCCAGCCCCAGCGCCGAAGTGCATCGCCCACCGAAGCCAAAGCTCAACTCGTGCCGATTGGGATGCTACTGTTCGTAGCCAACGGTTTAGGGTTTTGGGCAAGAGGTGCTGCTCCGAGCGAAGCACTCCATGACAAAAACCCCTCGTGGGTGCTTGCCGCAGGCTTCCAGAGTTTGCAGTCAAGCGGTAGCATGAGCTCCTCATGGCAGACTGCGCTAGGAGGGCTGGCTTCTTGGGGTTCCTCCAAACATCCCGATGTCCAGCAAGTCGGATGCACGGGTCACCGAAGGCGCCCAGGCCCCGGACGAGACCTGTCGCAGCTCAAGCCAGACCAGAGCTGCCGCTGCCCAACATCCGCCGAGTCCATTCTGTCCAGCGACACTGCCACGTGGTCCCGAGTTACAGGAACACGCAACAAGACCTTGTGAGACTGGATCGACCGCACAAGGTGCTTGAACCCAAAACCTTGACTAAGCCAATTTAAACCTCAAACCCGAAGCTGCATATCCAAGATTAAAGCCCAAACCCTGCGTCTTAAACTCGAAGGCCTAAGCCGTGCTGTTACAGGAAGTGCCGAGAGCGCTTGGCAGCAACTTTAAAGCTTTGTCCCAACACCCTCCGAAAAGCAAAAACTAGAAAACCAAAATTTCGTGAACCCCACCCCCCGCCCTCCCCGCCCCCACATGTTAAGATATCCTGATAAACCCTATTCCGTAAACCTCTTTTAGAATCCGAGCGACAAAACCCCTAGTATCTGAGCAGGTAACCTTTAACCCGCTGGGGTTTATGTGGTCCTACCAAATTTCTAAAGGTTGACCTTTCTTGGGCTAGGATATTCGGCCCCTAAAATTACCAATGGTACTTTTTCGGGTCCCTTCGTAGAATTGTAAAATAATTTGCCTTAAAGCCACGTGCGCATCATTAGCCGTAAACCCTAAATCCTGACCCCTAAGAACCCCCTTAGAGTCTTTTGAAGGTTCCTTCAAAAGTTTAAGATCCTCATATATAGAACTTTAAACTCTTACACTATCCAAGCCAAAGCCCAGGTTTCATAAGCCCGATTCTAATTAGTAAGGCCCCTACATGACAGTACCCTGATAGTGTCCCTTATAATGGCCCCTATAAACCCCCTTTAAGAGGGAACCCCTCATTCTTAGATCCTTATATCTATATATATATATATATATATATATATATAGAACCCTAAACCCTTGTAGAACCCTAAACCCTAAACCCTAACCTTTAAAAGGGAACCCGAGCCAAAGCCCAGGTTTCTGCTTTGACATCAGCGGCACCAACGCCCTGAGCTTCTCCGCTGGCTTTCGTCTCACGCAGCTCTTGGACTTTGAGGCTCCCAGGGGCTGTTGAGCCTTGATTTTAGGGCTTACCCTAGCCCTGAATGACCTGCCTTTTTAGGGTTCCCTATTATGATTTCCTTATATGAGTCCATAAAAAGGTAGGTTCTTCAGGCTTAAGGTAGGGGGTAGGGAACTCCAGAAAGTTGGAAGATGGTTTCAGGGTAGGATACACTAGAATTTACCATAGAAGGGTTTAGGATAATCATATTCCAACTTTTATTGGCTTTTACTTTATGTTAGGGCTTAGGGGGTTTAGGGGCTTTAGGGTGTAGGATCCTTAGGGTTCCACAAAATATTGTAGGAGCTTTAGGGTTTAGGGGCTGTTAAGCCCTTATATTAGGGCTTAGGGGGTTTAAAGTAAAAGCCAGAAAGTTGGAATATGATTATCCTAAACCCTTTATGGTAAATTATAAGGTATCCTACCCTGGAACCATATTCCAGCTTTCTGGGGTTCCCGTTGGGGGGCTTTGGGGTTTAGGAGTTTTAGGGTTCCCTTGGTTTGGGTCTCAGGGGCTTTGGGGTTTAGGAGTTTTAGTGTTCAGGGGCTTTAGGGTGTCGGAGCTTTAGGGTTTAGGGGCTGTTAAGCCCTTGTTTTAGGGTTGCCTTCAAGATTGCCTTATTGGAAAGAGAGTTTCATATGTGTTGTTGTGCGGTTAAACTGGAGGATGGGAGGTCATGCTTGCAGGGTGTTGAAAGCAAGACATCATAAGAGTGCTACAGGGCTTTATCATGTATGACTATGTAGGACATTGGGTTATCTATTCTTTTCATTGTCAATTCCAGGAAGATCTTATTTACCTGCTGCGCTGTAAGCCCCAACCTAGACCACACAGCATAGGACTCAGGCTTAAAGGTTTGGGGTTGGTAGTGCTTCTGGTCGCAAATTTAGGCTTTAGGTGTTCTTGAGTGTTTGCAAGAAACCTAAACCCTGAACATCCCTAGACTCCCTAATGAGCCTTTGCTTGTCAAGGGTCGTGCTGGAAGCACCTGCGGCGGTGGCGCAAATGCAGACTGTTCTTCAGGAGACAATTCGCGGTCGAAAACGCAAGTTGTTGGCCGAGGCTTCGCCCATCAGTCTTCAAGTGGACGACAAGTCACCGTTTCGGCTGGTTCGCTTCAAAGCGGCCCCCCGTCAGCTCAGGCATTTTGTGTGTCGTGAAGCCGTCTGAGATGCTGGAAGACGACCCAGAGGCCTGGGACAATGACAAGTCCCAGCTAGCAGCTGACAGCATTGCTGCCGGCGTTCGTGAGCTGTGCAAAAGCTTGGGGCACGACAGTCACGATGTCAATCTTTAAGACCACATCATGAACAATATCAGGAGCTTTTCTGCGGACGGTGCTGCGTACGCCCAGAAGGTAGGGCGGTTGCTCAAGAAGTCGCTTTGCCCGAACCTGATCTTGATCTGGCACAATCCGTCAAGAGAACTCGGGGAGTTTCCCGGCATTCTGATGATATGGGGAAGCAGGGGTGAATTATGAGAAGGGTTCTATGTTTAGGGTTTAGGAGTTTAGGGTTGTTAAGGGTTTAAGGTGTAGTATTATACCCAGAGAGTCCATGTGGTATTGTAGTAGGCTCCTAGCAGGTATCTGGGCCCGTAAAGTATGTACTGTAAAATTTTTCAACCACTATAAAGTCAGAAGCCTGAAACAGGTAAGCGCCGAAGACAAACGCTGAAAGTCGTCAAACTATTTTACCTGCCAGAACCTACTTTTTTGTAGGGTCCGGTTACATTACACATGTGGGTTTATAGTCGTAACTCACAGAAAAGTAGGTTAGGGTGGTTTAACGTAGCAGCACTCGCTTTACCCTAAACCCCTAGACCCTAATCCCTTGACTCCGTCCCCAGAGGCTGCTAAGTACCGGCATGGTATAACTACATTATAGTCAGTTTTGTTTTTGTCGATAAAATAAACCAACAGAATATCAGATATATTGCTTGCAATCTGTTCTAAGGGCTGTATAGATAAAGTAGGCTTTCTATAGTACGAGTTTCCATTATGGTTTGGGTAAGTATCCCCCATGTAGGTATTCTTGAAAGAACCTCTCTTAAGAGGAACCCCCTTAAATTGGCCCCAAGAAGGTTCTTGGGGGCCTTTCACAAACCCTTACTCCCTGCCTCGTCTTCGGCAGGAGGGGAGCGGAATCGTGCTGCGCAGCGCGAAGATCCAGCTCATGCAGCCTGGCACGAACCCAGATTTTCCAAAATCCCTTACCTGTTACCTGAACCCCAAATGACCTCCCTTTTTCAGGACTTATATACAGAAATCAAACTGGGGAACCCTAAAAAGGTAGGTTCCTTAGGGTCCAGGGAGTTTGCTTTAAAAGGGGCCCTAAAGGACTATCGCGACTTCCACAGTGATCGAAAAGGGCGAGGAGGATGAGTTGGGAGGAGGGGAGCGCGATTGGACTGACGACATCATACGAGTATTGCTAAGCAAGTGTATGTTCTAGAAATTGCGGGATCAAATTGGGGTTTAGGCGCATGTACTTGCAGGTTCACCCCTGAGCCGCAAGCGCTCATGGCTTTTGGGACACGAGCCCGAACCTGAAGTGCTACAGCCTTGAAGCCCCAAGCCCCACAACCCCGATTACAGAACCATGAAGCGCCCTGAAATCTGAAACACCCGATATTCTAAACCCCTAAACCCTAAACGCCAAACCCCTATCTAAAACCCTAACCCTTACAGTAAGGCTAAGGGCCGAACAGAGAACGCCCTCAGCTCAGGTACAAAGTTATCGAGGACGACACGAGCAACCTCGTTTCAGCACCTGTCTCTCAGACGCAGAGCGGCGAATCAAAGTCACTTTGGCTGCAACGGTTTAGGGTTTAGGGTTTAGGGTGGTTTGGAGTTTCGGGTTGTGGGGTTTCCGGTTGAAGCCTATCCTAAACACTGCCTTAACCCGGAACAACCTACCTTTTCAAGCACTTGCATCAGGAACTCATACATAATAAGGAGCCCTAAAAATGTAGGTTCTTCAGTCTTCAGGTAAACCCTGAGGAGTTCCCCTAATTTGGCCTGAGTTCAAGGCTCCGGGCATTCGGTTTCGATCGGGATGGAGGTTGTTGCTTCTTTGATCCAAGGCTTTGCGTTCGTGAATAGCCCTACAAACCCAAACCCTAAACCCTAAACCTTAAAACCCTAAACCCTAAACCCTAAACCCAAACCCTAAACCCCTAAACCTTATGATAAAGCCTAACACCCTAAGCCCCAAAGCCTGAACCATAAAACTCTCAACCCTCGACCCCTGGCCCCAGACCCAAACGACAAAGCACTTGCATGCTGCTGATACCTAAGCCCCGACCGCTCCCTATGAATCTAAGGACTCATATGGGTAGCTGTCAAAATTTATGGTCCCTTTCTGGGTACCTAAATATTAGGTGCCGTATTATATTAGGGATCCAAAAATGGATCATACTTTGGACAACCACACATCCTTTATGAAGGCTTTTGGGCCCCAAAACCATACTTTGCAAGGCTTTTGTTCTACTTTGATCCCCAGGGTAAGCCCTACCCTAAACCCTAAACCCCATTCCCTCAGGGTCCATGTACTCAAACAGTATATACTTTGGCCCCAATGTACCTATAAAGGCCAAAATATATACTATTTGGATACATGGACCCTTACAGATTAGGCTATTTTGATCCCCAGGGGCTTAAGCTTCTAAGAACCCCCCCGAGCCCTCATCTTCAGGTCTGAACTGTCTTGAACCTTACATTAGAGCCCGAACCCCAAGCCCAACAACTCCAAACCCTCAACACCAAAACCGTAACTCATAGGAGGCCAAGAAGGGTTTCAGCCTATGAGGGTTTAGTAGGGATTAGGGTTCCCAGAATAGGGTTCATAAGGAATCCCTACCCCAAGAATCTTAGCCCCCCCCCCTTTTGGCCTCCCATCAGTAACGGCCTGAAAGCGCCATCTAATCCTTGTGTTCGCGAAGCACCTCCCCTCCCTTTAAAGGAACCCATTATAGATCCTTTTAGCTCTAACTCCCAAACCCTAAACCCTAAAGGATCCCATTATAGATCCTTTTAGATCCCTTAAAAGGACCCATGATAGATCCCCTTAGAGGAACGACATTCCGACCCAAGGCCTGAAGTGAGGCAATGGGCCATCGCCACCGTGGAAGCGCCACTTGGATGGATGGTTTAAAGCTTTTTTTCGTGCTTACTAATTACCTGAAGCCCAAATAACCTACCCTAAACCCCTAAACCCTAGAAGAACCTTTATAGTAGAATGTAGGGTTTCTGTATTAGGAATTACTTTGATAATTTGGGGAAGTATCCCTATAACATTACTTTGGACCCTTTGGGAAAGGATCAAACAGAAGCAGGGGAGGATCCTTTCTTACGGGCCATTCTGAAGGAGCAAATGACCCTCACAAGTAGGGGCCCTAGATCCGTATACCATGAATCCCTATATGGTCTATGAAGCTTAAACCCTTCAACGGACCTAGAACCCATATACTATGAAGCTCCATATTTGCAGCTTAATTAAACCCTTTTAGGGTTCATTGCGTCCTTAAGGATAGGAGTCCTGCGAGGGACCTTCATTGTTGCACTCTAGGGTTTTAGGGTTTAGAGTTTAAGGTTTAGGGTGTAGGGTTTTAGGGTTTAGGGTTTAAGGTTTAGGGTTTAGGGTTTTAGGGTTTATGGTTTATAGGGCTTAGACGCAAGTAGAGGTCCCGGCCTGCTGTGTCCAAAGACTGCCCAAGCCCGAGGGTGGCGCAGGCACCGCAGTTTCCGGCCCGTACTATCTCCCAGAGGGTCCAAGTACTCCCTATTATAATAGGACTTTCGGGCCTTTCTAGCAAAAACCATAAACAAGGACTACTTGGAGTTTTTGGGTCTTAGTACAACTGCAATGTGTGGCTTCATGTCTGCGCAGTTTCTCTGTCAAGCTGGTCCCACGAGGTTTAATTGACACCAATCCTGACACAGCTGAGATGTCGTCAACAGCGTCGATGACGATGTCAGCCCTTTCGAGCAGATCCAGCCTTTCCTGACTGGCGTGCAGGAGAGGTCGGGCTACGGCTACCTATTCGTTCGCTGCAGGAACATGGTTCACGCAGACTTGCACGGCCTCATGTTCAGAGGCGATGGTGTGGAGCCTGAGGAGTTCCGCAAGGCGTGGAAAACTTGGCGGAACCTTAAGGACGAAATGGACCCTAAAAGGGTTTAAGGTTCATATACCATTTAAGGATTCATAGTATATGGGCATAGGGCCCCTACTTTTAAGGGTCATTTCGTCCTTCAGGAACTTCCTGGTTTTGTTGCCCGCATCGGTCCCAACGACTGCAGTCAGTAGCCAGACCGTCCTTAAGCTGAGTCAAACGATCCTGAAAGACCAGATGACCCTCAAAGGTAGGGGTCCTATGCCCATATACTATGAATCCTTAAATGGTATATGAACCTTAAACCCTTTTAGGGTTCATTCCGTCCTTAAGAGTACTCCAGACCGATAATTTCGATTCCCTTCAGAATTGCAAGATAACAAAATGTCAGTGCAAGCCGTCGAGCTCCCTCTCACGAAACTCAATTTTGACAAAAGGCCCGCAACCCAAACCCAGGGCCCTAACATTCTAAACTCCAAGCATGCTACACCCTAAACCTTAAACCTTACCTAGCCCCCAACTACCCATTATTGTGGCCCCTAAGTATTCTAAATGAGAAGTACTTTATCCCTTTATTGGGTACTTGCAGGTCCTGGTACACCCCTAACCCCCGATCTCAGACCCCTTAGCCCCTAAAAACCGTAAACATCCCGAATTTTTTGGGGGTCCTTCAGAATAAGCATCCTACTATTTATACTATATTGGGGCCCCCTATTTTCGGAAACTCCCAAATGTTCCTGAACCCGTAAACCCCTCTACCCCTACAATGCCTCAAGAGACTTAGGCTAGAAGACTCCGGCGCCCTGGTCCTGCGCTTCTCCGATCCGACGAAACCGCTGCTTCTAGAATTCCACAGCATGCGAGTTTAGGGCTTTTGGATTTTGGGGTTTTGGGGTTGGTTTAAGGGTTTAGGGCTTTGGCGCATAGGGGTGTTTAGGGTTTAGGATTTGTGGTTTAGGCTAGCAGGGTATAAGGCGTTGGTTCCTACAAGAACTCTGGTGTCAACCAGGTTCTGTCGGGTTCCGTCAGGGGTCTAATATAGGGGCCTCAAGAATTACCTATACTATTTTTTTTTTTTTGGGGGGGGGGGGGGGGTCCTCATTATATTCATACTTTTAATGGGCCCCAAAGCCCTATTCTAGTTATCAAGGCCCCTATACTATGAGGGTTCAGTGCTTGGGTTCTGGGCTCCGAAGGGTTCTACCATACGTGAGTTTCCGAAAATTAGAGGTACCTTACTTATTTGGGTCCTGATAATCAGGATCCTACTGTTTAGGGTACGATATTAGCGTTCTGGTTCTGAATAGATTTCTATCGGGGGTCGTATTCACGGTTTTGTGGCTTGGGCTAAGGATTTTGTGACTGGTAGGGCTTAGGGGTTGGCATGTCTGGGTTGTTTAAGTTTCGCAAAAGAATTTATTAGGCGATTTTGCGGGTTTAGAGGCTTATTTACGGGGAGTTAGGCTTGTGTTGGGGAGTCTGTGAATTTTTACAAGGCTCCTTCAAGTGATTTTGTGAGGTGTTGCTGTCCTTTAATACAACTATGTTTGGGGCGTAGAAGACTTTGGCCTAGAAGGTTTTGGCGGAATTAGGGGCTCTATGGTTTAGGACTTGTGGTTTAGTATTTTGGAGTTTAGGGTTTCGGGGTGCGTAGCAGTTCACTTGGGCCAAAACCCTAAACCCTAAGCACCAAACCCCATCAGACAGGTTTCGCATGGTGAACCGCACCAGCCACACCCTCTTCTTCCAGCAGGACGGCGATGTGGTGGGTTTGACTACTGTAGAGGCCTAAATTCCTTGGCCCCAGAACCTATTCTAATTATTAAGGTCCCTGTATGAGGGTAGAGCTTCAAAGGTTTGCGGTTTAGGGATTGGGGTTTACGGATCTTTTGGTTCGAATTTCAAGTTTTGGAGTACAAGGCAAAACACTGTAAACCGAAAGCCCTGGAAGCCCTTACATTGTACATCGCTTACAAAGTACCAAAACCCGTCCACAGACTAGGGGACCTTTCGCAGCTTCGGCAGGCGGCAAAAGGTGCTTAAAACACAATAAAAGTTCTAAACCCTACCCCAAGGGTCCAAGTACCCAATAATCATAGACTCTCCGAATTCTAACTACATTACCTGAAGGACGAAATGACCCTTAAAAGTAGGGGCCCTATGCCCATATACTATGAATCCCTATATGGTATATGAACCTTAAACCCTTTTAGGGTCCATTTCGTCCTTAAGGTACTATCCTAAAACCGAGTACCTAATTAAAGGGTCCTTGGGACCCTTAGCCCCGAAACCCTCCCTGAACCCCCAATCCCGATACCGTAATCCCAGGAGCCAAAAAGCACTACAGTAGAAGGGTTTAGGGTTTAGGGTTTAGGGGGAAACCCAATAGCCTCAATCCTTAAGAGGTGTACGGAATTCCCACACTCTGTGGCCTTAATCCGGTTTTGAACTTTATGGGGTTTTCTATAAAAACCCCTAAGCGCCCCGAGGCCGAACCGTAGCCCGAGGATTGCCAAGCGTACGCGGTTCAGGGTTCACAGTGGTTCCCAGAAAGTTGGAGCATGGATGAAGGATGATTAACGCTGGGATTCTCGATGCTTTACCTTAGGGGAAGGAGGAGGATAATGATGTTCCTACTTTCTAATTTGAACTTGTACCGTATGGTTTAATAACTTGCCCAAAACCCTAAACCCTAAACCCAAAACACCCTTAACCCGACACCCTAAGCCCTAAACCCTATAGACCCTATGCCCTGGGGTTTGGGCTGATTCAGAGGCCTTCATTAGGGCCTTTGTTCGGCTACTAGGCTCCTTCGGAGTAGCCTTTTTGGCCTTTTTGTTTTGGAGGTTTCCTTATCGAAAAACGGATTTTTTAGGTACCTTCATTATTGACGGGCTACTCAGGAACCTAGGGTTTAAGGTTTTTTCGGGTCTTTATGTGAATCCTCATGTTTCGAGGTTATAGGGCTAGGCTGTTTTAATCAGATTGATACATGAGTAGCTACCTGCTTTGGGATGAAAGCATTCCCAGAGAGCACCAAACCCTTGCTGTAGGTTTAGGGTTTAGGGGGTAACATGAAGCCCCTGAAATCTAAGGTCTAGTGCTTCGGGCGTGTGGGTTCCAATGGTTTCCGCCCATGAATTCGGCTTTTTTGGTTGGCTCTCGAGCCGATTCTGGTCGAACAAGGGTTCGCTTGCAAGCACCGGCTTTGTATATAGGGCCCTCAATACAAGGACTAGGGGTTTGGGGTCCATAAAGCCATGAATATCATATGGAACCTCCCCAAATAGTACGGGTATTTATTTAGGATCCTATACTATGTAGTTCCGTACCTGAAGATTTGCGTACTGTGTTCAACCTTAAGGACAAAATGAACCCTAAAAGGGTTTAAGGCTCATATACCATATAGGGATTCATAGTATATGGGCAAAAAGGGCCCCTACTTTTAAGGGTCTTCCTTGGTCCTTCAGGAAGGATCGTTGCATAGTCGTTCTTGGGAGCTGCGAGCTTCGTCTTCGGGCCCGCATAAATCAGGTGGTTGATGGCATAAATCTATAGGGGTACCTTCAAGGGCTTCCTTTAAGGGATCTATAGGGGGTTTAGGGTTTAGGGTTGATGATATAAATCCTGCATTACCTTAAGGACCCTAACCTGTGGGAATCATGGCATAGTCCTTCTTCTAATTCTAGGTAATGCAGGGTTTATATCATCAAGAGTAGTATCTACTAGGATGCCCATGAGTAGCCTTGTTCCCTTTTTGTAGTCCTAGGTTCCTTATAAAGGTACCCAACACCAAAAAGGGAGCCCTTTTTATTCCTAGGTTACTGGGCATCCTAGTTTAGGTATGGGAGCCAACGAAGTTACCACCTGAAGCCTTGATTCCTATTGGCAAGTGCCCTGCAGATGCCCTGAACTCCTAAGGTCCTAATCCCTACATAGCCCCTGTACAGGTTCTAACATGAAAGCCCTGAACTTCTAAAGCCTAAACCCCATATATATATATATATATATATTTTATTCATTAAATATATTATATTATATGTATGTATATATATATACAGAGAGAGAGAGAGAGAGAGAGAGAGAGAGAGAGAGAGAGAGAGAGAGATTCTAGTATACATGCCCTGAACTCCATCTTTCCAGGATTGCACTGATGCGCCGCGCTTCAAGCTGCAGCCAGAGGCCCCCGTAAGAAGAGACACCCAGCGAGCCGAGCACCCCTTAACCAAGGCTGTAGAGGTGTAGGGGTGTGGGGTTTAGAGTTTAGGGTTTGGGGCTTCAGGGGTTTAGGGTTTAGGGTTTTAGGGTTTGGGGTTTTGGGGTTTATAAGGTTTAGGGCATAAAGCCATCACTTAGAAGTAATTTTCAAGGGTATTCCGTAAGCAACATACCTGAAACTAAACTGTAGGGCTTTCTGCTATCGGTTGAACTCATGCTAAGGTATGTTCCCTGAGCTCTAAGCCCCAAACCTTGAGTTGTATGGGGCTGAACTATCGAATTCTTTTAACTTCACGTAAAGGCACATTATCTAAGCCGTCGACCCGAAACCATAAACATTCTCTGAGCATCCAACCCGGAGCCCTTAATCAGGGGCGTTGAAGCTCTTTGGCCACGCTGGAGTTCAGAAGCCTCTCAGGTCTACGTACTTTGGATTTGAGTTTAGGGTGCAGGGTTTAGTGCTTAGGGTTCATAATATAGGGCTTAGGGGTCAGGGTTCAGAAGCTTGAACTTTCTGAAGAGCCACGCATAGTCCAATCAAGAGGTCTTGAATTCTGCTGTTCTATGTACCTATCAAGACTTCTGGTTTATGAATGCTCCCAACCCTACACTTTATCCTGGAATTAGGATCCCGACTTTTAGGATTTAGGGTTTAGGACTGTGCCCCGGTAAAAGGGAGGGGATCTGTTCATCAACCAGCCCAAACCTTACCTCAAGACACCTGTAATTCTTGTAAGTTGCTAGTTTCTATCCTGAGGGTTGATCAGGTAAGGTGCACTTTGATGAATATATATATATATACATATATATATATATATATATATGTATATACATATATAGATATAAAAATATATAGAGAGAGAGTATAATCATATATATATATATATATATATGAGCAGATCCTTAAACCGGTCGGTGCATTGGGCTAGGGGGGCGACCCTGGGATCTTCCCCGCCTTTGTCGCAGCTCCTGCGCAGGCGAGCATGCCCTTTGCCTGGTTCTCCCCGTGCGTTGCTGGCAAAGTGACTTGGCAGGTGATTGTATGTGTACGCTTTACACTTTTTGGGATGAAATCATCCCTTATGGAACTCCCTAAACCTTGAACCATCCCTTATACAACTCCTTGTCCCTAAAGCCTCCCTTGTAGAACTCCCTACACCCTAAACCCTTACTTTCTATATATAGTCTTTTTAGGATAATATGTTTTTTTTTTCATAAATCCCAAGAGAATATTAAACATAGTGTTTTATTATGGTTCTAAGGGGGGTATCGTTTTTCTTGGCTTAGGAACTCAGCAACTAAGGTGAGCAAGGCTCCCGAAGTGGAGGCAGGGCGGGGCTTCCGCTGGCGGAGGGTCTTGGGTGCGAATTCTTACGGTTCCTTTAAGGGTTCCTTTAAGGGTTCTATAGGGGTTCTAGGTTTAAGGGTCCATGTACCCAAGTACTCCCTATTTAGGTCCATTGGGGCCAAGGTATATACTATTTTGGTACGTGGACCCTCAGGGACAAGTTTCAGGTTCCCTTTATGGGTTTGAGGATTCCTTCAAGGGCTTGAGGGGCTTAATGCGTGGTCAAGCCTTAGTAAAGGGGTTTCTGGTTTTATGGCTTTTCGGGTGTAGAGTCATGGGTCAGGGTTCCCCAAAACCGGGATTCTGGTTTACAAGGCTCGCAAGGCTTTTTGACGAGTTTAGCCATGGAATCTGTACCGTCCCATTAGTTTCTGAAACTCTATTATCCCCAGGTACAATACAACTTTCGCCTATCGAAGCTCGATCCTGAAACAGCCCTGCGGCTTCCGCGAAACCTCACACCAAAGCCTTACACCCTCGCACCCCTAAACCCCTAAATGTTTAAAACCCTGAAACACAAAATTCGAATCTAAGCCGAATGCTGCTCGCCACTCATCCCGAAATCCTTGAATTCACGCAGCCTGAATCTCAAAGCCTCTTAGTTTAGACGCGTTATCAAATATGCACCACAATAATGTTACGAAATTCAACAGCCATCGCGAGATCCTATGAAGCGACTTTTAGAAACTGTGTAGATTGAGCCCGGGGCCCCTTGTCCAAAAACCCTTGTAGAGCTTTGTGAGAGGGTTGAACTGGCTTGTTCCTTACAAGGAGTCGAAACGGAACCCTAAACACTAAACTTGGATCAAGACCCCTTTCTTATATAGAAGCGCTATAACCCCATGTTGAAATTCGTTTTCCCCATCGACCCCCTGTTCGAGGCAAAGACAGCGCATCCATATCTTTACCTGGGCGCCACGGCCAATGAGGCAGCGTTTTTGTTGTTTTCACCTTCCTCGAGGAGGAAGTGTACCCTGACAGGGTGCAAGGTTCAGACCCTGTGCTTGAGGCTTGAGGGGGTGAGTCGAAGCAGGAATTGTGCCCTAATAGGGTGTATACGTATTCGGTTCAATGACCATAATGTGAATCATGTTACCGTGCTGTAGGGTCCCTACCTTCAATTCAAGGGTCATTAGGTCTTCAAGGTATGTGCTCTCGGATGGACGTATAGGGTACGATACGGACTGAGGGTTAGGGGCTTGGGGTTTATGGTCTTGGGGTTTCGGGCTAGTTCATGTTCTTTTGGCACAGTGCCAGGAAGGGAAGCACAAGGGGTCTGTAACAATCTGTAAGAGTTAATGGGTTGGAGAGCCTTTTATCAACGGTCCCATAAGGGATGCATATTATGTGTACACACACACATATATACATACACACACACACACACACACTTAACTGTCTTATGTATCGGTCGATCGACCGACCTATCTACCTATGTCTCTTTAGACCTTGAGTTTAACAGATTTTGGATTTAGGGCTTTGGGTTTAGGGTTTAGGGGTTTCAGGCCTTGGAAGTTTAGGGTTTAGGCCATAGCCGCATAGCTCTACGCCCTATACTCCCTGAGCCTTAAAACCCTAAACCCTAATAAAACCCTAAACCCCAATTAAACCCTAAACCCTAAACCCTGCCTGCAACCCGCTTTTGGCTTCGTGTTTCGTTTGGGTGTCAACGACCTCCTGGCGAGCCAAGCAAGGCGAGCGACATTTTCCCCGCTGTAGTATATCGAGTTTCCATGGTAGTTCCTTTTTCGGGGGCTGCCTTAGAGGATCCTAAGAAAATATGTAAATAACTAGGTAAACATGGAACATATGTATATATATATATATATATGTATATGTAAACAGAAAATAAACATAACTGTAAATACATACATATATATATAGAGAGAGAGAGAGAGAGAGAGAGAGAGAGAGAGAGAGAGAGAGAGAGACTTGCTTAGACCAAGAGAGGGAACTACAATGAAGACTATAGGTAGGGGCACAGGGGACTCGGTAGCTGATAATGACCTAGGCCCAACTTAGGGTTCGAGGGCTCTTTAGGGTTCAGGGCTTAGGATCGGGGAGGGGTTACTGAGAGGATCAAGGGATGTAGCAAGTGGGCTATGTGTGGAGCAATAGGTAACAGCCATATGTAAAATCTACTTACTAAGTTTCCTCCCAGTTCCCCAAAGTCTCCTAAGTACGTACATGGTAGAAAGTAGGCTTTCAATCTATAGTTGGAATTGCCATTATGGTTTGGGTAAGTATCCCCCATATAGGTACGTAGGAGCCGTTGGGTTGAAGCCGAGAAGACAGCACCCGATTTAGGGTTAGTTTAATTAGGGTAAAGTTGGAACTATATTTGCCAGGAAGACGAGGAGCATTTTGCATCCAAAGCTGCGCTTGAACGCATCCTTCCTGCATTTCTCTGTTTCGGCTTGGGAAATTGAATAGACCGCAGGTCTCAGGGATGTGAAAGGGTGTACAGATGTGTTAGACCGTGTTATCAACGATAGCTGTTGTCATTTTCGGTCCCATCCTTGAAGTCTAAACCTTAAACCCAAACATTGAGCTCGTTAGCAGGTACAGTGAGGTTTTCTTGTCTAAGGGGGCTTCATGCCTTGCTCTAAAGTGTATGACCTGAAGGACCAAATGAACCTTAAAAGTAGGGGTCCTATGCCCATATACTACGAATCCCTATATGGTATATGAACCTTACACCCTTTTAGGGTTCATTTCGTCCTTAAGGGACTTGAAAATATGTGAGTTCGTCTCTCTGAGCATTGCGCTTTCTTCAGGGCCTTCAGGGTTTTTTGTGGTTTCCCACGTTCGCACCTTATAAACCCTAAACCCCTGAACCCTAAACCCAGACACTCCACAGCAGGTCCTTTTTGGGGGTACATAAATAGAATCCTATAAGGTAGTCCCACGAATTTAACTACTAATTATGGAGCCTCTGGGTAACTGCCAAACCCCAAACATGGCGCGGCTAGAGTAACCTCGAAGAACTCCTATAAACCACCCAATAAAAAGCCTACATCCTTAAGGACGCGGCAAGGGCGTACTGTGGAGCCCTAATAAGAAGGTAGGTTCATGGGTCATGGGTAGTTATAAGGCACGTGTAGAATTACGGGAGACACTACTTATAACTCATATTAGGGGACTTATAGCCCCACTTATAACTACCCTGAACCTCCAAGTGAAGGAGGTACCGGTAAGCCTTCAACCCATGAACCATCCCAAGCCCTAAACCCTAAACTTGAGGCCCTATAAACCCTGCACCCGGGCTTTTGATTCCCTGAGCTTCTGTAGCTCGGGATTGGCTATATAGGGTTTTGGGTTTCGGGTTTTAGACTTTCGGGGTTTGGTTTTTGGGTGTAGGCTAGGATTTTGGACTTAGCCTTTTAAGTTGTTCGTTTGGGTTTTCGGGTTTTGGGCTCAGGGTGCCCGCTGCTGAGGATACGACATCGCACAGGTGCGCGAGCATCACAACTTGGCTCCCTGGCTTGGAACCTGACCATTGAATTCGATAAGAGGTTTGAGAAGTAGTGCAGAAATGATTCTTTGCAGTTGATTATTCTCTACTACGATATATACCCCCAAGCCATACTGACCCCTAAACTCGCCCTATGTAGGAACCTGATTAAGAAACCTTGGCTTTATGAGGGCTCCTTATATAAACCCTACTATTTTGGGGTTATAGGGCCAGGGTTTTCTTAATCATCTTCCTACAGTATCCATTCAGGAGCCGATGTTGAGGTTTGTCATTTGGTTGACGATCTGGGAGTTTCCGGAAATTGGGGGTACCTTATTTTGGGGTCCTTGTAATAAGGATCCACTATTCAGGGTACTATATCAGGGTCCCCTATGTTTGGGAACTCCCATCTAGTTTGGGCTTGGACGATCATACTGGGGCTTTATTGTTTAAGGGCTCGGGGGCTTAGCATTCTCTATTATTCCGTAGGGATCTTTAGTGCACAACTGCTTTTCTAGATAATTGCTCAGGCCGATGTGTCGGACAGTTTAGTTGCTTCCTGATTTTTTTGGATTTACGCTGGCTTTAGGGTTCCGGCTTCTTGTTCAGAAGCCCTAAACCCTAAACCCGAAACCTGAACCCGAAGAAAGTGGTGTTGCATCGAAGTCCTGAGGCCAGAGCCCTAAAAGCCCGAAATCCCAAAAGCCTGCATGAATTTTGGGGCTGCGCTTTGAGACTCACCGACTTGAAAATTTCAATATTGGGGCCTTGATAATGACAGTAGCACAGGGCTTTTGGGCTCTTGATTGTGCAGATGTATAGTGGGGAGCCCCGAAGGAATACAGTAGTATTACTGACCTTTCAGGCTTCTCTATTCTGGAGTTTGTTTGAAACATAGTAATGCTAAGACCCGTATATCCCGTCCCTACGGTTTAGGGTTTACGGGGTTTAGAGTTTAGGGTTCTACATAGCCAGCTTGTGAAAAGCACAACCACTTTATGGCCGGGGCTGAACCCTACAATATCCCCACCAAGCCCTGATGGCCCTAAACCCTAAACCCTAACCTGCAAACACAACCCCCAAAGGAAAGGACCACGATGGAGCCGGTTCTAACTACCACCTAGGAGCCCAGTACTCTTACAGCAAACACCAAAAAGTTGGAAACCTAATTAATGACAAACAGTGCTGGGATTCTGTATACATTACTCTTAAGGATTGAGGCCATGAGGTTCCCAACTGTTGGGCTTCTACTGTAATTCAGGACGACACCTGTAGATATAGGTGGTTTAGTCATGTGGTTCAAGGTATCTTACTCAGCTAGACAAACGGCTTGTAAATCCTTCATAATGCTCATCGGCATCCTATAAAACCCTGTCAAACTTAGTCAAAACTCAAGAGATTGTATATACTTTTAGGTTCCTTTGTGAGGATTTCCTTCACAAGTCTGCTCCATCTGCTCAAAACCTTCTGCATCCAGCAGCATCCTATAAAGCCGTGCAGAGCTGTATTTACAGGGTTTTGGACGCTCAGGTATTTAGGTTTCGGACAGTCATGTTGTAGGTTGGTAGGTATTTGGGGATCTATTACGTAGGCACTTGGACCCCTACGGTTCTACAATCACACCCTCCGCAATCTCACTGAGCCGCATGCAGCCCTGTATGGTGGACCGGCACAGTGAACGTCCACAGGTTTGCGGTGGCCGTCGACGCGCAAGAAAGTCCGGCACAAAGGACCGCTACAAGGCGCCGATGGGGTGACCCAACGATGTTGGTGTCCTTTAGGATTAGGCATCAGCTCTCCAAGCACCATACACTTAGATGTTTGGGCTTAAGGTCGTGGTGACTGCTTCGAAAGATTCGAAAGTACTCAGGGGAGACGACTGAGACCCTGAATTAACAGTGGGTCCAAAGACACCTAAATCTAGAATCTAGACTAGACCAGATGTTTTTGGACCCATGGTCAACTCAGGGTCTAGAGTCTAGAACTCATTGGTGAGGCTTTACCTTGCGGAGAACGAAATATGCTCGGCACTCTGTGGCAGGGTCTGAATGTAGATGGATACTTGGAGGATCATGGGGCTTAGTAAGTATGGTTATCAGTACCTTAATTGGGGCTATAAGTAATTATAAGTATAGTTATAATTATAGTCCTAGTTACTGAGTCCCATGATCCTTTAACTTAAAGGATCATGGGACTCAGTAACTAGGATTATAATTAAGGTAACTATACTTATAATTAAGCAGGCAGCTCTTGTTCGTAAGGTCCCGAAGTGAGTTTTGTGCCAGAAGCTTCAACGGAGCCCTCAAAAGCCAGCCTTTGGTCGGCACCACTTAGGGTTTAGGGTTTAGGGATCAACATAGCCCAAAAGCCTCGTATAGTATGGTCTTGGGGCCCAAAAGCCTTGATGTAGGAGTCCTTAGATCCCTAGGGTTATATGAAATACGATAGCACAGCCACCCAACCCAGACAATCGAAAGCCCGCGCCCTGAGCCCTCGAACACAAATCCCAGACAAAACCTACGACGAAACTCTCCTAGGCGCCGGAACATAGACCAAAAAAACGGCCTCCTAAACCCTAAAAGCTCTACAGAGAAAAGGAAGCCTGACGAAATCTGTAAAGACCGTCTTGAAGCTCCGATGCCCCAGGTCTGCGCATCGGTAAACGCGATCTATCGTTAACATAAAAGCCTGCAGAAAGTCAGAAAATCTCTGTAACACCACGCAGTATCTCTTGACAACTAGTTTTGAAGGCCCGGCATAGTTCCCCTTAACTGCCTGAAAGCAGTTAGCCTGATCGGGTACTCTTGAACCAGAAACTCTGGACCCTTACTACACCTTAGACTCTAGACCCTGAACTCAAAACCCCAAATCCCACATCGCATGCTCTAAACCGCTACACCTCAAATCCTTACCGGCCTTCAAGGTTCGAACGACGGTCCATCACGGCAGTCTGGAAGTTCACGTGCATCCCTGGCTCAGGGTGAGCGCTGCTCTCAGCGGCGGGGGTTGGGGGGTGGAGCCCAAGGTTCCTTTGAAGAGGCTTCAAAGAAGAGTCTCTCTAAAAGTTCTACAGGGGGTGAAGGGGAACTTCAGAATTCAGGGAGCTGGGAAGTTAGGGAGTTGCTAAGGATTCCTGGATCATCCAGATGGGTTCTAACGGAATTCCACTAAGGTTTAGGGTTCAGCATTTCACAGAGGTTATCTATGAGGTCGCTGAACGGCTAAGTGGAAATCAGGAAAACTAGGGTTTAAAAGGCCAGGGTCAAAGGTTTTGTGTTGTACATGCAGTTTCTTTAGGGGTTTCTCAAGGTTTGTCAGGGTGCAGGGTTTAGAAAAAGCAAAAGATTTACCGTCTGGGGCTCAGGGTTTACGGGGACTTTGGTTTGGTATTCTGCGGGTTCATCAAGGAAGCGAGCAAATGCCTTACAGTAGACTCCATAAAAATGGAAACCGGATTAAGGCCAAATAGTGCTGGGATTCCCCATACATTACTCTTCAGGATTGAGGCTATGGGGTTTCCAACTTTTGGGCTTCTACTATATCGGCTAAAGCTCTTAGCCTTTCGGTAGCAAGGCTGTACTTCTTGGGTGTTTACCTACAGTCTACATCGTAGTTCCTTTTTTTGGTTAACCAAAATCTCTGTTATAGGATCCTTACCATAAAATTGGTGAACCAAAAAAAAGGAACTACAATGGAGACTATAGGTAGATTTTCAGAGTCCGGCTTGGTGGCGATGCAAGACGTCTGCAGAAGCGTGGTCTAGAGTCTGTGGCTAAGGGTTTAGGGTTGAGAATGGCCTTCCATCTAATGCATCGGATCAGGTCCGGTGCAAAATGACCGGAACAGCTGAATGAAGACCTCGGACTCACTGGGGCTCGTACTACAGAACCTCAAACAATGTGTAATTCTATTCCTGGGGGTTCAATATTGTAACTAAGCTGGAAAAACAAAAATGTACTTTCTACTTGTTCTGGCCCTTGTAATGAACCCTAGACCCTTTAGAACCCCCAAAAGAACCCTGCTCTAATCAGTATGTGCTGAGGCAACGACACAGAGTGGAAGATCACCGTTCGGGTTCGTTGCAAAGCTCTCTCGGAAGACTGCACCCTGGCTGTGAAAGCGCCCTAGGAGCTCAGATGCCCGCATGGTATGGTTTGGGCACTTTTGTTGTGGCTTTCATAGGGTTAGCGGTGAGGATGGTGCTGCGTTTGGGATAGGATAGGAGGAAGTCGACATGCAGGTCTGTTCTAAGGTAGATGCCCAAATAATTTCACGACTATAACGATTCCAAGAGAGTTACTGTACTACTCCAGGCCCCTTTGCTGCGAGCTCCAAGCTCTCAACCGCCCCAATGGCGGCCTTATAGAATCCTTCTGGAGCCCCATGAAAACCCTTCCGTTATGGAGCCCTCGTCTGAGAGCCCTGACAAGCCGTATGGAACCCTTTGAGAACCTTTTTCGGAACTCTGATGAAAACCTTTAGGAGTCCTCAAAAGCCCTTACTGGCCCCTTTATGATGGCCCCCCAATGCAAACTCAACCGAACTCTCATAGATCCCCTTTACAGCTTGAAAAAAAGACTTGACAGACGCATGCAATGACTTCGCCACCATCATTTAACATAACCTTGAGAAGCAATCAAAACCCTCCAAACTCTAAACCCTAAAGGCCCTATGCCACAAGAAGCCCGTGAAAGCACCCCCAGCGAAGGCAAAGCCGTCGAAGCCGGCGAGTGCGTCGACCTGTGGCCACCTGTTCCATCCGGCATGATGTGCCTCAGCAGCTTTCATATACTATGCAGGGTAGAGGTCATAGTAAAGTACAGTAGAGTAGATGTTGTAGATAATATACTAAAGTAGAGTAGATGTGGCTCAGCGGAGTTGAAGTCTGCGTAGAGTAGTACATACTAAAGTAAACAGAAGTAGAGTCCAGTATAGTGTAGTATAATAACGTATCGTATAGAATACCAATATAGTATGTATAGGTGTTTAGGGTATGGTAGCTGAAGTTGATTTACGGTTTAGGGGTTTAGCTTTCGGGGTTTAGCGGTTTATGCAAGATGTCAGGGGTTACGGTTGAGGCTTTTAGATGTTCCGAAGATCGTTCAGCAGCTTGCAGGCAGCCAAGATACACGACGTCCCCACCTTAAGGACGAAAAGCACCCTAGAAGGGTTTAAGGTTCATATACCATATAGGGATTCATAGTATATGGGTATAGGGCCCCTACTTTGAAGGGTCATTTGGTCCTTCAGGAGGGGGTTTACGGTTTGCGGTTTTGCTGGAGGCTTCGTTCCGGCGTAGAGCAAAGGCTTTTGCCTTGAACTCTCAACCATCGGGGGCCTGCGCCTGTAGCAATATCATGTTCGGGCTTCTCCATATCCTCGTGGAGAACATATAGTTTAAATTATTTCCGAAAGCAAGCTAACAATGTACATATACGCTTACTGCATTCAGGATTTCTGTATTTGGTCTTAATCGAAAACTTGAGAACTTCGAAGACAGTACCTGTCTTCAGGCTGGCTTTCGCGGGTTTAGACAGACTGTCCCAGGCACGACATCTACTTCCAGATGCGCCGAGAAGCACCAGCCGACGGCACGCTCAGGGTTCAGGGTTTCGGGTTTGGCTTGTTAGGCAGAACAGCATGCTTGAGAAGGTTGTTGCATACTTAACCTATCCTCGTGGCATCGTAAAGCCATTAATTACATAGAAGCCTGCCTCATTAGCAATACTGGTTAGGTTTCGTCCGTATTACTACAGTATAACATTTTGGTGGACACCTATACTTGATATACCTACCAAAGGCCCTTCAGGTTTATTGCAGTTAAATCCAGGACCGTTCGCACGTTACAAACGACATCGATTGACCTACCTAGCTGTACGCATGCATGTATGTGCCTGCATGCACGCACGCATGCACTTATCGTATGCGTGTGCTGATGCATATGCATGTACCTACATACACGCATGACATGTCGCGCTGCAGCGGCAAACCTTGCCGAAGGCCCTACGAAGGATTGTCTCAGGCTCGAAGCCCAGGAAGTTTAAGCGTCTCCCTTCTTGATGTCCTAGAGAAATATGGACTGCTGTAGTTCTCTTGCAGTGTTTGGGGCCTGGTTTTTATGCTTGGGAGTTTAGCATGAACATCGCGGCCCTGAAGACTGCGTGGGGCCTGCTGCCAATTTCAGGTTCAAGGGTTTAGGCCAGCCTTACGCCATCCTCAGCCAGGAGCCAGCTGCATTTTGTGACAACAACCACGGTTTAGGACTTAAAGACTTAGGGTTTAGGGCAGGCCTCCAAGTTCTACAGTCCCTTCTAGCCTGGTGCTTGCTGTGAGAACTTTCGGCGAACAGGCAAAGTGTTCGCGTGGTCGCAGCCGCTCACTCTCACCGAAAGCATGAACGGCTTGGAACTTAGACCAAGGATTCGGTGTTGTTCTCCTTAGAGGTCTCCTGATCAAGAAACGCAGATGGGTTATGGTTCAGGGAATTACCATCTTGAAGGGATTCCTATGACAGGGCTGAGCGTACAGGGCCCTGTTTCGTCAAAAGCCTGCCAAGAAGCCGAGTATTGGTATATTTGCAGGTTCCTGCATTGCCGTGGTCGGTTGTGAGACCTCCTGCGGGTCAAAAGACCTATGGCTTTTAAAGGCTCCACCCTCTAAATACCGGGCCCCTGGGGTAAGAACCTACAATGTTGTAGGGTTTGCCACTACAGGTATAAGTGAATCTCAGAAAAGTCATTGAAGTCCGGAGTTTCATGATTCAAGCTCTGCCACGGAATCTTCATCAAGTTTCAGAGTTCTGGTGTTTTTAAGGTCGTGTCTTTGTTGGTCAGTTGTTGGAGAGCCGTTTTCACGCCTCGGCAACAACAAACGCCGGCCCGAGCGGCTTCTGGGGAAGTCAAAGATGAATCATGAGCTCCTACCCCCAGACCCTACAGCCTCAACCTCGGCGGTTAACCCCAAAATCCGCTACCCCAACCAGCCCCTCAGCTTGTTGGGTAAAGGCGAAGGGCAGCTCTTTTGTAGAGCATACTTCAATTGCTGCAACCCCAAAACCACGAAGCTAACGCGATAAGCCCTTGAATAATGCAGCTATGGCGCAACATAGATCACTTTTGCTGCGTAAGCCCTACAAGCCAATATCCCAAACCCTATACCTAAACTCCCCAAAGTGTTTTTTTTTAAATAATGGCCCCATACCCGGAAAAGGCTAGTATTCTACATACTTTTTGGGGTCCAGGTACCTGAAGGAGCGGTTATAGAAGCCGCTTGAACCCCCAACCTCCTAACCCGAAGCTTCTGAGATAAAGCTAGAAGCGTGAATACTACGCAACAAACATCATTCCTTGGGGCTCCTTATATATTAAACTCTACACCCAAACCGGACCCAAATCCCACTCGGATGGTTAGGCCGATTTTTAGCGACCGAGGCTATCGCGGCTTCTTCCGCCAAAGATCTGAAGGCTCAGGGGGGGCCCGATATAGCCATCAAGTATTTTGCTAGGGCCGCTAGGGTTGAGGATTGAAAAGTGAATTTCACAATGTAAGGAGTTTGGGGCTTCGGGCATGGGCAGTAAGTATGATGGAGGAATCGGAACTGTTGTAGGATTCAGCCGCTTAGCCATTGTTGTCGCCCACTATATCATACCCCCTAGACTCTAGACCCTAAACCCTATCAAATGTATCTAGCATTCCGAGCCCTTTTGCATACGGCTGTACCAAAACCCTCAACCAGAGCCGGAAGACGACCGTCCAGCGTGGTGCTTAACATCATTTCTATATGGGTAGTTGTCAAAGTTATGGCCCTCTTGGGGTACCCCAAGTATTAGGTGCGGTATTATATCAAGGACCCCAAAACGGGACCCTAATATGGCAACCACCCATACAACTTGAGCAGACGTGCCTCGCACTACGCTGAACCCAGGCAGGCCGACAGCACCATCCTGAAGGACCCAATGACCCTTAAAAGTACGGGCCCTGTATACCCATATACCATGAATCCCTATATGGTATATGATCATGAACCTTAAACCCTTTTACGGTTCATTTCGTCCTTAAGGACCATGGACAAAGGTACTCCCGGCAAGCTGTGGGACGGGAGAGATTGGCACCGTCCTGTGATGGACATATCCCGGGCCTTCGCAATGCTGCACCCATGGTCTACTCCAGTCTCGCTGTCCCGGCAACGTTTCCTGCCGCTGTGAAGGCTTTCTTCGGACTCCGCCAATGCTCGACCGTCTGCGTGCTGGCACCCTCGTCGAAGAACCTGCATGCTACCGACACGGATTACCATTGAATGGCTCATATATGGGTTAAGGTTTAGGATTTGGGTAGAATAAGCATCAGAATATTTGATAGACCTTAGGACCTAAAGGGTTTAGGTGGCATGATATGGGGGCAGGATTTTTGTCAATAGGGCTTGGGGTTCAATGACAAGTTTAAACAGTATGATGCATGGGTCGGACTTTTTGTGTGAGCTCAGGGCTGTCGAGGCATATAGTATCAGTAATATCCTTTCATCGCGCCGTTTCAGAAATAGTGCTTTATGCCCACAACAAGGCCCCTACATAAGGGAGCTTGCAGTAAGTCGCATGAAGCTAGCTGAATGCTAGGTTCTCCGGTAGTACCCTGACATCAAAAATGAGTCAAAGAAACAGGAGGCCGGACTTGAGGCGAGACTGGGGAAGCTAAGAGCAGTTTTTTACGAAGTTGAGCAACCGTAACTCGCCCAAGATGCTATTGCAGTATACCGTTCAACCGAACCCCTACTTTGGCTAATTACTTGGTGAGGTCATCTCTGTGCATACAGTATACATATACATATACACACACAGAGACATATATATATATATATATGAGCACGAGTCAAACCGAAACCCCAAGCTTCCATAGCAAAGAAGCCCTAACACGGTCCTATATACGAGACCTTGCGCTATAAGCCGCTGCCGTGTCAGTCCAGGCACCACGGACACGGTGGAAGTCGCAGCGGCCCGTGATGAGGCTTGCATGACGCATGCCATCGTACGTACTATACGAGCCGGAGTATTTTATTATGTTCCGTAATTCGGGTCTAAGTACAGATTGATTGCTAGTAGTCCTATTCGACGCGCATAGTAGTGCCTAAATGGGGGATACTTAGGCTAAAGGGTTTGGGTTTGGAGTTCAGGGTATAAGTTGTAGGAGTTTAAAGTGGTTCAGGCTTGGGGTTTTTAAGGTTTATGCGGGCCATAGTAGTAGTTCCTAACGCAGAAACCGAAGCTACTTTGGACTGTAGGTGTGAGGTGGGCATGTCGAGCAGATTTCAGGCTTATTATATACACGAAAGCTCAGGAATTGGGGTCCTGATGCAAAGTGGTGCTACCTGTGTATATAAGGTTTGATGTGTAAAGTTCGTTCCAACGTTGCATCCTTGTTTGGGGTATCAATGACGATGTTGGTTCACTGTGATAAGATTCCCTTTTTTTGGAAAGCTCTATAATGGGCCTTGGGGCCCTTACCATATGGGCATTGTTCTACATCTTGGTTAGCCTGTCTCGGGGTGGATGCCCTGAACTCTCTGTAGCCCCTAAACTGCTACAGGCCCCGGAATCTTAAGCCCCTCCCCGTGACATCTAAACAATCGCTATAGATCGCCTTCTACTACCCGACAACAAAGCCGAAACTCTCATCCGCAGCCCCAAACCCCAAACTCCCCTAAGCCCTAAATTCCAGGTCAGTGGATTCCTCCGACTACGGCTGTCGAGCTGCAATCAGGAGACAATCCCAAGGTAATTTAGGTTTCTCCCACAAGGCTGTTCTTGAGGCTTCTTTTCACAGCTTTCGAGTAAAGGGGTTTCAGGGTCTGAGGCTCAGGGTCCCGGGTCCCTAAACCTTAAACCGTAAACCCTGGTAGAAGTGCATGCTCACCCGAAGGCCCCATAGTAGTTCCTTTTTGTCCTTCATATTTAGAATCCTATGAGGTGCTCCCAAAAAGGAACTACTTTGGGGCCTATGCTCATACATGATTCAGATACTTTCAGCGATTCGGCAATCCATATTATGATTTGAGGCGTATTCCTCCATGAAGGGGCCTTGAGAGCGGCTTGGCTGATGTAATGCACACTGACCCTGCATCTGGGCATTCCACGCCTCGTTTGTGCAGGGGCCTCCACCCTAAACCCTACTTAGATAGTGAACCGGGGAACTTCAAACGTTTTGGCCTTTTAAATTAGCTCTATCTTCGAAATTTTGAACTTTTTGGGGCCCGGTTGTTGGAGAAGAGAGCCTAAACCCGGCAGCGAAAGTTCGTGCAGGAGCCCTACCTGATCGACAACCAGTCCACGCACAAGTGCATCGCGTCCAGAGTATACCCTTAGGGGTACTTAGAATAGTTTTTCATTTTTTGTTATTATAATCCCTAAGAAACAGCTAAATTTATAATTTTTGCTAGGGTTCTAAGTTCAGTATAGTACCCGCACCCACCTCTACGGGTAGAGGGCATCTGGTTTCACTAACCGGCTTTCGGTTTAGTTTTAGGTTGCAGGAAATATGGGTATAGGGCCCCTACTTTTGAGGGTCATTTGATCCTTCAGGTACTGCAGGGTTTACGAGTTTAGGGCTGAGGGTCATACCACGCACCGTTTGGCATTCAGGGTTGTGCTAAACCTTGGAACCCTAACCCTGGAACCACCCTAAACCCTAAACCTCTAACCTTATTAGCAATTGCCTATACTGTTTTGGGGGTTCCTTATTTTATTTATAGTATGATATTCCCCCCAAACCCTATTCTAATTACCAGGGCTTCTATATTAGCTCCATGATTTGTCTGCTGCATGTGGAGGTGTTCAGCGTCAGGTGGGCCGTCCGCTTTCATGACTGCCATTTAAGCTAAACTCTAGTACCCCAAGGCTCCATGTACTCATATAGCATACACTTAGGCCCTCGAGGATCCCTATATAGGTATTTAAAGCCTATGCATAGACTGTGCAGGCACATCGAGCCCTGGGGATAGGGGCTTGATCCTCAGCTTCGGCTCTGATATCGACCGAGTTGGACGATTCTTCAAGTTCATTTCGGGGTGCGTACATGGGGTAAAGGGTCCGGGTTTAAGGTTTAGGGGTCTAGGGTGATCCGGGTTTCGGGTTTAAGGTTTAGGGGTCTAGGGTGATCGCTATGCCAGTGCTTGGCAAACCTACGTTGTCAATCTTCCCGAGAAGAGAAACATGCAGAATTAGCAGACCGCAGTCCGTTTACATATCCTGTGTGGCTTCAAGCCCATAAGGGGACGTGTAACTCCTACAACTACCCGTTCAGATTCTCATAGATGAACTTAGCTGAAATCCCTGTAATCAGACCTTGCGGGACTCTCAAGACATCGCAGCCGCGCAGCAGGGGACTTCATGCTGCGTTTGCCTTCCAGGTGGGTTGTGTACAACTCCGTCGGTAGGAGAGTGGATCCTAAGGTGGTTTCTCGATGGCATGGTGATCCCAAGGTGCTCTACCGTCTTGCGTTCCGTGTGCTCGGCATGGGAGACAAAAATGGCTCCGACATTGCCCGGGCCACTCATGATCCATTCGGAGCCTTTGGCCGTCTTCGGCCATTCATGAAGCAATTCTTTGAAGGCATGCGGTACTCGACCCAAGTTCCACGCTCGAGTTCGGAAAGCACATCCCTGGCCCACGTCGTTCGTGGTGCCGGCGTAGGTGCAGTCGTGATCAGCTGAACCCCGAACCCGGGCGAGGTTTCGCGCGGACCGGGTATGGGCAGAGGGAGGCAAAATTATGGTCCCTCTTGGGGTCCCTATTATAATACGGCACCTATTATTTAGTGTACCTAAAAAGGGGCCATAATTTTGACAACTACCCATTTAGCTTCGCGATGCAGAGGCTCCAGCAAATGAGCTCAGATGGGTGAGAGGATTGCCGCCGGATACTTGGGACTTAGTAAGTATGGTTAAATGTACCTTAATTGGGGTTATAAGTAATTATGAGTATAGTTACCTTAATTAAAGCCCTAGTTACTCAGTCCCATGATCCTCGAAGTAGCATTGATGGCATCCGTCCTGGTTCATCAACGCCTTCGTGCCCCATCTTCGCCATGCTGGAGGCCTGTTTTCTCCCTGCTTGAGGCCTGACATGCTCTGTGAACTTCTGTGTTGCTGATGACGTCATATCTGGCAACTACGGTTTATCCGAAAATGTATACACAGAACTTGAACAGGCCTTTACCTTGAATCTGCCGAACCCCCAAAGCCTATCTTGAACACTAACTCGAACCTAAAGGCTTATATATATATTTATATGTATATATATATATATATATATATATATATATATACATACCTCAACTGGAAACCCCGCCCCCTTAAACCATATGGCCCCAAAGCCAAAGCACCAAGCCCGAAACCCCCAATCCTTGAGCCGCGATCCCCCTCCCTCCAGCGAAACCAAAAACAAACAACACTGCAAACCTCCCATCGGACGCATTTTAAGCCCTGCACAGAACCTTCTGGAACCCCTCGACGCGAGCCCTTGTGCAAAAAGCCTCAGCAGGAGAGGCAACGGGAGCACCAGAACCCTCAACCCTAAAATTTGAGCCACTCCGAACCATATAAACCCTAAACCCAAGTCCTGAACCCTGACCTGAAGGACCAAATGACCCTTGAAAGTAGGGGCCCTTCACCCATATGCTATGAATCCCTATATGGTATATGAATGAACCTTACACCCTTTTAGGGTTCATGTCGTCCTTACTTAAAGGATCATGGGACTTAGTAACTAGGATTATAATTAAGGTAACTAGACTTATAACTACTTTCAACCCCAATTAAGGTAGTTATAACCTCCTCCAAGCAGGGGAAACCCCAAACGCCCAAACCTAGCCGAGGCACCTTAGCACCTCAGAGCGCCACCGGCTGGACGATGCGCCTGTGCTGCCTTTCCTTTAGGGTTTCGGGTTTAGGATTTCGGGTTTGGGGTTTAGGGTTTAGGGTTTGTGGGTTTCGGGTTTGGGGTTTAGGGTTTCGGGTTTGGGGTTTAGGGTTCCGGTGTTGGGGTTTCAGAGTCTGTTAAGCTCGCTTATCTTACGGCAACATCAAGGGCAATACAACGGTTGCATAAATCGTCATTGACGGTTTGGACAGACATTCTCTGCTACAGGTCCCGTACATTTAGCATAATGCAATTTTTGCAGGGTTTGAAGGGGATCTACGTTGGTATAGAAAGTTCCTCTTGAAGGTCCTAGGAGGAGTATAAGAGTGCGAGTGTTTTTGTAGAACCACTCTAGACTTATACGATTTAGAGAGTCTTTCTTCAAGGTCCCATACAAACCGACATTTGCCGAACGGACGACGTCACCATCGATAGGAGAGAGATCTTTTGGTCGGAGGGTTTTGGGACAAGAGTTTCGGTGTTCAGGATTTTGGCTTTGAGAGTCACACTAGTCTTCAATCAGGGCTGTCCTTCTGCAGAAGTGGCCACATAAGGAATAGGCAGGTACCGTCTGTTCGTGGTGCCTGCTCCTCGTCTAGTACCTGAAGGACCAAATGACCCTTAAAAGTATAGGGCCGTATGCCCATATACTATGAATCCCTATCTGGTATATGAACCTAACCCTTTTAGGGTTCGTTTCGTTCTTCATGTAGTCTTTGCGAGCCCCCTTGAAACCCAGGGAACTTCCCAGACCTCCCAAGATCCCTTGTTTCAAGGAACACACCTCAAAGCATGCTGGGGGATCTTATCATTATCAAAAACTTAAGGTATATTCCTCAAGGGACTTTGGAAGGTCTGGGTTATGTCGGTTAGACCTTAGATAGTGAACGGGGGAACTTTAAACTTTTTGGCCATATATATTAGCTCTATCTTAGAAAGTTTGAGCTTTTTGGGGCCCGGTTGTTGAAGAAGAGAGAGATTTCCTTATGTGGATGTTCTTAGCTACCTCGGCGGAGCGGCATTTAGTTGTCGGCTGACGCTTGTGGGGTTTGGGCTTACCTGGACCCGTTAGGGCTCTTGCGCTAGGGATCTAAGGACTCATACATTAAGGCTTTTGGGCCCAAAGCCCATACTATATGAGGCTTTTGGGCTATTTTGATCCTCAGGGTAAGGTACCATAGGCAGGGCCCTGGTAATCCTGCAGTAGTGGGTAAGGGTCAAGAGAGGCCAGTTGAGGAGTTTCACGCCTGCTGAAGAGCGGCCTTTGGGGTTTAGGGTTCTTCAGCTTTTGAAGTTGCGCTGCAGGGGATGGATCACTGGGGTTGAGTTTGTATTAGCAACGAAACAGTGATTTCCTGGAATTTCCCCGATACCCTACACCACAGACCTGAATGCTCTACACCAGCCGAGATCCCTAAACCGGTTTGGCGTAGAGCTTCAGGGTTCCGAGCTTTCCGATCCACTCTGTTGGGGGGCTGCTTTGTTGTTCAAAACAGGCCCTTTAGCATCAAACCGAAATCAGGATCAAGAGGTGTCTTTTTGAATTCGGCCTGCGAGGCCAGGCATCAGGGGAATCAGTGGCTTACGGTTGTTTTGGAAATTGTCGGGGTTAGGGTTTGGGTTCGGGGATACACGGCTTTAGGGTTCACTTCACTGCTTCAACTGGTGCTGCTGGCACCCGAATACATTCATATCCATTGGCCAAAACCCTGGAAGCCCTGTCAACCCACTCTATCGAGAAAAAGGTTCGGCAATCGATAGCTCGGTCCCCTTGTAAAGGCACGAACCCTACCAACACTGTAGGCAACTTCTGACAAAGACCCGTCTGCAATCCTTCAACACCCCCCTTCCGACAACAAAGCGAAAATCCTAGACCCTAATCCCATAAAGCCCTGATCCCAAAGCCCTACCCACCTTAAAGCCCGAGACCACAACCCTCCTAAACCTAAAACCCTAATCCCTGAACCCTACAAAAAATCCTGAACCCTAAACCCTAAACTCTAAACCCTTCTAAATCCTAAACCCAAACTCAAAAGCCAAAAGCCTGATAAGCAACCCTAAAAAGGTAGGTCTTGTCGGCTACAGGAAACCCAAAAGCCAACATCCAAAAGCGGGCCCGAGGCACTTGAAGCCGGAGGATGGTCGGGGGGCCCTGCATCTGCGAGCCTTCAAAGCTGAGAGGCTTAGGGCTACTACGGTTGATGATAGAAATGGTGCATTACCTTAAGGACCCTAAACAACGGGAATTATGGTATATTCCTTATTATGGCTAATGCAGGATTTATATTATCAACAGTAGGGTTAGGTGGGTGGTTGTGAAGATTTGGGTCCCTTTTTTGAGTCCTGAATATAATACGGCACCTATGTTTTAGGGTACCCAACAAGGGATCCTAATTTTGACAACCACCCATCTGCGGGCCTTCAAAGCTCAGGAGCTTAGGGCTTGCAGGGTTTAGGGGTTTGGGGTTTAGGATTTAAGGGTCTTGGGGGTTTTGGGGTTTGGGGTATAAATTTAGGGGTTTAGGATTTAGGGGTTTTGCGGTTTAGGGTTTAGAGGTTTAGGATTTAGGGGTTTAGGGTTTAGGATTTAGGGATTTTGTGGTTTATGGTTTAGGATCTAGGGTTTTGGGGTTTTGGGGTTTAGGGTTTGGGAGGCGAAGCTGCTGGGACCCAGACTTGAAGTAAACCTCAGTGCTCTACTCCTCTGAAACAGTAAACCTCACACCCTTAGACCCTACTTAGGACCCCAGAAACGTTACCTTATTGGGATCCCATATTATAAACTCCATGTCGAAGTCTCTGTATTTGGTAGGCTATATTTGGGCTATTCACTTGATTTCGATAGGGTTACGGTTCACTCCTCTCTCAATTGACCCTGCAGCTCCTCATCATTGGGTTTAAGTTTGAGGGTTTACATTTTTAACTACTTAAGGTTTCAGGTTTAAGATTCGGGGTTTGTGGGTTTAAATGTGTGTGCCACAGCCCACTTCGACATAGAGGTCAGAAAGTGGGTTGCCAGTCCATGTCAACCAGTTTCATGGTTAGGTCATCGGGAGTTTCGGAGTTTGGGATTTACCTTGTCCTACCAACACCTACATGTTTGTAGGTCGCTATAAATTCCGGTTTATAGTAAGAACCTACACAAATCTAGGGTTTGGCAGCTTAAGGTAGGCTGGGTTGTACTGGTTTGGTGTTTAGGGCTTGGGGTGCAGAGCATTGGGTTAAGACGTCTCGGGTTCAGCATTGTTCTCAACGCATCCGGGGGATTTCGGTATATCCGGTTTCAGGATATTTCGGAACTGGACCTAAACCCTACGGGTATACCTTAACCCTGAATAACCTACCTTTTTAGGGTTCCTTATTATGCTTAAATTCAATATAAATCCTTCAAAAGGTTGGTAATTCAGGATAAAGGTAAACCCCAGACTCCAAAACTCCATATTGTTTGGGCCTACTAGCCATTCTGTATAACAAGCTTCCGCCCAAGATCTTCCAAAGTCGGCTCAGAAATCTATGAAGCATCGGTTGAAAGTTTGCAGACTAGACACTAGAGTCACTAGACCCTGATCCCGAAACCCCGAAACCCCAAACCCTTTTCCAGTCTCTGAGGCCCCCTAAATGATAGAACCATTCTAGCAACCGTTTTACCAACCCTAGCCCCCAAAGCTGGTGGGCTTGGGGCTCTCCACTTCGCATTGCAAGCGCATTTAGGGTAGGATTTAGGGTTTAGTATTTAGAGTGTAGGGTTAAGGATACAGGGGTTTAGGGCAAGGCTTTAGGGTAGGATTCAGAGTGCAACGTGTGCTTTCAGGGTTTGAGGGTTCAGGGGATATGCATACGCTGTGAAAGTTCGAATTGGCCACGAGCGTGGTCAGGGCCGAGTCCCCGGTCTCGTACAAGATCATGGCCGTGTACTTGGGCTCGGTCACGCGCCCGGACGGGGGCACGAGCGAAGACATGAATGGACCTGTCTTTGCCGTACCTGAACCTCGAGGGCGTGCTCATGCCCGTGGCCGTGGGCATGTGCAGGAGCAATCACATGGAATTGGGCAAGGTTGTGAACCCGGTCTCACAGCACCCACACATGAAAGACGACCGGCGATTGAGCTCCCTGAACAGCATTGGACGAGGTATAGCAATGTGCACAGGGTACCTGTCACCCGCTTGGCGTTCTTCTTGCCCTTCCACACTACAGATCAAGTTGCTTATGAACCCTGCTCAGGGCTTAATTTCGGGGTTTGGAACTGTTGGACTCAATAGCCCAAGATCTGTCACCCCGATCTCCTAAACCCTAGACCCTAAACCCTACCCTAAGGGTCCTAACACATTTGGGGAACCTCAAAATTGAGGGTTTCTGAATTCTGAGACCCCAAAGAGACCCAAGGACTCTCCCTAGGACATTCCGGAGGACCCTTAGGGTAAACTATCAACCCTCCAAACCCTCGACTAGACAGGTCTCCTAAACCGTAAACCTACCAAACCCTCCGTCCTAAAATGAAGCTCGAGGTCCGTACCCTTTCTTGTCGCACCTGTGGGGCAACGACACTGTGGTGCTGCTCACAACAGTTACAGGACTGCTTCCATAAAGTGACCCATCCTTCCTACGGCCCATAGGAGTCCTTCCAGGAACCTTCCTGGCTGCACTCCAACATGAGAGTTTCCGAAAATTATGGGTACCGTAGTTTGGGGTCCTTATATTAAGGAGCCTACGATTTAAGGTACTAGATTAAGGCCCCTATTTGTGGAAACTCCCATATAGTAACCCTACTTGTACCTCGTTCGTAACTCTATTATAAGTACTCTTCATATAATATAGTAGTCCTATAGAAGCCCTCATCGTTTCGGGCCTTCGGCCGCAGACGCCCTAAGAGACGCAGGATTTGATCTCAGGCCTCATCCCGCGGTTTCGGGTTTAGAGAGTTGAGGTTTAGCGTTTGAGGGTGTTGGACCAAACGCTGGTGGGAGCGTCTTAAGAAACAGCAGCAAGAGCCACTAGAAGCTTCAGTCCTTGACATTTGAGGTTTTGGACTTTACCGTGCTTAGCCACCATAACCGTAAGGACGAAATAAACCCTAAAAGGTCTTAAGGTTCATATACCGTATAGAGATTCATAGTATCTGGGAAAATGGACCCTACTCTTAAGGGTCATCTGGTCCTTCAGGTAAACCCTGAACCCTAAACCCTAAACCTAAACCTTAAACCCTAAACCCTAAACCCTAAAACCCTAAACGCTTAAACCCTTAAACCCTAAACCCTGAACCCTTCAGGAAGTTCCAGGTTTGACAAGGGCAGAAAGTAACACTCTTCGTCGAGAGTTAGTGCTGACAGAAACAAATGGGTAGTTGTCAAAATTAGGGTCTCTTTTTGGGTACCCTAAGTACTATAGGTGCCGTATTATAGTAGGGACCCTAAAAGGAGCATAATTTTGACAACCACCCAAATGGTGATGTCTCGAAAGCTTGAAAAATTGTTATGTTTCCCCCGCCCGTCAACAGAGTTGCTTCACGAACGAGATCCCTACGCTCGAAAACCCAGCGTTTAGCGCTACCTGGTATGTCATCGGCCAGCATGATGTTTTGAGTTTCCGAAGATAGGGGACCCTAGTATAGTACCCTAAATAGTAGGATCCTGAGATCCCCAAAATAAGGTACCTCCTGTTTTCGGAAACTCCCACACGTCGCAGTCCACTTCTCAACACGAGCTTTTCTCGTCCGCGGGCAGCAAAGCCATCGGCCCCGGGCCGGAGTGATCAGAGTTTCGCAGATCAAAAACACGTCCGGTTTATTGAATAGTTCCTAGTTGTCTGTTATGTTCCTCTCGCTCCATCTGTCTCAATCGCTCTCTCCCTCCCTCCCTCTCTCTCTTCCTATCTCTATCTCTCTCTGCCTCTCTTTCTCTCTCTGTTTCTCTTCCTATCTCTATCTCTCTCTGCCCCTGTCTCTCTCTGTCTCTCTTCCTATCTCTCTCTCTCTCTTTCTCTTCCTATCTCTATCTCTCTCTCTCTCTCTCGCTCCCTCCCTCTGCGTCTCTGGCGTCAGGAAAAGGCCGACACGAGCAACAGGAGACCTTCGAGATCGATTTGGCGCAACTTGGCCGGAAGGAAGGGCCAAGTTGTTTGCTTGGTTGGCTATGTTTTAATTTTGGTTCATATGAAGGCGATGAAGCCCAAGAGAATATTCAACAACAAAATATTATGGTTCTAAGGGTGGTATGATTGGGGAGTTGTACAGGTTCTTCCATGTTCAGGCTTTGGGGGGTTTGGAAGCCTAGGTCTGTTTGTTTGTGTGTGCGCTGGTGTGTAAGGGTCGCTTTCATTTGGGGGTAAGGTTTTTTGCGCTCACGCATGCACTGGGCATGCGACATGCTGCATGCTGACCCTGGTACAAACTCTGAATCCGAAGGTTCCATCTAAAACTCCCGTTTAGAAACCCTAGAACCTTTACAGTATAGGGTCCTCATACTATTTTTGGGTTACCTGATTATGTTTAAGAATATACTCCAGAAGCCGTATGCTAATTATTAAGGCCCCTGCTTTGGCTTCAGTCACGCAGGCTCAGTTTCGCAGGTCCCCCATCCCCATGGCCTGGTCTTATCCGCATAGACGGACGGGTTAGGGTTTAGGGTTTAGGGACGATGAAGCTGTGTACTTCAGGGGTGCCTCATGTAACGCTGTAAGAATTTAGGAAATGGGGCTTGGGGTTTAGCTGTAAGCAGAGTGGCATCCATCAATCAAGCATGAAAGGTCAGCCGATGGATAAGGTCCCCCTGAACCCCCAATACCTACCGATTTGAGGACATATACGTCATCGCTATAAAGAGCCCTTAAGCATTGGTTCTCTAGGGTCCGGTAAAACCTAATGCTGCACCCTAAACCAAACTGTCCGTTTCCCCCATACCTAAAACCCTAAATCCTACACCCTAAACCCGTACCTACGATTTTGCCCCTCAAACCACGGCTTCTGTCAACCCCTGTAGCGCAAAGGGTCCACATACACTACCATTCTGGAATTAGGTCCCCAAAACCATAATAGGTATAGTCCTTTAGGACCTAAGTCCATAATGGTAGTGTGTAATGGACCCTCTGGGTAGATTCATAGATCCTTCCAGTCATAAGCCCTACGCGCCCTCGTCCCCAGGGACTAAGTCCTTGGGTCGTAGAACGCGTAGCCGAAATGAGGAAAGCCTGGACGCATACCTGCGGGCCACTTCGAGTTGAGGTTGGGCAGGCCCTCTGGGGAGTTTAAACTGTACCTAGAGTCTCCATTCCCTGGGCCTATAGCCCGAAAATACGAGGGTTCATAATAAGGTTCTGAATCAGGTTCCGACATTAAGGGTCTAGGGTTTAGGGTTTTAAGGTTCGAGGAATTTGAAGGCTAGCTTCAGGAGGGGTTCGGAGTTCTGAAAGTGGTTGTTTAAACAGTACGTGGCTTTCGCGTTGCAGGGTTCCCTAAAGACGAAATGAACCCTAAAAGGGTTTAAGGTTCATATACCCTCTAGGGATTCACAGTATATGGGTATAGGGCCCCTACTTTTAAGGGTCATTTGGTCTTTCAGGTTTGTGGCATGGGACCTTGGATTGAGCGTTTTGAGCTTGCAAGGCTTTAGCCCTCATCCATAAGTTTCAGAACCGCCCTCGACTGTACAAGTTAACCCTAAAGGGTCCAAAGTACCTATATAGTAGAATGTAGGGTTTCTATACTCTGAAGTACTATTATGATTTGAGGAAGTATCCCCCATGGCAGTACCTCGGACTCTTAAAAACTAGAAGAAGTTGTCTTTCTAGCTTTCAGTTCTGCTATCACGCTTCAGGATGTGTGGCTGCTATTCAGGATTTTGTTCCTAAGTCCCTAAACCCTATAAAGCCCCCAAGCCAAGCCGTAATTAAACCCGAAGTCGTTGACCGCCGAAAGGGTGTCTATGAAGTCCGGAAGGCCCCATGCCTAGATGTTAGTAAGTAGTCCCTAAAACCCACCCCTTTAGTCCTATTCCCTCCACCCTAAACCCCTAAACCCTAAACCCCCAAACCCTAAAGAACCTGAAGAGCAGCGTGCTGAGCAGATTGAATTGCAAAAGGAAGAAGCAAGGCTTGCCGAAGAGGAGGCTGCCCGCTTGGCTGCTGAGGCGCAACCTCAGCAACAAAAGTCAATGTGGGAAGACAACGCTTCTATGATATTTGCATCCTCAAAAGCGCTGTCTCTCAGATTCAGTGAGGGGCATAGCGCATTGCCGCTGGTGCGGGTGCGTACCCCGGGCAAGCCTTTGGGCTCGTAACCCTTGTGAGGGTCAGAGCACACTTCTTTTAGGCACAGGCAACCAAGATCCAAGATACACTTACGCGAAAGTTACTGTATACTGTACACTTACACTGTACAAACTTTCACTCTTCGGTGTGCGGAGGTTTTGATTTGTGCGTGTCATTCTTGCAGGGGCCATGCCTGTGAGCCTAGTGCGCCTGGCACTCGATCTCGCACAGCATTGCCGTCACCACCGCTGCGGCGACTGGGGAACGTACCTGAGCGGAGCTCAGGATGTTCACGCTGACCCGACTACCCCAAAACCCTTAAACCCCCCAAAGTTCAAAGTAACAAACCCCTCGAACCTTCTCATGTCCTGAATCCTGAGTCGCGAAGTCCTCACCCTCCTGCCCTTCTGCCAAAGTTTAAGCAATTACCAATACCATTTTTTTGGTGGGGGGTCCTTATTATAATTATTGTCGGATGGGCCCCAAACCCTATTCTAATTCTTAAGGCCCCTAGAATTATTATAGAAGCATGAGAGACCCTTGGGGTTTAGGGGGTTTGGTGGGAAGGGTAGTTTAGGGTTTAAGGTTTGGTGCTTAGAGTAGAGTTTAGGGTTTGACAGTGAGGGTTTAGGGGTAACGAGAAATCCTATTCGTGTTTTTGTTCACAACCCGTTCCCTAAATGGCCCTTAAATCCTATACCTAACGCCCCACACTTGCGTAAACGTGCAGTTCCCAAGAGGTTCACCGTATGCTTCTTGGCTTTTTTCACAAACTGTATCAGTCTGTTTCCGAGTATAGAAGATTACTATGCATATGAACTGGGACTTGAAACATTTTGTCAAGCCTCTAAATCATACCCCAAGCCAACCAGAAACCGACACCCTAACATCCTACACACCAAAGCCTTTGTTGTGTCGGACTTTTAAGCCCTGAACCCTCAAAACCCTTAACCCTACAAACCCTAAACCCTATAAACCCTGAGCTCTACAAAACACACTAAACCCCAAGCCCTCGTGACAGGCCAAGCAGAATTCCAAGCTGGTGGTGATTCGTGAAGGTAGGCCTGCCGTAGCCCGGCGGCACTTGAACTTTTTGGCAAAGCCAGGGGTACGTACCTGTTCCTTTTTGGGATTCCGGATGTAGGAAATTGTTGATTACCAAACTCAAAAGGGTGGCTCATATTTCGCTGAGGTTTTTGTTCGAACGGGTCAGGTCTGAGGCTTTCGGGCTTACGTATGTGAGGTTTAGGTTAGGTTCTCAGTACCAATTTGGGGGGAAGTAGCCGATATGGGGATCCTGATGATCCAGAATCTGAAGGTTCCTGCTGCTTCGGGTTTCATGTACTGCTGTTTACATCGTTGAGAATAGGTGACCGAAACGCCACCTAGCATCAGGATTAGAACCTTGTGACATCACCTTTGTAGGTGTTCCTCTCTGTGTGTTATTGGGTTGGGTCAGTTAGGGCTTCAGGGAACAAGGATGGATTACTCGTCTAAGTCCGAAGGTTCGAGTTTATGTTCTACTGAACTAGAGCGCTCTTCGTAATGCGCCCATTCTTGTAGCTGTGCCATGACAAGGACCCCGTTGCGGCAATAATGTGCTGTGATAGCCGATAACCAGTTCGTTTATAAGGAGCATGGCACAGCACAGTTTCAAAGCAAGCCTGTACTACACTCTCATCGCAAAGATCCTCGTGTTACAGCCCTAAACCCAAAACGTCCAAACCTGAACCCCAGACCCCTAAACCGTAAAACCCAAAAGCCTAAACCCTACATCCTAAATCCTAGCCTAAGAACTTTAGCCAGTGACCTGCAGCCCTGTCCGAGATGCATCGCGCCTCTCGCCGGTCGCGGAGAGAGTCAGGCGGCAGTGCTTGGTGAGACCCTGCTTCCAGATGTTTTCTTCATGTGGGTTTAGTTTAGTGACAACAACAGGTACACTGGTGTAGATACATGCAGGTGGGTATTTCTAAATCGGTACAGTGTAAGTGTAGCGTGGCCATAACATAGGAAAGTGGTGAAATCCACTATTTGTTTCATTTTTGTGAAGAGACTGTAGTGGAAAGAGTATCACATTATGTGTCATAGCACGGAACGCTATAAGCGCATAGCGAAATGCAGCATCGTACAGCATAGTATAAACTCGCTTCAATACAGTAGAATGTCACAGTAGATACGAGCATGGAAAGCACGATAATGCATTGCACCGTAATGTACTGTGATGCAGTGTAATATACTGTACATCTTTATCACGGTACTGTGATGAAAAATACGTGACATACACAATCGTGTGAGATACATGTATACGGACGATGCGTAGTACTTCGAAGGATTACTTCTGTATTAAGTTACCAAGCCTGAATATGTAATCGGGCTCTTTCCAGACATGATTGAAATTGAAATTCTTGGAATCATCAGAATCATCAGTTATGTCGGGGAACCTGTGCGATACACGCAGGTCTGAAGACGGCATGGCATAGCCAAGGATCCACGGCGCTATACGTTCAAAAGAAGGCATATGTGGTTGATAGGTTGCTGTTTAACAGGGCTTTAGATGGCTTATCAACAACAGCATGTCTTCAAGAATTCTTGGAAGGGTCGAATCAAGGCCTTGAGGGTCTGATGTCTGCGTGTTTCTTCTTTAGGGATTTCACAAGGGTCGTCTCAAGGGTTCCAGAAAAGGGTCTACATAGGGCCTGGTTCAGGACTGCTCTATGGTTGTCGGATAGAGTTTCGGGTGTAATCACTGTTGCGAGTTTCAGGTTTAGGGGTGTAGGGTTTGGATGTTTTGGTAGTTTTGTGGGCAAAATACCCGAAGAAAGCTCCCGAAGCAGGCGTGCTGCAGACTCTGCTGCTGGGCTGAAGAGAACAGCACGGCATGGGGTGTCGCTCTTTTCCTTTGATGTAGTTGGCTGTGCATAAACTCATCGAAGTGAGCACTGGCTGCTTGTTGATTGGTTCTGGTAGGGTTGAGAGATCATGGGTACATTCTAAAGGTCATTCTAAAGGTCCCTTGCTACTTTAGATTGCGTTGTAGCTCCGTAGTCCGGTGCCCTTGCTTGGCTGGTTTCGGGTAATGTCCGCTTAGGGTTCCCCAACAGAAGTTCGTTGACACAAGGGCATTATAACCACATACACCAAGACCTTGGTCAAGGGTCCATGTATGTATGTATGTATATATATATATATATATGGGAGTTTCCGAAAATAGGGGACCCTAACATAGTACCCTACATAGTAGGATCCTTAATACAAGGACCCAACCTAAGGTACACTCCCCCCCCCCCCCCCCCAATTTTCGGAAATTCCCATATTGTGTGAAATGGCAAGTCAAGGAGGATCTGAAATTACCCCTGAGCCTGCAGCCTCTGGGCCGGGTGCTTCAGGGTTTACCTGGACCCTAAGGAACCTGTTTGGGCTCCCTAAATAATATGACGATTTCTTTATAGAAATCCTGAAAAAGATAGGCTATTTGGGGTTAAGGTAGGGTTTAGGATTCAGGGAGTCGAGCCCTCGCTATCGGCCCGACTGTCCCCCCAAACCTCTGACCCTGCGGTCGACAAGGAGTGCAGAATAACAGTTGGAGGGTCATGGGACTTAATTAGTAAGTACAGTTATAAGTACCTTAACTGGAGTTAGAAGTAATTATAAGTATAGATACCTTATTTATAACCCTAGTTACTAAGTCCCATGATCCTTTAAATAGGCTTGTAGCCCCCATCACCAAAGCCTGTGATCTTTAAGCCCCACCCAGACGTCCGGGAGGATCTAGAATGTAGATCCCCTAATTTGGGGCCCTATACTACGAAGAGTACTCTATAAGAACCCCATCTACTTTTTGGATCCTCCCGGGGGTCTGGGCAGAAGGTTTGGAGGTCGGAATAATTCATGGTAATGTCTTCAAAATCCCAGAGCTTTAACCCTACCTTTTTAAGGACATATATAAGGAAATCATAATAAGAAACCCTAGAAGGTAGGTTATTCAGGATTAAGGTACAGTCACTGTCAACCCTAAACCCTGAACCCTAAAGCCTTATAAACCCTAAACCTCCAAACCCTAAACCCTTATCAGCCCTAAACCCCTAAACCCTAAACCCTTATAAGCCCTAAACCTCTACACCCCTAAACCCTCATAAACCCTAAACCCCTAAAACCGTTTAAACCCTAAACCCCTAAACCCTCATAAACCCTAAACCCCTAAAACCGTTTAAACCCTAAACCCCTAAACCCTCATAAACCCTAAACCCCTAAAACCGTTTAAACCCTAAACCCCTAAACCCTAAGCCCTTATAAACCCTATAATCCCTACAGTCACGGTCAACCCTGGCACTGAGGAAGCGCATGAGCACGGTCCTGCATGCGGCGGAGCAACGGCGAGGGCAGACGGTCGTGGAGCTGGGCCGCAGCCTCGTTCCCGTGGGCTTACCTCGAGCTTAGAGGGGGTTTGCGGTGTGAGAATAGGGTTTGGGGTGTATGGGCTTCGGGGGGAGTATGGGTGTAATTATGGCGTTTAAGCTTTGGCGTTCAGGGTTTTGGGTTTTCGATTCACCTGTGGCGAAAAATACTACCATTTCGAGTGCTACCCTGCAGGTCGTGATTGTCTTTGTTGAAGGTGCTTGGTGACGTACAGGGGTTTGTGTTTTAGGGTTTACGCGTTTGGGGTTTATAGGTTAGGGGTTAGGGACTGCTGTGAGGGGCTCTGACTCATTTGAGGTGGACAGCGACTGACACAAGCCGTTTGAGAGTACTGGGTTTGCAGAGTTTCGTCGGTCGATACCGTCTGTGGCAGGCCATGTTGAGAGCGATCGCCAGATTGCGACATTCACATTAATTACGGTAGGGGCCTTAACATAGTATAGGCAATTATTCAGGCCCCTATGGTACTCGGACCTTTCTGTTTAGTGTAGATATTTGTTTCAGCTCGCCGTACTCCGGTTCATCCAGGCATGAAGGCCGTTTGCCTGCGTTTCCACTGCTCCGGAGGATGACGCCTAACGTGGCCGGTCGACTTCCTTCCGAGCTTTGCCTAAAACCCCTAAACCCCTAAATTCTCCGAGGTGTTCGCAAAGTGGTGTCGGATTATACCCTAAATCATAGTAGGATCCCTATCTTCCTTTAGGGATATTGGGGTCCCTGGGAACCCTCAAAGGTGTTCGCAAAGTGGTGTCCATGGCGACCGGCCAAGCCTCGCAGTCTTTGAACCCACGGAGTCCGGCGGCAGATTCTGCATCGCTCTCCTTCGGGCAGCTTCAGGACCTTCTAGGGGGGCTTTTAAGGGTTTATACTATGACATACTGGGCTTTAGGGTTTTGGGGTTTTAGGGTTTCAGGGTTTAGGGTTTCAGGGTTCAGGGTTTTAGGGTTTTGGTGTTTGTTTACGGTTTTGGGGTTAGGGTTTTGGGGTTTATGTCACAGTTTATGGTCTTAGGGTTTTAGGGTTTAGGGCTTGGGGTTCAGGGTTCTGTTTAGGTTCCAAACAGGGTTTCTGAAAAGGGTTCTCTGAGGGTGCGGGAAGGGCTCCCTATAGTTATAAGCCTAAGCCCTGAATGCCCTAAATCTTCAACCTGAAATCCTAAATCCTAACCCTGAACCTTGGTTTCACACGGGCTTTACGAAAGGCTTCCACGTCAGCTTCCGGACCGAGGTTGCGGGTTAGCTCAGGGTCCCGGAATGGTTTCTAAATGGGTTCTACTATCTACGGTTCTTTTGGTTCCATAAATCTATAAACGTTTAGGGTTTGGTTCTTTTAGTTCCATAAATCTATAAACGTGTAGGGTTTGGTTCTTTCGGTTCTATAAAGGTTCAGGGTGTAGGGGTGGGTTCTTAGGCCGAGGGCTTCTACAAGGGCGCCCTATAAGAGTTTCAGTTCTATAGTTGTTCCATGAGGGCTTCCATCTGGGTATCATCAGGGTTCTATGGGGTTCTATAAGGGGGTCCTAAATGGGTTCCATGAGTCAATGAGGGTTCTCTAATTAAGGCCTTCCAAGAAGGGCTTCGGGTTTCCGCCAAGGGTTGCACAAGCTTTTGTGAGGTTTAGGATTTAGAGTTTAGGGTTTAGAGTTTAGGGTTTAGGGTTTAGAGTTTAGGGTTTTAGGGTTTAGGATTTAGGGTTTAGGGTTTATGAGGGCTTCCAGAAGATTTAGGGGTTTGGTATAGAAGCCAACCGGACAAGGAGTCTCTCACCGGGGTATTATGGGATGGTGCAGGGTTGGTTTTAGTTGTTTAATGTCATAGGGAGGGTCCGGAACAATTGATAAATATTGTTCCCTGAAGTTCCTGAGTACTGCATAGTGCAGAAACACCCAGCACCTTTTTTCCAGTGGTTCAGGCCCCTGCAAAAAGTATACAGTGTGTGTGACGCGCGCAGGATGTGAACCACCCCGAGACGAATCGCTTCTTCAGCATGCACGGCAGGACCCTTCTTTGCAGAAACTCTCGTTGAGGGCTGATAGGGCTTACTTGGCAACCCAATACACCTAGATGTGTCGGACCTTTGCAGTCACTGTGTAAGTGAGCCGTGTACCTTGCATGAGAAAGCCCCAAAACTACCCTAAACCCCTAAACCCTAAACCCCTTAAACCCTAAACCCCTTAAACCCTAAACCGATCTAAACCGTTATGGCCTGTAGGGAGGGGTCGGGGCTTGGAAGTTGGTTAAACCATCCTGGACTTTGGGGGCAGGGCTCGTGGTTTTTGGATTGATACGTAAGGTAAAAGGGGCTTTAGGTGGCGTTTAGGGTTTAAGTTCAGGTTTATGGTCAGCAACCCTCTGAATCAGGAGCAAGATTTCGTGGTTCAGAGTTGCGCAGAGCCACAATGACAACACACAATACTCGGATTTGCAAAACCCTGAGACCCATTGATATTGGAGGCCAAGCAATTCCAGATTCCATTGCATTGTATAGTCCACACGAAAGCCCTATTGAAATTATCAAGGATCCACCTTACTTTGCTGCTTCGAGTCTTGGATTTCCGAATGCAGAGTGTACCTTAACCACAAATAACCTATCTTTTTCAGGACTTGTATAAAGAAATCATATCAGGGAACCCTAAAAAGGTACGTCCCTTAGGGTCCAGGCAGACCTTCTTCAGGACCCGACCAGACGACTGAAAGTTTCATCTTTGCATCCCACTTCCGTAACCTTATGACTTTGGATCCTGCGTAGTGAGCCATGATTTCGAACAATTACTTTTACAATTCATTTATGATGTATTTATGTTTCGCGGATTTCTTGTTTTATGGGTATTCTATTTTTTACACTTCAGATTATCTCATTCGCGCAGCTTCTCTGACATGATTGTCGTGTTCTTATGATTAGACACGTGAGCCCGCATCCAGTTGATCTCCAGGCCGGGAGCAGGGGGGGGGCCTGGGCTGGGACGGTGGCTGCGGCAGGGGCAAGGGGCGGTGGAGGGGGGGTGGGGTGCTTTCGGAAGTTAAAAAAAACACAGAAAACACATAACAAATCATAAACAACTCATGAAAAATCATAAAACATCTAAATTCCCTGGATTTTTACATAAAAACCAAATTTCCGCACCCCCCCCCCGTCCTCATGCCGAGGACCCTCGCTCAGGCCCCCTACCCTCTCTTCCACCCCTCCTCTGCGCCCCTGCCCCCCTCCCCTCCGCGCACGCCCCTCCCTCCAACCCTTTCCCCCTGTTGGTCTGAATTGGCCTTTTGGTTGCCCCGCAAACCTGGACAACCCCTCGAACCGGATTGCTGCGGGTGAGACCAAGCACTGGAAGTTGCATTTTGTCCCGCCCTTGTGAGCTCGTTCCTTCTTCAATTGCATCGCATGGTGTTCATGCCCAAATATGAGAGTCCCCGCGCAGGTTTGAAACTGGTGCACTGTTATCCATGTAACGGTGTAGTCTCGGTTAACGATTCTATCGTCATCCGGATGAATCGAGAAAGCAGTGCAAATGAATTGTAAAACAACTGTAAAATGAATGTAAGTCCAGGCTTGCCAAGAAAACCGTGGTTTCAAGGAAATTGTAGAGTATAAACCACAGATTCGGTAAAACACAAAAGTATTGTAAATATTCAGAAAAAGTAAATATTTGCAATAACGTACCTCTCGCAAGGATTACAAAGTCATAACCGTAACCTCCACCTGGAGGACCACATGACCCTTAAAAGTAGGGGCCCTACATGCAATATGAATCCCTGTATGGTCTATGAAAATTAAACCCTTTTAGGGTTCATTTCGTCCTTAAGGCAAAGCCCCAAATGTCGGCAACCACAACACCTGAATGCAGACTTCAGGATACATGTTTGTGTAAGCCTAGAAGATCATTGTAGGTCGCGAAGAGCAGTGCAACACCCTAAACCCTAGGCCCTGGACCCGAAACACCCGAAATCAGAAGTGCCTCTTTTGCCGCGGTGCCAGGAGCAATACTTCAACTTCCAATGGTGCGAGGGACGGGAGTAGAACCTCGGCTTCTGAATTGGCTGTTCGAGGTTAGGGGAGCTTGGGGCTTCCGGGATTTAGGGTTGTAGTAGGGGTGGTCAATCAAAGTTTAGGATTTAGGGCTTTAGGGCTTGCGGGTTTGTTCGGAGTTGAAGTCTGGAGGTTGATCGTAGTCGGATTTCTGCATCAGAAGCATAGGTTGCATGGAAAGGTCTCTACGGTGAATCAGACGTCCCACCTGACCCGCCTGTGCGGACATCAATACCAACCGCTGGGCGTTTACCATTATTATGTTTGCCATAATGTAGAAGCCTAAATGATTACCAATACTAGATTGTGGGGTCCTTAGTATAGGTATAGTATATTAATATACAGTCCAAACCCGAGTCTAACATTTCAAGCTCCCCACATCAGCTGAGTTTGTAATTTTTGAAGACTCTTGGGATGAGAAGCAATAATCCCCGAGACGGTAAACCAGAAACGCTAAACCTCAAGCTTGGTTGCGAGTTTAGGGGTTTAGGGTTTAGGGCAAGCTGAGGGTTTAGGTGTCAATGTTATTATACCCCACCCCAGGCCATTTCCAAGAATAAAGTCCGTTTTGGAACCCACTCAGACTGCAAACTTAGACTGTTTGGATGGATGATGAGCTGTGCAGCCGAGAGAACGCCTTCCCCCAAAAGCCGTCAACCTTGAAGTGGCTTTCTCAAGGCCAGAGTATATGATTACTTGCACCTTTACGACTGCTTAGAGGTTCATGCTATAAGCAAGGTAACTATGCTTATAACCCTTATCAGGGGACTGAAAGCCCCACTTATAACTACCCATGAACCTCCAAGTCCTCCATAGTCCTGTTCTTCCTGCCATAGAGTCTCGTGTAATCCTGAATCAAATTAACCAGGGATCCTACGGCAAGTGGAGAACAAGCCCGAAGCCCTACTCCTAGGGTCCCAGGTACTGTTATGGGGGATACTTCTTCAAACCACAATAAGACTTCCTAATATAGAAACCCTACATTCTACTACATAGGTACTTTGGACCCTTTAGGTGTGTACATCCAAAAACCAGGCCTTTGGAAGATCCTACACCGAACATCCCCGAGCCCGAGCTTATCTCACCCACCGTGGAGGTTCACGGGTAGGCATAAGCAGATTGCACAAGTAAGATATCTATACTTCCGGCATAAATAAATAAGAATATGTGTATATATTTACATATGATAATATATATATATATATATATATTAGGACCTATGAGCTCCACTTATAACTACACATGAACCTCCAAGTACGGAGTACGGAACTCATCTTAGCTCTGCGGCGTTTTCACCCGAGGATGGGGCACGTGGATGCAACTCACACATACACTGACGTCCATGACGTCCTACAAGAGGTGCCTATAGTCTCCATTGTAGTTCCTTTCTGGGGTTACCTTTTAGGATCCTTAATATAAAACAGGTTAAACCAAGAAAAGGAACTACAATGGAGACTATAGGTGAGGATTCTTGAGCGGCTCGAGGGTTTCTGATTTAGGATTTAGGACTCTAGGGTTTATAGGGTATCTGGTTTAGGGCTTCGGGTTTCTGGTTTAGGGTCTTGGGCTCCAGGGTTTCGGGTTTAGGGCTTCTGCCTTAGGGTCTAGGGTTTAGGGTTTAGGCTCCAGGGTTGAGGGCTTAGGGTTCAGGGTTTCTGGCTTAGGCTCTAGGGTTTCGGGTTTAGGGTTTCTGGTTTCGGGTTTAGGGGCACAAGGGCCAATATATCAACCCAAAATTCCACCCACGTATAAAATGGACGATGGGGGTGTCAAAATTTTAGGATGTTTTAGCGTTGAAGTGGAGGGTTTAGGGTTTCGCAGTCTGTAGAGGTTCACGTAGGCACCGAATTAAGAAACCCTGACCTGGTACTATTCGGAGGCGTATAAGGGACCCGAATAAGGACCCAGGATTTCTTAATCAGGTTCCTACATTATCCTGACCTACCCTAAACCCTCAAAGGTTCCAGCTGAGGACGTTGCAGACATGCAGGTTCTGGTTGGTTAAAGCCCCCTGAACCCTCAACTCTCAAAACCTTACATATTCCAGACCCTCAGCAACCCTAAACACTGTCTTTGAAGTCGGCGGTTTTTTAAGCTAAGCCAGGTTCCTGGGATGAGCATTGTTTGTAGGAGTGCTGCCTTCATGATCTTGGTGCCCCTTGGGCCAGTCGCTGGTTCCTGGGGCACTGTTCAGTGTGCAAGCAAGGGCCCTCAGATGCGGATCGCACGACAACATGTCTTGCGTGTGTGTTGATTGGGCCAAGAAGAGGAATCCCCTGCCGTACCTGGAGAAGTCTCAGAGTTCTTGCGGGCACATCCTGCAGCACCTGCCCAGCCACTGACAATGAACAGAGCCTCATTCGTTTGCTTCCTGGAGGCACCCCGTGACGATCGACGGAATCAGCGTGGATGAGGTTCTGGTGTGCAGAATCGCCCACCTCTTGGACAAGAAGTTTGAACTCGTGTGTTTCGTAGATGAAGTGCAGGCTCTCCTGGACTAAGGGTGCTGATTGCCGTTGGGACCAAGATCTGAACCCTGATGCCACACTTAAGCCCAATTGCCTCAAGTCCCAACCCTAATACCAACATTTAGTTCCAAGCCATAAACCCCTAGGCCCTTAGCCCTGAAACCGTCTAAGTCCGAAGTCGTAAGGTCGTACTGTCATTGCTTTGCTGAAGCTTTGGTGGAGTCCCCGAAAGCTTTCGTATAGCTCCGTTGTAGAACCCCGGCAATAGCCTCAAACACTACCCGCGACAGACCTGGATTTAGAGTACCATACTTGAATACGTTTTTGGTACCTGTTCCTTAAAGTAACCATTATGCAATAAAAGTCTATACTTTTTTCTCTGTGGTTACTTCAAAGTCCAGATCTGTTTCCGTACGTCTTATTGAACCCTTGTAGTCCCTTTGCAGAACCCTGAAAACAGCCACAAAGTACCCGCACAGCTCTTTCTTTCTTCCGCACTGCTTAATCCGTGTAGTTCCTTTGTAGAACCTCGAAACAAGCTGTATAACTACAGTAACCTTTATTATACATAGATATTTTCCAGCGCTGCTTATAGAACCCTGTAGTTCCCTTGTAGAACTCCGAAGAAAGCCCTAAAGTAACCGTTATAGATCCTTTAACTTTTGCGCACTGGCTATACAACCCTTGAAGCCCCGCTGTAGAAAACAACCCGTATAGATCTAGTTTCTGCACTGCTTGTGGAACCCTTGTAAAAATTTGTTGTTCCCTTGCAGAACCCTGAAAAGAGCCCTAAGCCAGCCCTTGTAGCACTTTAGTTCCGTTGTAGAACCTCGGATGAACCCTAAACCCTAAGCCCTTATCCCAGGACCCCCCCCCCCAATAGCTCTTGAATGGAGCCCTCATGGTCTTAACTGGTGGGTATTCAGGGTCTACTAGAGGGTAGTTGGGGACTCTAAGTAGAACCCTGGTTCCCTTGTAGAACCCCGGATGAACCCTGAACCCTAAACCGCTATAGAACCCTAAACCTCAGACCCTTATAGAACCCCAAACCCTAAACCTTAAACCCCAGACCCTTATCGAACCCTATAGTTCCCTTGCGGAACCCCGGATGTGTAGAAGGCCGACGACGCGGACGGTAGGCCATCGCTGGCGATTGAGACCTGCCTGCTGTGGCAGGCCCGGGGCAGCTTTTCCTGCGATTTGGGGGATTTAACATAGGGGTCTATAATACTTAGAATAGGGTTCCCTTTAATTAAAGGGTTCCTTACAGGTCTACAAGGGGTAAACAGTAAGGTTCTACAATATACCTATTGGCTGTAAACTCAACTTTTCAACTTTTTGGGTTCTTGTAAGGTAGTGGGTTCTGAAAGTTTCAACTTTTGTTCCCTTGGGTTTTGGGCCAGTGAGTATAGGGGCATAAATGGGACTGAATTCTCCCTGGGGATTGAGGATTTAGGGCCTAACATGGTTGAAGGGATTTAGGGTTTTAGGGTTCAGGGCCTAGAGTTCCAAGGATGAGCTGTTTGAGTTTTAGGGGTTCTGATTTTTAGTTTAGGCTGTTCGGCACTGTTCGGGTGTAGAGTTTATAGTTTTTGTGTGCTCAATTGTATTGGCTTCCTGTTGGTTCGAAGACCGTTACAGTCTCAACGCTCCAATTCGGGCTGCTAGAGAAAAGGAATGCAGGCACTAAAGGGCTGCAATAAATGAAAGCTATTGAGTCTTGGCGTGGAACCCGTGTTGTTTTTTGTGTGTGCTTTTTTGCTGTGGGTGCTCCCGGCGGGGGGGCAGCGAGTAAAAAACACAAGCGCGCCCCGGACCCTGGATGTATTTCTGCAGTGGATGCTCAGAGGCGGGGGGCAGCAAGTCAGTGAGTGAACTTGCCGGGCACCCGCAGCAAACAAAAACGCGCCGCGCACCCGCTGCAAAAAACAAAACACACCGCGCACACGCAGCAGACTTGCACACACAACAAAGAAATAACCACTCTTACCGTTTTGGCGTATGCTGTACATTGAATATTAGATTCGGGAGCCTGACTAATCCTTAGCCCCGAAGCCCTACACCACCCTCAAGCCCCAAACCTAAAGCCCAGCCCCAAAGCCCTGAACACCCCTCCAAACCCTGAACCCTAAACCCCTCAGCCCTATGGCCCCTATAAACCCTAACCCCTAACCCCTAACTCAGGGATGTCCATACTCACTCGGTCTGTCTCGATGACCATTGCATGTCATTTATACTCTCTGTCTCGACTGTCGTGCTGTTGCTATATGAAAAAAACTGTGCTGTTTCGTATAATGTGTGGTAGGTCCCTGAAGCCCTGAAATAGAATTGGTAGCAATCTCTGTAATTACGAATTAAATTGATAAGTTTGCTGCTCGTTCAGACAATACATCACGGCTTCAAGCATTTAAATCGAAAGCTTCGGAGACTTTCGTGATTTCGGATTAATTACGTAGGCATGGATCCGGGTGCTGTGCTGTCTGCCTGGGTGACAAGCCGATGCGTCGAAGTTTGTCCGTGGGTGGTGGAGTCGGAAATATCCTACAACGACCTGAAGGACCAAATGACCCTTAAAAGTAGGGGCCCTATGCTCATATACTGCGAACCCCTATATGGTATATGAACCTTAAACCCCTTCAGGGTTCATTTCGTCCTTCAGGGAGGAAGGGCCGACGATGCGCCGAAACAGATTTATTCATGTGCTGGTTTATTTATCCACTGCGCCGTTTATTGCGGAAGGACTCAGGAACCAAGTGCACGCCTGAGTTGTTGTGATTTTCGCAAGGCAAGGGATCGAACGCCCACCCGGCCCCCGAAACCAGCAAAGCTTCGCCGCACGAGGAAAAACATCGCAGTGGCACCGCTTCGGTCGTTTGTTTCCGGGGAGTCTATCCGGACCGCTAAACCCTATAATTAACCCCTATAAACCCTAACCCTTATAAGCCTAACCCCTAACCCCTTTAACCCCTAAACCTTCAAACCCTAATCCTTGGACCTTAAAGCCCGAGACCCAACGACTTCCATCCTGCAAGCCTGACACAGTGGGGCGAAGCCTTAATCCTAGAGCCCTAAACCCCAAACCCTAAGTCCTCGAGCTCTAGAGCCCTCAAGATTAGACCCTGATGCATTAGGCCCTAAACTTAGACCCTCAAGCCCTGAACCCTAAAGCCTTGGACCCTGAAGCCTTAGGCCCTAAGCCGTTTACGCTGGAACTCGAGACCCCCTGAACCTCTGACCCTGTAATAGCTCTCGACCCCAAAATCCTCAGCGGTGTTAGCCTGAGACCTTCGGGCAGGAAAGTCGAGAAGCGACGTCAGCGGAAGGCAGTCAGAGGCCTCGAATTCGGGTATGATGGGGGTTTGGGGCCATTAGGGTTGAGGGTTTAGGGGTTTAGGGTTTAAGGTTTAAGGGTTTAGGGGTTTAGGGTTTAGGGGTTTAGGGTTTAGGGTTTTAGGGTTTACAGGGTTTAGGGTTTCCCCAAGGGTCCAAGTACCTGATAATCATGTACTCTCCAAAATCATAGGCTACATAACTACTATCCCAAGTATCTAATTATTGGGTCCTTTGGATTTTTGGGGTTTAGGTATTATACTAGGTATTATATTTGGTAATATGGTGGAAATATGTGGGTTTGGAGATGAAGGTTTCGAGTTTAGGGTTTAGGGTTGAGATTATAGAGATGGGGGTTGAGGGGCTAAGGTTTGGGGTTTGAGGTTTAAGGTTTCTGGTGTAGAGCTTAAGATTCAAGTTTCATGGTCTTGGGTGTTGTGCGGCGCCAACAGCATCACAGAAGACATGCCAACTGGCTGCCTTAGGACTGAACTTGACGGTGACATCCTTGTGGGCTCTCATGATGAGCGCTCTGGATGGAGAGAAAACAAGATTTGCAGCCTGGGCCATGGTCTTCCCAAACACCGGTGAGCGGATTCAGCTATCTCGCGCTCCGAAAACACCAACCACCAAGAAGAGCAAGGCGAGCATGCCTCGGGAAAAGATTCGAGATTCAATGGGCTCCTTCTGGAAACAGCTTTAGGGTTGAGGGTTTAGGGTTTAGCGAGCCTTGGACACAGGTAGAAGGCAGCAAAGCAAGTCTAGGAATGCTTGAATCCGCGATCGCATGGATCTACCTTTGGGGTTCGGGTTTGCGGTTGAAGGATGGGGGTTTAGGGGTACAGGTCTAAGGTTTGACTAGGCTTCTGGGATGAAGGCTTAGGATGCAGGGCACGGAGCTTAAGGTTAGGGTTTGGGTTTGAGTTTGGGGCTGAAAGTTTGGGTCTTAAGGTTTAGTTGGGGTATATGGTGTAAGCTCAGGGTCCGAGATCCTAGTAGCTAGTTACTTGGAGGATCATGAGACTTAGTAAGTATGGTTATAAGTACCTTAATTGGTTTATGCGCAATTATAAGTATAGTTACCTTAATTATAACCCTAGTTACTAAGTCCCATGATCCTTTAAGTAACAACCATGAACATCTCAAGACGACGCGCTTACGTCACTGCTATACTGAGCCCAATGCACTACCTTAAGGACCCTAAACTATGGGAATTATGGTGTATTCCTTATTATGGGTATTGCAGGATTTATATCATCAACCGTAGTTCTTGGCTCTTTTGGACCCTTCAGTCGGGAGTGTGGGGTTTTAGGAGTCAGGGCTTGGGGTCTGGGATTTCAGCTCAGCTTAGATGTCTGGGGCCTCAGGCTTCTGGGGTGACGACTGTGGAAGTCGGGGTTGAGGGGTCTTGGCTGTACGGGGTAACGCTTTCGAAACTTAGGGTGCCATGGGCATTGGCCCCAGCATGAAAACGTAGGAGGTGGCCCAAGGCCAAAGCAAATACAGACTAGGAACATGGATATTTACTGAGGGCAACTAACCAAAGTCTTTCGCACGCCGATGTGGCTGCCGATCGGTCTGGTAGGAGTTGAGGTTGTGCAGGAGCCTCGATTGTTGGAATAGGGCGCTGGTATTTATTCTATTCGCATTTCGTCGAGCCCCCATCATACACCACGTCAACCAAAAGCCTTACCTCAATCAACAAGGACCTGATGGTTCTATCCTCAAAAAAGAATTCACATGGACCTGACAACAAATATACTCTGTTGAGTGAAGGCAGACCCTATCCCTAAGCTCCACGGGCGACCAACGACTGGGTCCATGAACATAAACTTGGTGTACGGCTTAGGGTTTAGGGCTAAACACCTTAACCCTGAACGATCGGCATGGAATCTTGCAGATTATCCTGAACCCTTCTAAAACCCACACGCCCAAGTCCTGAAACCCTCAGCCTAAACCCGAAGCACATGCAACGTCCCCCTCCGGCCCATCCTTGTCCCAAAACTTTTCGAACCTTCCCCCACTAAACCCCCCTCTCCCCCGCCGAACCCGGAAACTTCAACACAGAGGCCTTAATAATTGCCAATAGTATTTTGGGGGGATCCTGATTGTAATTATAGTATAACGGGCCCCATAACCCTATTCTAACTATTCAGGCCCCTACGATAAGCTTTGTGAAAGGCCGGCAAGGACGCAATGCAGAGGGCAAAGGCGAGCACGTTGTCGACTTGGACCCCTGGCTGACTTGGGTTCAAGGGATGCCGCGTGGTAGTATGTACCCCTATGCCCTCATTTTCAGGGGTCTCCATGTTCAAAAAAGGCATGAGAGAATAAAGGTACCGATTAAGTGGGATACTAGGGAAGGCTACAGTTTAGGGCTTAGGGTGGTTTGCAGAAGTTTGGGGTTGATGGTTTCGGCTGTTCCTCCCCACCCCCCCCCGCCCAAGGCCAACACACGCAAAGTTTCCTATGAATCAATGCGGAAGAAGGAGAGGAGAGTCACCTGGCTCCAAGACCCACACGACGAGAGCTGGCACAATTCGCCGGATGCCGCGAAACGTCGCTAACTATCCGGGCGACAAGCGGCTGCCCATTGCCGTCCGGTTTGGGACTGGCCCACCACCACGGCGGAACAAATAGTGGACAAGCTGGGTTGGGTGCGTTGTCAGATGCCGTGCTGGACGTGCGCTCGACAGACAGGAGCCAGGTGCAACAGGCCATGCGAACCTTTTCGTGGACCTCCTCACACGCACCGGTGTTCTGAGTGCTACAGGATGTCATGATCAGTGCTGACCCGGTTTCACTGGTTGTGGATGCCCTCGGCGTGGATCTTGGTTTGCCGACATTACCAAGCGCTCTGTGCGCTCTGAAATTCCGTACTTCGAAATTGTGGGTGCTGTCCACAGGACGTCATCATTTCAGATGGGCTCTTAACCAGAGAGGGTGAAGGTTGTTTGAGGGTTTAGGCTGTTGGGATCTTATGAATCTTAGGTTTCGGACCTCTTGGATATAAGGCTGACGATTGGGACTGTAGTCGGGTCTGGATGTTTATAAGCTGTGGCTGTCGTCTTTACATGTACTCCCTTTCAGGAAAGTTGTGCGCTTCGTGAGAAAGCGGATCGTGCCTTTGAAAGGAAAGTCGAAGCACTACTTGGCTCGTAAGGGACTTGGTCGCCCGGTTAGTGGTACACTCTTGTTTGCAGTTTAAGGACGGGGCCGATTTCTCGAGTTGAAGAGAGGGAAAGGGCGGCGTAGCTGCATAAGCCCGAATGAACCGTTACGTCCTGAAGAAGCCCCAGAGAGAACGCTTCAAAGAATCCATAACCGTGACCCTCCAAAGGCCCCTCGAATGGTCGATCTGATGAAATCCTCCCGAACCCGTAGAAAATTAGTAAAGAAAGCCTCATAGAACCCTCACCTCTTCAAGGAGCCCTAACATCCCGGAATCCCTAACCCCTAAATCCTAAACTCTAAACCCTATATAAACCCCTAAACCCTAAACCCCTAAACCCTATAAGCCCTAAACCTTAAACTCTAAACCCCTAAATCCCTAGAGCCCTAAACCCTAAACCGTCCAGGAATGGTCCTTGGATCTTTCCTTGGAGGGCTTGGGCGTTGCCATGCTGGAGATTCGCTTGGACTCGGGAGAGTCACATGAGGCGCCCTTCACCAGGGCTATACTCGTTTGGTGGTTTTCAAAATCAGGGTTTTGGGGTATCCTAAATAATATTAATAGGTGCCGTATTATAATAGGGACTCAAAAGGGACCATAATTTTGACGGCCACCCAGTTGTACAATGTGCACTGATCCATGCTATACCGTACTCTGTAACTATACCGTGCTATATTGCAGTGTACTGAACTATGCTGTACTTGCTGCGTACACCGCACCATACCATACGATAGAAGACTATACGATACTACACTGTTCCATTCTATACTGTACCATACTATACTGTCCTAGATCATTACAGAACCAAAGTAAGGTGCATAAGGTTTCTGCAAGGGTTTGGGGTTGGGGTCTATTGTTCCTCCTTGGTCGGGTTGTTAGGATGCGTAGCGAGTTTTGGTCGTCCTCGGGATTTAGCATGATTCGATGCGGGTGTTTATATGGCCTCTGGGGATGAGGTTTTAGTTAGTTGACTTCTTAGGGGTGCTTAGAAATAGTTTTTAATTTTCGTTTATTTTAACCCCTAGGAAACAGCTAAAATGATATTTTTTGCGAGGGTTCTAAGTTCAATATAGTGCTATTGATTCAATGGGTTTGCGTGAATGGGTTTTTATGAGCTTAGCCAGGATTGTTCGGTTATGGGTGCCTCAACAGTGGGAAACGGGTTACAAGGCATATTTTGCACAATCGTACAAGGCTTGTCGAGATGTATTGTCTCTTTCTGTGTCGTGCTACAATGCTGCACAAGACGAGTTCCACATCAACCCTAAACCCTAATTACACCAAGAAGGTTTCAACAAGGATCCTATGCAGGGCTCCTGAGAGAGGGGGTCTTCTCTTCGAGTTCTATCGGGGTGGTAAAAGGACTTCACGGGTGGAGCATTTTGCGCTTCAGTCCCAAAACCTAGGTTTTTTTGGGGTGGTTAGACCCTATAATTAAGGGGTCATAACCTACTACTTTGTAGGGTTTGGGGATACAAGTAGGGATATATGATTCAAGCGTTTAGGGTTTTAATTGGGTGGTGGGCCAATTGAAGAAGGCAACAAACACTGTCGAATCCTGGAGGTGGGCTACGGCTGCTTGAGGAAGCTGAGGGTCAAAGTGGCTTGGACCGATCGTCGGGGCTTATCAGGGTTTGGGATTTGGGGTTTCAGGCTTTTAGGGGTTTAGGGTTTTTAAGGTTTAAGGCCCAGAAAAAGGTTCCTTTAAAGGGCTCCTTTAAGGGATCCAATTGGGGTTTCAGGCTTTTAGGGGTTTTAGGGTTTTAGGGTTTGGGGTATGGGATTTAGGCCTGTCAGTGTTCGAGAAGTTTCTGTGAGGTTCTCGAAAGGACAGCTATTTGTCTGCCTGTCTGTGTGTTTGCTTGCTTGAATGCGTGTTTGTGTGTTTCTGTATGTGTATATATATATATATATATATGGTACCCCCCCCCCCCCCGAGTTATCCACGCTTTTTGGGGCAGATCCTGTCCATGTTGCCCTTGACCCCTCATTATTCAAGCATCTGTAGTCTGTATCCATGTACGTGCACACTCCGAGCCTTATTGCATGTGCAGTACTAACGCACGAGCACACGATGCTAGAACACATTGTCTTTGCACAACCCTGACAGACGGAGGATTGAAGTTCAATGCCGCGGATTGAACTTCAATACTCCCCCGGATCCAAGATTCAAGATTCAAGATCCTGGGGAAACTTTCTCCAGGAACCTTGAATCTTGAATCTTGGATCCGGGGGAGTATTGAAGTTCAATCCTCGGGATTGAACTTCAATACCCCGCAATCAACTTCCATGCAATTGCCTGCCAAACGTAGCCTCCTGCCTCGCAGCCTTCGCGATTCTCAGACCTGGGTTACACCTCGGGGTAGAGGGGCCCATTATACCTTAGAAGCTGCCCCCATCCTGTAATAGTGAGTATAAAGATTATATAGATTTATATTAGGGCCCTATTATATTCCTATTATACCACTATTACAGGGTGGGGGCAGCTTCTAAATTATACCATAATTCTACTAAGGAACACCAAAACAGTATAGGCAATTATTAAGGCCCCTATATTAGGGTTTTGGGGTTTAGGCTGTACTGCAGGCTTAGGGGCCACAAGGACACCGACCCAATATAGGGGCTCATGAGTAGAACAGGGTTTTGGGCTACTTTAGACGAAAACTATAACAAGGAACACCCCCAAGTAACTATATGTTTAGGTTTACGGCTAGGGGGTTTGGAGTTCCAGGCTTTAGGGTTTATGTAGGGCTTTGGGGGTTTTAAAGGTTTAGGATTTCATTCGCGGAGGTTGCGTCTTTTTTTTTGAGGGGGGGGGGGGGGTTTTGAAAGGAAGCATTCTACCATAGCAGCGGTTTGGGATTCAGGGTACTTACCTGGTCCTCTACTATAGGGCCCCAAAAAATTACCAAAACAATTTTATAGCATAGTGGGCCCCAAAACCCTATTCGAATTATTAAGGCCCCTATACTAAATCCGTATTATAGCCCTTATACTTTTTGTACGCCTTATAAGCCCCTTTAACAGGATCCAAATGAAGAAACCCTATATTCTGATAATTTAAGGCCCCTGTATTAATTACAAGAGTAAGCTAGGATACCCAGTAACCTAAGAATAAAAAGGCCTCTCTTTTTGGTATTGGGTAACTTTATAAGGAACCTAGGACTACAAAAAAGGAATAAGGGTACTACTGGGCATCCTAGGTAAGGGTCTGCACCCAAAAGCCAGAGCCGGCCGAACCCTGGACCAAGCACAGCCGAAGAGTCAGCTCGGGAGGTACTTAAAGGATCATGGGACTTAGTAACTACCTATAGTCTCCATTGTAGTTCCTTTTTTGGTATAACCAAATATATCATAAGGATCCTATAAGGTAACCCCAAAAAGGAACTACAATGGAGACTCCAGGTAGGGTGATAATAAAGGGCTCTTTAAAGGGGATCTATAGGGCTCCTCAAAGGGATTTATGGGGTTTAGGGTTTAGGGTCTACTTAAAGGATCATTGGACTTCGTAACTGGGGTTACAATACAGGGCTCTTTAAAGGGGTTCTATAGGGCTCCTCGAAGGGATTTATGGGGTTTAGGGTTTAGGGCCTACTTAAAGGATCATGGGACTTAGTAACTAGGGGTGTAATTAGGGTAACTCTACTTACAACTACTTATAACCCCAATTAAGGTACTTATAACCACTTACTTACTACGTCCCATGATCCTCCAAGTAACCGATGGAGGGTCTCAATGCGCTGGCTAGTGAAGGCTCCGTCGCTGTAAAGATCTTACGCACATGATTTGCGAGGTTCGGGACTTACCTATAGTCTGCATTGTCGCTCCTTTTTTGGTTTCACCGCTTATATATTAAGGACCGTATAAGATAACACCCAAAAGGAACTACAATAAAGACTATAGGTAAGTTGTGCTTTTCGGTGCGGGGTTTAAGTTTGGGCATGGAGTGTTGTAGCTGTTGCTATCTGTGCTGTCGATGCTTGTTCAACTTCTCTGGCCTGGAAACGACATGAAAACAAGAGACTTCTGCTCGGGGGGTCAGCGTGTAAACTTACAGGAGAGAGAGAGAGAGAGAGAGAGACATGCTCCGCACCGCGGCCCGCCAAACGGACCTTTCGGTCCAAACTCCTCCCTCGCCCCCAAAACGGGTGGATAACCCGGGGGGGGGGGGTAGCATATATATATATATATATATGTGTGTGCGCTAGTATGTGTGCACCTGTATATATATATATATATATATATATTGTGTGTGTGTGTGTGTGTTTGGTGTTTGTTTGTGTGTTTGCTTGCTGGTTTTTGTGTTCGTTTGTTTGTTGCTTTTTGTTGTTTATGCTTTCATGTACGGTAGAAGATTCCCTGAGTACTGTATTTATGTTTCTAGTGGTTATATTGGTGAGGATGATGCTGGCAGTGATACTGATGACGTCTACCGCCGCTGTTGTTGTTGCGGCTGCTGCACCATTACAGCTGGTATTGTTGCTAATCTGTCAGTGTTGAAGAAAGTAAGTATGCTTAACAGCAGTATGTGGATTCGGAGAAAGTCACTCTTGGTGTTGAACATAGTTTTGCCTGCGGCCGGATTGGGGCTTACAGGGGAGCTACGTTGTTTTGGAGGCTTGGCGGTTTTGATCGTGGGATGTTTGTCACTTGTGGGTCTGGAGAATTAGACGCCTGAAAGAGAATCCTGCAAAATACAGAGTGATATGGAGTTCTGACTGAATCCTGAAAGCAAGATGCCCTACCTCAACTCACCAACCGGAACCTGCCTTTTTTGCGGGTTCCTAGGAATTCAAGAAGCAGAAGCAGAGTTGATATCATCACCTGCACAAAACTGGTTCATGGCAAGCCCGTGTAAACCTTGACTACTATAGGGGCTTAAACACCTATACTATTTTCGGGGGTCCTGATTATATTATGATGTGTAGATATATATATATATATACACACATACACATTACAGTATAATAGATAGGCCCCAAAACCCTGGTCTAAATATTAAGTTTAGAACCCTCCTATAGATCCCTGTAAGAACCCTTCTATTAGGAGCCCTAGTCCAATTCTTAAGGCCCCCCATAGTATACGCTCTTGCCAAACCCCAGAGCTCTAGAGCCGCTAGGTGCTCCAGCATGCCGCGAAGACGGACGTCGAGGGCCGCGCCGGAGCGCTTTCGGCGGACCCCTGGCGGTAATTGCAAGGTTGAAAAGAACAGTTACTAATACATAATTCCAAATACAAGGTTTAATGAGATAAGATTAGGTATTAAAACGTGTTGTAAGCTAGCCAGTCTCTTTATACAGGGGCCTCAATTAAGTACCTATACCATTTTGGGGGTTCCTTATTATGCTTATAGTATGTGAATCCGACCTGGGGATCCAAAAACCTACCGTTCTAAGTGGTTCGACCCTCTAATTCAAGGGGTCATAACCCACTCTTTGGTAGGGTTAGGGGTCACAGGTATGCTTTACCCTGATGGGCTCGGAGGTCTTACTATACGAGATCATACACGCTTGAAAGATTGCTGATACTCTTCCTTAAGCTCCCTTATGATAGTGATGCGATAACATCCCCATATACCCCCAAACCCCAGCGTTCTGATTAAGGCCCCTATATCATGTTGTCAGGTAGCTTACAGCTTTCGGTTTTAGTTTCCAAGACGTCGCCACAGAAGGATTGCGGCTTACTTAAAGCCCTGAAAAGCCTTTGATTTGGAGTACTAGGGTTCCTTTGGTTTTAACCTTGCAGGGCGCATGGGAAGGGTTTCCAACTTGAGGTTATGCAGGGCTCTAATTGACGAGAGCTAATAAATGTTGGGATTCCGGAATAGCGTTCTGATCCGTTCTGGCAGTGTCCCAAAACCAGACACGTCTGACATAAGGGTCGGAATACGTGCTCCCGGTATCCCTTAACTAAGAATCCTATTGGCTCTAAACTAAACTTTTCAACTTTAGGGGTTCTTATAAGGTAGTCGATTCTGAAAGTTTCAACTTGTGTTGCCTTGGGTTGTGGGCCAGTGAGTTTTAAACATATTCCTTAAGTGGTGTTCCTGGCCCTAAACCCTCACCCCTAAACCCGCAAAACCCTAAACCGTAGCCCCTATATTTCCCTAAGGGTCCATGTACCCATATACAGATACATGGGCCCCAAGTACCTATATACGGAGTACATTACGGCCAATTCAATTCAATTCAATGGCCAGGCTGATCCTCCGACGGATCTTAGAAATACGGCGTGAGTGCCACTACCCCGAGGGGTCTACGGCCAACACGTCCGTATGTGTCAATCAGTAATTATAATTCCTGCCACGCCGCGCCATTTTAGCCGACTCAAGTTTGCCAACGCTGGATGATGTTCACCATAACACTAATGCGGCTTCTAAGGCTGGTGACATCTGTAGGCAACGAGAACAACTGGCTTTGTTGGAGACTCGCAGCCCTGGCCAATTCCAATGCTTCATGGCACTCAGTTGCCAGGTGCACTGTAAGATTGGCCGGCTGGGCTCCACACAACAAGCAACGTCGTTCGGAAACCGAGTGCTCAGCTCCTCTAAACCACCCTTCGAAAAAGCCTCGCCCTGTCAAGACGGCCAGAAACCACACCTTGCAAGCTTTCAGCATTCTAGGCGTCCACAGCAAGGAACGTGCGAGCTTAACGGTGGCTCTTAAGTCTGCTGGAGGTGCCCATGCCAACTTCGACAACGCTTCCGCGCGCCAACGCTCTTCCAGGTGCTTGATGACTGGGACAACACAATGGCGCTTCCAATGCTGGATGTGGAGTTTAATCAGCGGCGCGGAGTTCACCTCACTGGGCAACGTTTCCCAGGTCGGTACGTTGGACACACCAAGCGACCACGCCACACCTTTAGCTGCATCCACCCACGTAGGCCCAGGCACTGCCACGGCTGCTCTAACTGTCGTGTGCAAGACATTGGAAGGTGGGAGAGTAAGAAGACGAGCCAATGAAGTAACGATCCTCATGGCAATTTTAGCACTTAACCGCCAGGAGTACCCGAGCCACAGGAGCACCAGAACGTAGCCTCCTTCGCCAAGAGACAAGGTGGAAAGACCCAACACGGCCTTGATGGCTTGATAATGCATTTGGTTCAGTTTACGGCTAATCAGAGGCCAGCCTTCCGCACCAGCCGCTAAAAGCTCGCAACCGAAAAGCGCTGCGCTTTCCGCCCTCAGCGGAAACTGTTCAGCGTGCCACGAAATCCCCAAACCCTGTGTGTCGAGAGATTTACCTAGATCAACAGCAGCATCCTTAAGACGGCTCCCTAAGGTTGACAAGAGCGAGTGCAAACTGAGGTCTGCTTCCAGCGGCGTGCCCAAGATGTCCAGCTGGTTGACCACTTTAACCGCTTCACCGTCCAGTGTGGGGAGTGGCAATTCGGCAGGCCAGGCTTCACCCACACAAAGAAGTGAAGCCGCCTTTTTGCCCCCCTGCAAACCTATGGTGCCAAAAGACGGCAAACCACGACATCGACCCGCAAGCCTTATACAACCCCCACGGCGTAGATTGCAGCACAAAAGCATCATCTATGAACTGAAGCAGCAAAAGATTACTTTGCGCAGTCGCGTCTAGGAGGAGCAAGGCCTCTTCTTTCGACGACGATGGACGCAGCAGCGTCCGAAGGTCACTCTGCGACGCTTTGGGATTGAATTTCTCGGCTGCTGCCCAAAGATCACCCCAGCTCGGTTCACACAAGCTGTTGGTTCGTTGCTTGTCTCCGAGGATGCAACCAGTTACAGTAGGGTCGTGTCCTAAACCCACCCCTACTGACGAGGAGCCCACGGCATCCGCAAGTCCCTTGGCAAAAGCACCAAACAGTTGCACTGCGCTACGACCACCCTGCCTGATGCCATGGCCAATGTATATACTATATGAGTACATGGACCCCTAGGGTTTATAAAGCCAGAATATCGAGTTAGCCTCGACAGAGCACCCAGAGATCCCAATACCCCTTAATGAAGGAATATACTTCAAGCCATAGTATGAAGGCCCTTATGGTTTATAAGGTATATTCCTCAATTAAGGATATTGTGTTCTCTGGGCACAGATTCCTAGAGGCAGCCCTCGAAGCGTAGTGGCCCTCGAAGACCAGCCTCACAACATACCACCTTTTGAAGGACATATGGGTGGTTGTCAATATTAGGGTCCCTTCTTGGGTCCTTATTATAATACGGCAGCAATTAGGGTATCCAAAGAGGGATCATAATTTTGACAACCACCCATATATGGTTTCCGAAAATAAGGGGTACATTGTTTGGGGTCCTTATGAGAAGGATCCTACTCTTTGGGTGCTACATGTGCGTCCCCTACTTTCGGAAACCCTCATATAAAGATTCAGCAGAAATTCAGTTCAAAAGGCACAAGACAGAAACTCAATTCCTAGACTACAGGAGCCTTCGAACCTGAACCCCAAATAACCTACCTTTTTCAGGACTTATATAAAGAATCATATTGGGGAACTCTAAAAATGTAGGTTCCTTAGGGTCCAGGTACCCTTCAACCTCGAAGCATGAAGCTCCTGCAAGGAGATGCAGCTCAGCTCCGCGCAGCTAGACGTGGGGCACGGACAGCGCAAGTTCATGCAAGGCAAGACCCATGAGTTTAGAGATTAGGGCATAATAAGGGTTTAGGGGTTTTGGGTCTAGGGTTTGGGGTCAGGGATAGAGTTGGCTTCCGATCCCCCAGCTATTTTCGGACTCAACAGGTACCTAGTGTGGGTTTCTAGCCCTTAATTAAGGAATATGCCCTAAACCATAGTATCAAGGCCCTTATAGTCTTAGGTATATATTCCTTAAATTCAGGAATAGTGGGTTCCTTACGGTGGTTTGCAGCTATTCTCTGAGGAGTTTTAGGGTTTTGAGCTTACGGCATATTCTACTTGGTTGATGAGCTGGTAAATGTTGTGCTTTCTGGGTTCTACGCCCACCCCCCCCATGATGAATCACAAGTCAGTCTAGTCTAAGTGTCTAGCTTCACGAGGCTGGGCATCTACGCCACACCAAAGGTCCAAAGCCGTCCTACAGTACACTTTTACAGTCGAAGCCGCCTTGAGCCCTTCAAGCATAACACACAGAGGAACCTCGAATGGCTTGCGGAATTTGGGTGTAGGTCTCGGTGGTTCGCGAGGTGTGAGGCAACGAGGTGTGAGGTAAACCGCTGTGTCAGAAAATCGGAGGTTGCCAGAACCCATGCAACAAACACCGTTACGAAGCGGCTTTGTCCTACAACAACCCTAAAGCTTAAGACCCAAACCCCAAGCTCTGAATCATGAGCCCTAAGCTCTGACTCCTGAACCCAAAATCCTCAACCCTACACCCCAAAACCGTGATGCATACTAAAGTTTGGAGCTATTGAACCCTGATTATAGCCCTCTGTGAAGCCCTCCACCCTTAAATGACCCTTAAGAAAGGAGCCTTATAGAAAATCCCTCAACAAAACGCAGGCAAAGACTTTCACGCGATCTTGCGCCCTTTTTCTGGTCCTCTCCAGCACCTCGGTGTGCAGCTTCGACACGCATCCCAAAAGAACTACTATAAGGGCTTTAGATAATTATCAAGACTGTTGTGGGGGTTCCCTATTAGAAATATAGTAGAATATACCCCAAAAAACCCTATTCCGATCATTCAGGCCCCTGTATTACCTTCTCTTGCATTTTCAATTTTGGGTTTCTGACCAAACTGTGAAGGATGACATCAAAAGGTCTTACGGTCTTGCTTTCGGGATTAATCAACTTCTTGTGGCATGACACAGAGGATATGTGCAATTGTCAGGCAGGATTTGTAGCCGTTTTGCTGCCAAACCCCCAAGCCGTACGTAAGCTTCTGAGAAAAAGCAAACAAGCCACCCCAACACCAGGATCCTCTCAGACGAGACGGGCGAGCCGCCGCCGCTGATCCATTTCGAAGCGATGTGACTTGGCCGAGCATTTGGGGACTCTCCAGCACCACCAGTCCTCTTGCAGGTCAGCCCTGCAAGCTGAATACATCTGAATACGCGTGATTCCTTGCGGTGTTCAGGTTGAAGTTCGTGAATGAGAATCACGACGGCGAACAGGAGGCACTTCGGGGTGCATACTGTACCCTTTTAAACCCTTATAAGCCTTAAAACTCTAAACCCTATAAACCCTAAAACCCTAAAGCTTAAACTGGGTTCACGTTGTATGGTTTGCTGCTTTTTGTGTTGGCGGCGGGGCTGTTCGAGTTCAGGGCTTCAAGGTCGAGGCTCAGTTGCTGGGCAGGCAACCTTATGGGGATCCTCAAAGTGACCTATAAGGTCTATAAGGGCACTAAGAAAATCTAGAAGCTTAGTTGCTGGATAGCTAGATAGATAGAAAGATAATAAGGTTTTTGGTTCAGCCGCCTCTTCCCGGCAACTGCATCTACTCCAAACAACATATTATATCAGCCAAGCGGCCCACCTCCCAACAAAACCATCTGCATCTACAAGCACAAAACATGGCCCGAGGCATCGACTGCATCTCGCATCATACAAGCATTCTGGCTAGGAAACCATTGCGGCTAGTTGCTTACATGTCTACTTGCGACCTCAAAAGACAACAATGAGACTTAAAAGGGCCCAGCATTCTCAACATGCGTCGACCTACAGTGCTCCCCCGACTTAGAGGGGTGACACGTTTCTAGTGGCCTCTAGCGCCTACCCTTGCCGCCACGGCCCCTTCCGCGGCGCGCTCCTCCTCCGTTCCCTCGGCCTCGATTGCCCTGGTTCGGATTCTGATGCCCGTTTGCAGCGTTTGTTCGACGATTTCTACGATTCTGTTCCTCCGCCGTCCGATGCACAAAAACTGTAAGTTGATCCCCTTCGCCGGCCTCGCGGCGTTCCCTGCTAGTCTGATTAATGTGTGTGCCGAAGCCTGCCTGAAGGGCTCTCGACACTGCGAGCGACAGGTCTCCGAATTCCAGTTTACCCATAGGCCCCAAAGTAGTTCTGTTTTGGGGTTCATATATAGAATTCCGGGGGAATTCTATAAGGTAGACCCAAAAAGGAACTACTTTGGGGCCTCTGGGTAAAGAGGAAGTGTCCTGGAGCCCGCACTCGTTGATTGGTGCTCGGATCCCGTGTGGAGCGAAATTGGTTGGAAGAATGAATGCCCAAAAATCGTCCCGGGCTAGGGCTTCGGCGCCCTAAAACCCCTATAAACCTGGATACCTTAAACCCTAAACCCTTATTCTTAAACCCTCATTCGGAAGCACACGTGCAGCTTCTTCGGAGCTTGTGGATGAGGCATTTAAAGTTCGAGATTTGGGGTATTAGGTTCAGTTGCTTTGGGATTTAGAATAGGAATCGGAATAATTGTTGCTAGTATTCACTTACAGTCCCCGTGTAATCTAAACGCAATATACCCCAAACATCCCGTTTGGCATGTGCTAGAACACCTGTCAAACGCGGTAAAGCCCGACGCGCCTTGAAAAGCTGAAAAAAAGCTTAAACCCCTACTTGGAGAGTCATGGGTAGATATATGTGGGGTCATAAGTAAGAAAACTGTATTTATAACCCGTATTAGGGGATTCATAACCCCCACTTATAACTACCCATGAACCTCCAAGTAACCGTAACCTCTAAACCCTAAACCCTAAACTAACCTTTGAAAACTGCATGCTAGCTGTTTTTCCAGGGAATCAGCAAGTGCCGCGAGGGGTCGACGCACTACGAGGCAAAGTTGAGCCGATGGTTCGCTCTCGATGTGGCTTTTTCGGATTTGGGTGCACATGCTGTAGGCTTTAAAGGAGCCCCCTACTTAAAGGCCCAGGGGACTTAGTAAGTAGCTTATAAGTAGGGTTATAATTCGGGGCTTTATGTTGCGGTTATTGGTGAGTGTATGCCGGGCTTCTTGTAGAAAATTGGAGATTGCTTGTCAATGGGGATACTAGCATGGGGTATTGGTTTCCTTACACATATCCAGACCTCGCTCTAGCTGGAGCCCTAACCCTCAGTCTTCAACTCTAAGCCCAAAACCCGAAACCCAAAAAAAACGCCAAAATCTGAAAGCCCGACCGCAAACCCCGAAACCCTATAAACCCCAATGCCTGATTGGCTGCCAGAACCTAAACTCGAAAGCTCCGAAACCCTGAACCCCCAGACCCTAAACCGTAGCTCCTGCACGGTGCAGGCATGTTTGGCTTTGGAGCGCGACGGGTTTAGGATTTTTTGGGTTTCTGGGTTTCTAAATCATCGGGACAAAGGTGTTTCGAGCTACATCCTTAAGGACGACAGGAACCCTAAAAGGGTTTAAGGTTCATATACCATATATGGATTCATAGTATATGGGTATAGGGCCCCTACTTTTAAGGGTCATTTCGTCCTTCAGGATAGGATTCTCAATATACCAGGAACATATGCCCCCGAGACATGGAGACCTCAGCAAAGCAGCATGAACTGACAGCACGAACCCCGGAAAGCCCTTCTACAATCCTTGCAGAACCTCCCAAATTTAAGCAGCCCCTTAAGGTAAAGCCCTCTATTTTGAGGCTCAGCTCCCATAAACGGATCCATGGTAGAAGGTGGTAGGGCCTCTACGTTTAGGAGTCATTTCCACCTTATGGTGAAGAAGCCTCTGAACCTGATAGTCACCCTTATAGAACTCCATAGAACCCTTACAATTATAGCACCCCGTTAAGACCCCTATAGTAGCGTAAGCCCACTTTATAGAGCCTCTATCACTATAAATAGCGCCCTTTAAGGCCTTTTTAGGTAGGCCATGCAGAACTTTACAGAACCCGTTTGATCATAGCTTATAAGACCCCTATAACTACAGCAAACTCGCTTTATAGAACCCTCATAATTATTGCACCCCTTTGTTTAAGACCCCCTTAGGTAAGCCTTTAACACTCCCTTAGGTAAGCCCACTTTAAGACCGCCTTAGGTAAGTCCCCTAAACCCTGCAAACCCTAAAGCCCCCGCAGGTTCGGAAGCTGGAGCTCAGAGCGCAGCCGGTGGGGCTCCAAATAGAGACGGCGCTCCTGGCGGAGGTGGGGCTTAGGGATTGAAACAAAGAGGTGGCCCTAAGGGTATAGGGTATATAGGGTTTAGGTTTGGGGTTTAGGTTTTAGAGGTGGCCACGGTTTAGGTTTTAGGGTTTAGGGTATACATTCCTTAAGGGTACCTTTAAGGGCTCCTTCGAAGGTTCTACAGGGTTTAGGGTGCCAGGGCTTCGGGCATCGAAAGAAAGCTCGCCCTAAGGTCCCGAAGAGGTTCCTTTACCTTAAGGACCGACATGAACCCTAAAAAGGGTTTAAGGTTCATATACCATATAGGGATTCATAGTATATGGGTATAGGGCCCCTACTTCTAAGGGTCATTTCGTCCTTCAGGTAAGGGCGCCTTCAAGGCTTCCCTTAAGGGTTCTATTAAAGGGCTTCTTTGAGGGTTCCTTTGCGCGGAGCTTTCAGGGCTCCTTTGAAGGCATTCTAGGGTATAGGGTTCAAGGGTCCATGTGCCCAAGCTCAGTATACACTTTGGCCCCAATGTACCTAAATTGGGAGTACTTTAAGGCCAAAATATATAGTATTTGGGTACATGGACCCTTAGGGTAGTAGACGGGCTTCAGAGGTTAGAACAGGATTTGTGTTATCGGGTTTTGCAAGGGTGTTGGAAGAGTTTGACTTTGGATTTTGCAGGTTGTCTTATCCGAAAACTGTGTAGCTGTCGTTTCGCTGCGTAGAAGGCTTTATAGGGTTTGAGAAACGCGTTATTCGGGCTTTGTAGGTTCTTGATAGAGTCCTTGACGGTAGGGGCTCGGCGTGGGGAGTGCGGCCAGGCGGGGAAGGGTGGGGTGGGGTGCGGTGGGGATGACTGCAAAGCAAACTGGCGAAGTGTTTGATAAGATCATACCGGTTGTATCATGGCACCACATAACTTCCTTAGTAAAGTAAAGCTGAAAGCTGCGGTAGACTAGAGGCTAAAGAAGTGTCAGAAATCCGGATGGACTGACCTGGGAACAGAACAGAATGTGGTGTAGTGTGGAGCAGTGTCTAAGCCAACTTCCAAGCAGGATGAGATTCCCGAAGTTAGGCCAACCCCAAGCCGTTTCCCGGGGCAGGTGGTGGTTTGGGTGCTGGAGCTGCGTGGCGCTCAGGACTTTCGTGGCGTCGGGTGGGTGTTAAGGCTGCCGATACTGAGGCTTTAGGGTGTCGGGTTAGAGTTCAGGCTGTGCCTGTTGACGGCTTAGGGTATAGGAACCACCTGTGACCCCAAACCCTACGTACAAAAAAGTGGGTTATGACCCCTTAATTAGAGGGTCGAACCCTTACGTAAAGCAGCAGGTTTTTGGATCCACAGGTAGGATCCAGGGTTTAGGTCCTTATAATAAAAATCCTACTATTTGGGGTACTGTATTAGGGTCCCGTATTTTCGGAAACTCCCATTTGTGCAGTGAGGGGCTGAATGCAAGTCTTCTCTTCGCCACAAACCCAAGGGACCATGGACTATATAGTTGATATACCCCCGAAGCCCTGTTCCAATTGTATTGAGGCCACTATACAAACATTAAACCCAAAACCCTATAGACCCTAAACCCTAAACCCTCAACCCGAATGCGCGCAAGATCTTCGTCTCACTGGCGGGGTTCCGATATGGTTTGCACAGGGTCTGTCGAAGCTTCATGTCCTGAGCAAAAGCCCTCCTTCTAACACCCTCAAAAGTCTCGAAAAGCATCTTGTTAACTCATCTTAAACGCTACCGACGCATTATTTAACCCGTAAACCTAAAACTCAAACACCTAAAGCACCTAGTCCCTTATTACCCCATGCTCTTAATATCCTGAACCCTCAACCGTATAAACCCTGTACATCCCTGTACTCTAAACCCAAAACCCTCAACCCTAAACCCTAACCCCAAACCCTGAACCCTACCCTAAACCCTAAGACCCGTATAGATCCCCTCGAAGGAACCCGAAGACCCCCGGCAGCTTTAGGTGCAGTGCTTTCAAGTCCCAGAAGCTTCGCGCGGAGAGCGTCGCAGAGCAACTGGCGCAGTCTCTCGATGCGGAGGACGGCATCTGTCAGGGCCCAGGGTTTGGGGTTCCTTTAAGGGTATACGGTATAGGGTGTAATCTAGCGTTTAGGGTTTATATATAGGGTTTAGGGCCCAGGGTCTGGGGTTCTTTCAAGGGTTTATGAGGGCTTATATAGGGTTTATAAGGGTGTAGGGTTCTTACAATGTTTAGGGGATGCAGAGGAGGGCTTCTGTCAGGGCCCAGGTATAAGGTCCTTAAGAGTTCCTTCAGGGGTTTAGGTTTTAGGGTATTTAGGGTTTATGGGGTTTCTTGGCTTTACAGACTGCTTTCACAGCCCAGGGTTTCGAGTTTAATGTCGGAAGCTGATTAAGAAACCCTGGGCCTATAACCGCAAAATAGTAGGGCCATATAAGTGACCCCAATAGAGGCCCAAGGTTTCTTAATCAGGTTCCTACATCATGGGGTTTAGAATATATGGGGTTTCGGGTTTGTATTTAGGGTTTAGGGTTCTGCTTCTCAAGGCTCCTCCTAAGGCTTTTACAACTCGTGGGGGCCATGCCCTTTCTTGTGGTGTACGGTGTACATTGCTTATTACATGCAGAGTTTGCAGAGTTGGAGGTAGAGCGATCAAGAACCGGAAGCCTTACGCAGCTCATAAACCCCAAAACCCCTAACACCCCCCAAACCCCTAAACCCTAAATCAGTAAGTCCCTAAATGCCTAAACCCTAAACCCCCCAAACCGCTATGCCCTAAACTCCCAAACCCCCAAGCCACCCAAAGCGGGAGGAGTTCGAGTGTTTCAGGGAGGACACTGCGCTGGTGGACCTTTTGTACCGCCACTGGGGCAGCTTATGGAAGATACCTCAGAGGCTTCATTTAAGAACTCCTTCAAAGGAACCCCTTAAACGAACCCCTCAAAGGAATCCCTGAAAGGAGCCCTTCAAAGGAGCACCTTATCGGAATTTCTTCTCTTCAAAGTTTTTTTTGTTTTTTTCGCTTGTACAGGGTGCAGGAAGCAGGGATGGATAGCCAATAATGATAGTCTTGACGGCCTGTAAGCCTGCGAAGCCCCGCAAGCCCCATCATGCAACATGTCATCTTTAGCTTAAACCAGAGAAATACAAAATCCGTAAGCTCGCTGCAGGGAACAGTGATTTTCAGCTAGCAAAGAGGTCTGAATATCTGAATAACTAGCAGTACTGTTCCTCTCCGTCCCTTGGCCCAAAACACCATTCTAATCATTCCGGCCGCCGCATTACATGCGGTTCATGATCGGGGCATTCAAAGGGAACTCCAGAAAGTTGGAATATGGATTAATGGTAGGATCCCCTATAGTTTACCTTAAAGGGGTTACGATAATAATATTCCAACTTTCTGGCTTTTACCTTAGGTGAGCCACGGTGTGTCCGGGATCCGACCGCCGAGCATTTCCGGGATCTGACCCCCTTGCGGCTGGGTGGCACTTACACTATCCTGAAGGACGAAATGACCCTTAAAAGTAGGGCCCTATACCCATATACTATGAATCCCTATATGGTATATGAACCTTAAACCCTTTTAGGGTTCATTTCGTCGATAAGGATAGGGCTTGTTAAGGGCTCTGTAGAGGTTTTACAGGGTAGTATAGCTGTCGGTAGGGTTTTGTTATGCAGAGATATGTTAGGTTTTCTTGATTTTGGCCCTAAGCCCTAAACTCGCAGTTTCGCGGATCGGGAGAGAGTGTGAAACTTTCTGAGGGTTGAACTGGGGGCTTCGGGGATGAGTCCAAGCATCCTTACCCAACGACTCCAAGACCAACAGTATCTACTTCTGGGTCTAACTTCTGGAGATTCTACTTAAATTGGGCTGCTTGGAGTCTTAGGGTTTTTATTTTTTCCTGGATCTTTGTTTGCAGTCGGTGGGACGGAGAAGCTTGTTGTACAGGATGCTGTGGCGCCATATGAGGATCCACATGCAGGTGGGTTCTCGCATGTCATAGTAGATGCCACCATCTTCCGCCCAACATCATAAACCCGGCTTGGAGTATTTCTCTCCCGTGGCTTCAGGGCTTGGAAGCCCTCGCAGGTACATCACTCCTTCATTTTTGGATATGTCGTGTGTCATGGGTTACGGGCAAGTGGCTTGGGTCTATTGCTCATGAACCTATAGTTCTCTTAGGAGTTATGTTTATTTTGTTCATATAAAACCCAAGAGTCTGTTTAGAATATATTCATCAAATGTAATGTTTTGAGTCTGGTTCTAGGGGGTATACAGAAATCCAGAAAGTTGGAACGTTGATTTAGGATGATTCTTGCTGGGATTCCCAATACTTTAGTTTAAGGGCACGGGGATGTTGATGTTCCAACTTTCCGGCTTCTATTGTGATGTTGTGAGCCCTTGGAGTGTGAGATGTGAAACCCTTAAAGCCATTCTCTTAAGTGATGCCACCCACAACCGATTCAACTCCTGGCAACTAAGGATGATTCGAGAGCTGACGCTGAGACGGATATGCTGCGTCCTCTCCCTGCTCCTCACTCAGCTTCTTCCACCTTAGGCCCTACAGCCGGAAACCTGAGATGTGTTCCCGGGCTACCTCTGGGGCTCACCGAGCCCAACAAGCCTGGGATATCGTGTGGTCTTTCAGCCCACACACTTAGCATCTGCGTCCTTGTGCAGACCCTTCGGGGAACCGCCCCTCCCCTCCCTACGCGTGAGCTTCGCTGAGGTTTGTTTCGATGGGTCGGAGGTGCCAAATGTATCTGAAGATAGCGTCAATACAAGGGTTCCTAAACAATTCTGTATGGGTTCTGCGGAGGGTTCAGCTGGAGTCGAGTCTTTACCCGGTAATGATTTCTCAACTCGAATCACACTTCGGAGTCTTTGGGAACTTCACCCCAAACACAGAAGTTGCATTCACCCTAAGGGTCCATGCACCCAAATAGTATATGCTTGCCTTACGACATGAACCCTAAGGGTTTAAGGGTCATAGACCATATAGGGATTCATAGTATATGGGTTCTAGGTTCCTTGAAGGGTTTAAGGTTCATAGACCATATAGGAGTTCATAGTATATGGGTATAGACACCCCCCACGTTTGAGGGTCATTTGGTCCTACTGTTGATGATATAAATCCTGCATTACCCATAGTAGGGAATATACCATAATTCCCATAGTTTAGGGTCCTTGAGGTAATGCAGGATTTATATCATCAACCGTACATATCCTCCTGGCCCTGGTTCGAGGCCCGCTGTTTGCTCCAAAACGCTCCAATCGAAGAGAAAGCAGCAGCTCTCGCACAGCGACGTTCTTGAGTCGGTATAAGCACCCCCTAAGACCCCCCCCCCCCCCTAAGACCTCCAAAACCACAAAAAAAAAACAAAGGGTCCTCAAGCCTAAAGCCGTAACACGCAAATTTTCCACCCCAAACCCTGAATCCTTAAACCTAAACCCCACTCCCTGCACCCTAGTCTCCACATCCTAAACTCTAAACCCCAAAGCCCCAAACCCCAAAACCCCCAAACCCTGAACCCTTGAGACTCCCCCAAAAGACCTCAGGAGCTTTACAGGCACGGGCTCATGGAATGCAGAGATGAAGGAGCAACTTCAGGCCCTTGAGTTCCTTGGACGGCTCTATTGAGGGCCTTTGGAGGGTTTGGGGGGGGGCGGTTTTGGGGTTTGGGGTTTAGGGGTTCCTTTGGGTTAGTGGCTCCTATGGAGGTGTCCTTGGGGGCCCTCGGACGGCTCTTGGGGCTTAGGGCGTGCTTTCTTCGGTTTGATTTATTCCTCGGATGTCCTTTTTTCAGGTAGTTGTTCTAGAATGCCCAGTAGCATATACCCTTATTCCCTTTTTGTAGTCCTAGGTTCCATATAAAGTTACTCGATGCCAAAAAAGAGCCCTCTTCATTCCTAGGTTACTGGGCACCCTAGTTTGTTTAATCATGGAGTCTCTAGGGCTCCTCGGCGTTTAGGGCGGTTGTGTTCGTAGGGTTCCTTTCTACGGGTATGTTTTTGTGGTGTCCTGTTCAAGGGTCTCATAGGAGACTGACCCGAACCCCTAAGCCTAAAGCTGGCGACATTCAGCCCAAACTCCTGAGCCAGGCGGATGCTTAACTCTGTACCCATAGGCTCCGTTGTAGTTCCTTTTAGGGGTTCATAATATTTAGAATCCCGTAAGGCAATCCCAAAAAGGAATTACCATGGAGCCTTTGGGTCGTCTGTAAGACTAAGCCGTACGACGTACAAAGCCTAAGCCCGATCCCCCGCCCGCGCTGCGGAACCCGGCCGGAGCCCTGAGCCAAAATGGTGGTTTCCGAAATTAGGGCTCCTTCAAAGGGATCTATAAGGGTTCCTTTAAGGGCTCCTATAAGGGACCTGGGTTTAGGGTTTGGGAGTTTCCGAAATTAGAGGTACCTTGTTTTGGGGTCCTTATGATAAGGATATTAGGGTCCCCCTCTTGGAAACCCCCAAATCAGGTCCGGGTGTCTGCGCAAGCACGAGCAAGCGGGAGGACGTTGAGCTCCGCCTTTGAAAAAGGCGGCAGCGACATATGCAAAACGATGAACCTTCTCAGTGCAGTGGGTTCCGGGTTTAGGGGTTTAGGGTTTAGGGTTTGCGCAAGATAACACCGGGCAAGGTTGGTGAGAGTGCAGACAACGGATCCAGGGTGAAAAAGGGCCGCGGCAAGGGCAAGGTCAACCCGAACCTTGCTGCGAAAGCTGACCTGGCACAAGTCGAATCCCTCAACATCCAGCTCAAAGAGACTGAGCAAAGAAACTGGACCGGTCAACTTTGCCCGGGATCAGCTCCTCGGGACGTCTCTTTTGGTGGCCTTGGCAGGGTTTGGGGTTTTGGGGTTCCTGTTGATGATTGCTTTCGAGGGGGCCTTTTGGGGTTCCGGTTAAGGCTTCCCTTCAAGGGCTTCTTTGTAATAGGGTTTCTCTTACGGGGTTTCGGGGGTCTTTTTGGGGTTTCTAGTGTTCTCCTGAGAGGCCGTTAAATCCCCCTGAAGCCTGAACCCTAAACCCCTAAAAAGCCCCTCGACCTCTGAGGATGCTGCTTCGACTGACACTGCCGCTGGACGTCCACCAGGACTCGGGGCGAGATGCAGTCCCACAGGGTCCTAACTGCTGATGATATACATTTTGCATTACCCATGATAAGAAATAAGGAATGTGCCATTCTTGCCGTAGTTAAGGATCCTGAAGGGGAATGCAGGATTTATAGGATCAACCGAAGTACCTCCTAATTTTGGGGCCTTTATAATCAGAATCCTACTATTTATAATCGGGTACTTTATCAGGGTCCCCTGCTTTCGGACACTCCCACGAAAATGTAGCCTGTAACTGTAGGGCTTCTATAACAGGAATCATGGTTAAGGTTTGGGCAAGTGTCCCCCAGAGAGGTACTTAGTACCCTTTGGGAGTTTCAGGGTGTGGGATTTAGGCCTTTACCCCAAGCCACAAGCCCTCCATAATGAGAATGAGAACACCTGAACCCTAAGACTTGTCAAATCCTCAACACCAAATAACAAGCTGCCCTAAACTCCGTAAGCCTTAGTCCCCAATAGCAACTCCACAAACTCTAACCCCCCCCATTGCCTCGCATAGCTCCCACCCTGCGAACTCACAATCCCTCGCCCAACAAAGCCTGGGAACAATTCTCCAACATAAGTTAGGTACTGCCCCGGTACAGCAAGAATCTATACTAGGGCTACTAAGGTCCCTATAACCTTTATTATGAGTATTATTCAACTATTACTGAGTGGGGGCTGTACCCAAAACATAAGCCTTTCAAGAAGCCTTATCGCACCCTTCTCGGGAGCCTTAAACTCTTGTAAACCCTAAACTCTGCACCCTCCAGAAGCCTTTAGAAGAACCCTTGCAGAACTTGAGGAAGGCCTTAAACCCTATACCCTCTAAACGCCTTTAAAGCAACCCGTCCTATAGAAGCCCTATAGCCCTAAACTTATTAAATCCTACCCAAGAACTGCTAAACCCTACGTTTTGTTGGTTCTTATTCTAAAGCCTAATACGGACTTTGTAGGACCCTATAAAACAAGTAGGTTTTATAGGGTATAAAAGCCCTTGGAAGAGTCCTCGTCGACCACGCGGAAGGCGCGGCTCATGCTTGGGAAGATCCACTTCGGCTGGCGAGGGCCAGCGGTTCGCGATCTCTCAGCATCTTGTCGGCCCTGAAGGGCTCCTTTAAGTGTTTAGGGTTTAGGGTTCGGGGTTTAAGGATTCCTTTAAGGGCTCTTTTAAGGGTTTGGGGTTTAGGGTTTGGGGTTTAAGGGCTCCTTTAAGGGCTTAAGTGTTTAGGGTTTGGGGTTCGGGGTTTCAGGGCTCCTCTAAGGGTTCTTTTAAGTGCTTAAGGTTCAGGGTTTGGGGTTTAAGGATTCCTGTAAGGGTTCCTTTAAGGGTTCCATAAGTTATAAGGGTTCCATAATTTATGAGGGTTCCCTTACGAGTGTCCTAGGGGTTTACGAGTTTGGGGCTCTGTGGCCTTCAGAACGTCTTAAGGTTTAGGTGTTCGGAGTTTGTTTTGGGCCTTTGATGCGGTTTTTGTTCTGGACGATTGTACCCCTAACAAGTTTTGAGGTTCAATAAGCAAAGGATCCATAATGAAACATAGCTTATACAGTATAAGGATATTAGGCCCCTGCCCTGTAAAGGCTCGCGTGAATTATTGGTTTCTGTATCCACGTACAGTCCCTAGTGTACATGCAATGAGAATGCTCCAGAAGCGGTTAAAGCAACTGGGCCGCTGACGCAGTCAGGGAGCTTGGCTTTGTCGCACGAGAGCAGGTTCGTTCACGTGAAGTTCGAGTCGCCGGAGGCGTGGACAGCGACTTCCATGGTGTGCTGGCAGCTGCGACAGAAAACCGACCGACCTGAAAAGAAATCGTTGTGCGAACATGTATCAGAGTGGCTGTAAGCACCCGCTTTAGGCAGGCGCAGATCGGGGGGAAGATGGCCCTCAAAGTGTTGACGAACGGTTGGCATTGTCCCGGAAACGTCTGTGCCTATCGCTGCGGACAAACAAGGTCGTCGTCGATAAGCAGCTTTGCTCCTGGGTGCTTGTTCAAGGATTTAATTTATGCTGCCCATAATCAAAAAACCGTATTACTTACTTTAGATCCCTATTATGGTAGCTTAAAGTAACTTCCTTAACAAGAACGCAGACTCTCAGCCTTTAACCTGTTTGGGCTACTGTACACCCTATGCAATCCCAAAGGCTCACCTTCAACATTTCCTGAAGATAGGACAAGTAGGTCAGGGTCGGAGTTTAGGATCCTTGGGCATACGATCGCAGAGTTCGCGGTTACGGTTAGGGATCAGGATCTTAGAGAGTTAGGGGTTGGAGTTCAGAACTCTATCTGTCAGAGTGTAGAATGTTGTAGGATGAGCAGTTAAGGTTGTGGATTCTAGAGTTTAAAGCTTAGGCTAAGGGTTTCGGATTGCTTTAGATTTTAGAGCTACGCTTTCGGATTGCAGGGTTTAGGGTACTAGAGTTTTGGTTCCCGGGGTTTAAGATGCTAGGGTTTTGGGTGTTCGTTCCAGGGTTCAGGGTTCTAGGGCTTGGGATTCACGGTTTCGGGGGTAGCGTTCGGAGCAAAGGTCCCTTTGTATCTTCGGCGCCCTTATGGTTTACATAGGGTCCAGGTTTTAGGAACCTAACGCCGAACTCCCAAACTCTGAACCTTGAACTCCCGAAACCTAAACCAGAGTCTACAGTAGTGTTACGGGTTCAACGTCAGCATTCAGGGTTGGGGATTTCCGTTCTTTTGGGGCTCAGGGTTGCACTGCAAGGCTTCGGGTTTGGGGCTTTAGGGTTTACGTGCTTACCCTCAAGCCTCAAAGCCCTAGAACACTTAGAAAATGGCCGGGCTTTTGGGCTCCAGAGTTTGAAGTTAAGTAAGTCACCGGAGTCACAGACCCTTAGGTTCAGTGACAAGTGGAATGCAATACGACCCCGAATACCAGGCAAAAGCCCTGTAAACAAGCACAGCTCTCAGTGTTTGGGGATTCCAAGCTTAGTTTGTCCTGTGATGAGGTTCGAGAACGTTTCCTCGCCAGTGGCACGGAGGAGCAGCAATCCATGTGGAACAGACTGGAGTGGTCGGAATCAGTAGTAACAGTTTTGGTACCTGTTCCTTAAAGGAACCATTATAAAATAAAAGTCTATACCTTTTTCGCTGGTTACTTCAAAGTCCAGCCATGTAGTTGTAATCACTGTAGTCTTTAACCCTGAATCCCTAAACCCTAAACTTTACGCTTTGTAAAATTCATCGAAACCCTGTGCGGCTATCCAGGCCCCCATTACTATAGTATCTAAACCTGGGCGCTATCTGTGACTCGCAGTGCGTTGTTAACAAAGTATCTAAACCTAGTAGTTCCTTGTTGGGATTACCTTATAGAATTCTAAAGATGAATCCCAAAAAAGGAGCTATATACTATGGAGCCTATGGGTAAACCAGGCTTATAGCAACCCGGAACATAAGTCCTAATTAATTTAACCCCCAACCCGAAAAATCCAATCCAAGTCAGTAGGCCCAACGGCTCCGAGCCCTTAAGTCCCACATGGGCTTCCCCAGATAATCGTATACTTCAGGAGGGACCATACAGGGCTCTGTAGCGTTTTCAGGGATTGCGGCTCTTCTGAGGATTTTTTGCAGTGTTCCCATCGTGGTTCCGATAATGTGATACCTTTCCGAGCTGGAAGACTTCTGTACGGATAGGAGCCATTAGTTCACGAGGCCCTTTTAAAATATAGATACCCGTAGCCCGGTATATCCAACTCCTATATGGGAGATTCGGAAAATAGGGCACCTTAATGTAGTACCCTAAAATTGTAGGATCCTTATTATAAGGACCCCAAGACGCGGTACCCCTACTTTTCGGAAACTCCTATATCAGCGCTTAGTACTGCGAGGAGATCTTCGCGGTTCGAGGGTGCCAAGTGCTAGGTTCCAAATACTCCGCCTGTAAGTTCATTGGTAGTTATAAGTGGTCCCTTTAAGGGTCCCTCTAAAGTGGGGTTATAAGTCCCCTAATAAGGGTTATAAGTCTAGTTACCCAACTTATAATCCCAATTACAACTACCCGTGAACCTCCAAGTTCCTGTAGGCATCTTACTTCTTTCGGCTTCTGGCTTATACTTTAATTTACAGTGGTGTAGCTGTTGATGAGATAAACCCTGCATTACCCATACAAGAATACGCCATTATTCCCATAGTTTAGGGTCCTAAAGGTAATGCAGGATATATATATATATATATATATATGCATCATTAACCGAAGTATTCCCCCAGCAAAACAAGAAAAGTGCCAGAAGCTGCTAGCAGATACTTACGACCGTTTGGGTTTGGCGAGTAACAGTTCGTGTCAGGAGTTATCTGCTACTTTGGTTCATGAGCTGAGCCGGACGGTTCTGCAACAGGTGCAGCGCTCGGAAGATTGTGAACCCAGTGATGTGGAAAATGACGGGTTCAAAGCTGCAGGGGGGGAAGACGTTCTACTTAGTTGTATTCCTTAGGATTCTTCAAATCTACCAAAACTCTAGTTAGGTTCGTGAGTCAGGCCCCTTCGTGGTTGAACAGAGGAGCTGTTATGGTTTGTTGCTCCGCATTTTTGCCTTAGGGGCTGAGTAAGACCCATGAACTGCGAACCTGGAACCCAAACCGTTGAGGCTTAAAGAGTGGAGGCTTTAGTAGGGCTTTGTGTTTAAGGACTAGAAACCCTCAACATCCCTCAACCTTGGCTTTCAAAAGTCTCCACAAACAGTTTAGTAGTAGAGCAGGTAACCTTTAACCATTTTTGGGGCTCCCCGCCCCCCCCCCCCCCCCGCCCACGCAAAAGCACGAAGAGCACATACAAGACGCTGAAGTCTAAAGTTGATTAACCACCCAAGACTCAACACCCTGAAACTCCTAAACCTTATTCAACTGATAAGCCGAAACCCTACATACCCTTAAAGACACGCCCTCAATATACACCGTTAAATATACGCCCTTAATGCTACCCTCAAAGCCTCAATGCTAAGGTGCCAAAGCTCTTTGCGAGCCAACTGCTCTTGGGCAATCCACTTCAGCTGGGGGAGGTCGGGCGGCTGCTTTCCTTTACTGCTTGGGGTTTTGCGGTTTAGGGTTTGTAAAGGTTTAGGGGATTAGGGATTAAGGTGTAGGGTGTATGGTCGCTTTCCTATTGAATGCTGACTACGCTTACCCTCAACCCCAACAGAAACCCTGAGGTTTAAGCCGGATTTCGGGACCGAGGGATTTGCAAACCCTCCACCCTGAACCCTGAAGCCCTGAACCTCTACAGTAGAAGCCAGAAAGTTGGAATATGATCATCCTAACCCCTTCATGGTAAATTATTAGGGTATCCTACCATGAAACCATATTCCAACTTTCTGGAGCTTCCTATAAGCTCTGCAGGATTGAGCAGACCGTTTCTACTTAAACGAGCACTTGGACGCTTCCAACCCTTACTGGGCTCTTGCCCACGAAGATGATCTAAATTATTGCAATAGGGTTCTACAGGACATAATATCAACAATCGAATTCAGGTATCATCATCACCACCGTCATCATCATAGTTTAAGTTACCATAATACAGGGATCTATAGGATCTATAGGCGTCTATAATGTATATACATATACACACACCTATCTATCCTTAGTATTGCAAGCCAACTTCCTTAACACGAGCTCAGCTTATTGACACCTAGCTAAATGACACACCAAGCCGCAGCTCGCCAGCCTTCGCGTAGTTGTGAACGTAATAGGGATTATATAGGGTTTAGGGAGTTGTGAACTTAGTAGTAGACTTCGACCCCCCAAGTACCCTGATAATGTACACTGAATGTCCCGATTTAGGACCATAAGGGCTCCATTATAGATTTCGACCCCCCATGTACCCTCATAATATACCCTGAATTTCCCTATTTAGGACCGTAAAGGGCTCCATTAAAGTGCCATTGGGGCGCCCTAGGAGTCGGTATCCCTTTAATTTCTCGATGTTGGGGTAGTACCCTGGGGATCAAAATGGCCCAAAAGCCTTTTATATTATGGTCTTTGGGCCCAATAGCCTTAATATATGAGTCCTTAGATCCCCAGTGATAGAATCTCGAGAGACACCCCACAAGCCTACGCTCTCATTGCCCCTGGGCTGGTGGAAAAGTATGGCTGAGGGTCCATGTACCCAAATGGTGTATACTTTGGCCCAATTTACCTATATAGGGAGTACTTTAAGGCCAAAGTGTATACTATTTGGGCACATGGACCCTCAGGGTTTGTTTCCGCGAGGGTAGTGGACAAGCAAGTGAAAAGGAGCTTCTACGCGCGATGGAGCTGGCAGCACATGGCTTCGCAAGATTTCAGCCACAGGTGGGGGAGGGCAGGGCCTTCGTTCTTTTTTGGATGTTGCATTTCCGGGTTCTTTGACTTTCCTTTCTGATGTTTCTGGCTAATTGGGGTCCATGGTTTTAGAACTTTTGCTTCTAGGACGTTGGCTTGGTATTCGGGTCTAGCCTAGTTCATCTTAGAAAACAGGCAGCGAGCTTTTGTTGCAAATCTTACACAAACCAGGCGAAGAAAAACCGCCGAGAGCCCATCCTAAATTCTATATACCCCAAACCCCTACAGCCAAAGCCCACGACCTATACGGCACTTGGAGGCGCCTGCCACTGTTCTGCAGGGACTGTAGAGTGCAGGGAACTTGAGGCTATCGCGATACTCAGACAAGGATCTTGTACGAGGCTATGCAACCACGATCAGGACAGCATGTTTTTTTTTTTATTGAATGGCCCTGATAGGTTCTCTTATAGTAGAAGCCAGAAAGTTGGAACATCATTATCCTCGTGCCCTTAAAGCAAAGAAAAGGGAATCCCAGCAAGAGTCATCCTAAATCATTGTTCCAACTTTCTGGGGTTCACTATGGTGTTACGAATTGTTGAGACAGCTATCATATTCCAGCCTAACCTGTTAAACTCGAGCCCATATACATTTCCTAATAAACGCGCTAAATCCCCTAAACCTCAAACCACAAATCTTCTAGAAGAGTCTGTTTTTCCTCCCAGTGCGGATCTCTTGAGGCGCTTTAAGGACGACATGAACCCCAAAAGGGTCTAAGGTTCATAGACCATATAGGGATTCATAGTATATGGGCGAAAAGGGCCTCTACTTTTAAGGATCTTCCTTGGTCCGTCAGGTAAACCCTAAACCCTAAAGCCTAAACCTTAAATCCTTAAACCCTAAATCCCAAACCCCTAAACCCGGCCCTAAACCTTAAACCCTAAACCCTAACCCTAACCCTGAACCTTAAACTTTAAACCCTAAACCCCCTAAACCTCTTGAGGCGGTTCTGGCGGCGTTCCTACTTGCCTTGGCGGCCCTTACAGCGTCAGTTCGCGGGATGTTCCTGATCATGGCGAAGGCCGGTCTCTTGGGTTTAGGGGCTTTGGGGTTTAGGGTTTAGGGTTTAGGGAAGGCCGGTCTTCCTTGGGGTTCCATTTCGGAGTTCTTGGGGTTCAGAGTTTAGGGTTTAGGGCCCAGAACCTAAAGCTTAAGCTTTAGAGTCTGGTTTTTGTCGGGATTCGGTTCAGGATTTAGGGCTCACAAGTCTGGGTAGGGAGACAAGGCTAGGCTAGGTTTGAGATGAGTAGGATCTGAACTAAGGTTCTCTAATTAAGCCCTACCTAATTTTAGGCCCTATCCGTATGCTCCCCGTATGTTGATGCTATGTTGACACCAAAGTCCTAGAGCTACTCGAATAAAATCAAGACGCTCTGTCAAGTTCTGTCTATTAAGTCCATGCCCTGCAGAAACCAAACAGAACCTGCTGGGTCCCCGATCGTTTCGGGTTATATGAGGACTCTGCAAAAAGTAACTATAGGTTTTGGTAGGTCAAGGTTAGGGTCTTAGGGTTTTCAGGGTTGTGGATTCCGCTTGGACTTGGGCAGACGGGCAAATGAGATCTTGGCGTTTGATTGCGAATTGATTATGGGGGGTGTTATATAGAGGCTTGAGGCATATGGGGCTTAAAGGGTTCAGGGCATTGGGGCTTTAGTGGAGAGGGTCTTGTATTGGTGGTGTGCGCAGTCTTTGTCTTCAAGAAGGTCGTCTTCAGGTCTTTCCTATCGGAGGCCGCAGCTAGCAGCTGCCATGGCAGTGTGACCAAAAAGACGACGAACGGAATGACGACCCCGTCATTTTTTGTCAATGCAATGCCCCGCCTCCAGATAGAGGGGACATGTATCGGGAACCAGGCCCAGTCCGAATCGCGTATCGCCTGGCCCGCTGACGTGTTGCTGACGATGGCAAGAAACCGCTGCAGCATCCCATATTAAACCCTTACAGTAGCCCTTATAGTAACCCATAAAGCCTTTATATATAGAACCCTTTAAAGGAACCCTGTTCTAATCATTAAGGTCCCTTTTCTAAGGTTCCACTGTCGTCTCGTGGGTTTGGAGTTTTGGCGTCCCTCGGTTCGCGATGCTTCGGTTCAGGGGGGCTTACAGACTTAGACTTGGCATTCTTCTGGTTGGCTCTTAGGACTTTAACTTTATGGGCTTCTATGTGAACAACAGTGAGGAGGCGAAAAGTTTAACGTTTAGGAGGGGTTCAGAAGTCAGCTAAGTAGACTTAGTCAGAGGTTCTAAGCAGGGTTGTAGTCAGGATATGTAACTCCGACCTAAGGCATACCCATAGGCCCCATAGTAGTTCCTTTTTGGGATTAGCTTATAGAGCTCTAAAGATGAACCCCCAAAACGAACTACTTTGGAGCCTGTGGGCACTTTTCACCCGAAGTATACCTCACCTCTCCAAGTCCCTTGCTGTTGGGGTGTAGGATTACGGATTTAGGGGCGTAGAGCGGTGTTCGAGGCACGGTTTGCAAGTGTGAAGGCCCACTTGGGCATGGAGATGGGGCTGTAATGTATATAGGGGCCCACATAATTACCAATACTAATTAAGAGAGTTGTTGTGGCGGGCTCCTTATTATGGTTATAGTATAATATGCCACAAAACCCGTAGTCTACATATTAAGGCCCCCTAAAGTAGGTTTTGGATATCGGGCGGTAGCCACTTGAGGAGTGGCGCAAGGAAGGCACTGATGTCCCAAAGAGTTTGAAGCTTGAACGTTGCTTGTTCAGCTGTTTATTGCAATGACGATTTGGAGAGGCTTTCAAAGTTTGAGGCTCATGGTTTCTGCGTCTGGAACTTCTGGATGAGTTTGGAAGAAGCCGTTTCTGTGACCTGCTCAAGAAAAAGCAAACGCAACTCGGAGCCCCAGTAAGTTGGGAAACTAATCTAGGAGCCCAATATGTGAGGGTTCCTTATTATGGTTATAGTTATAGTATAGTATGGTTATAGTTATAGTATATTCCTCATTATGGTTATAGTTATAGTATAATATGCCCGAACTTTTTATTCTAAATTCAGGCTCTTACTAATTCCTGGCCAGGAAGCTTGCCGTCTTTCGACTGGCCAGGCCGGGTTGAGACTGCTTAGGGTTTAGGGTTTTAGGGTTTCCGGTCTGAAAACAGGACCGTGAATCTTTGGAGGATCTATGAGGTCTTTGTGGGGTTTAACAGGGCTGCTATGTATGGTATGGGCCTCAACAAGTGGAACGGGTTCTTGGGGTCCAACAGAGGTTGCCCATACAAAGGGCTTACTAGCCTCACTTCAGGCGTTTACAGGTTTCCTGGTGTCAGGCATACGGAGGGCGATGAGGAAGCTTAAGCCACTTACCCCAAGGCTCCATGTACCCATATAGTATGTACTTCGGCCTTGAAGTACCTATATAGGGACCCCTTTGAGGCTCAAGTATCTACTATAAGCGCACATGGAGCATTGAGGTTCAGATGCCTACAGTACCCGTCCTTTTGGGAATCGCAGACACATAGGAACAGATGAAGAGCCTCATTACACCAGGATAGGATCCCTGTTGCAGAAGGGCTTTCCGGCGAAAAGCATTCGACAGTAATTACGTACTAGGGCTCTTATTCGTTATGAGCAAAGCACTGACACCTGAAGCCTTTCCCTCTTGGCAGGTTCCTGACAAGCTGCTTCGTGAGCCTGCGCGTGCGCGGGAAGCAGTTGGACAGGTGCGTCGGGGTTCTATACATACCCAGATCTTCCTGCGTATATTCCGTAAGTACGGGATACTGGAAGATTTGGGTCGATGGAGTTGGAATTATTAGGTAAGGGGTCCTTATCTACGGGATATTGGAAGACTTGGGTCCATGGAGTTGAAAGGGTTATGTAAGGGGTGTGTCGGAGGAAGTAGTAACTGTAATAAGCCCTGTACAACCTCATCCCAAAAGCCTTAGCCCCAAGCACTGAACCTCTTCAGGTCCTACTATGCAGAGCACGTAATAGGCTTGTTTCTTCACCACGAGCCTCAAAGCACTTAAACCCTTAGGCTTGCCCTGACAGCCTAAGCCCTTAGTGGTACTTAGAAATAGTTTTTAGTTTTTTGGTCATTATACCCCCCCTAAGAAACAGCTAAAATCATAATTTTTGCTAGGGTTCTAAGTTCAGTATAGAACCCTGCATAAACCCTCCAGAAGTCCTCGGAGTTTAGATGTCTGGGGCCTTCCTGATTCTCTGGCCGTTGTTGTAACCCGGATCCGATTGATTAGGGGTTAGGAGTTTAGGGTTTAAGGGTTTCGGTTTAGGGTTTAGGGGTTCAGGGTTTGGGGTCTAGGGTTTATAGGGTTCTGTCAAAGATGTCGGTCACTCTTGATGTTGCTAGTTGTTGTTTCGCTTGGCCGTGCTGGTGTTCATCTGGCAAGAACGGAAATGAATGGGCTTGGGGTTTTGTGCGGTTCGGGATTTCAGGTTTAGGGTTTCTCGACGTTTGGTAGGTCTTTCCGATGGTTTTTGATTCAAACATTTAGGCTTTCGAGTCTTGGGGTTTGGGGCCCCTCTCAGTTTCTGCAGCGCCTCATCGAGGAGTTCGGGTCCATGTTTGACGACCCCATAATTTCTGGGCTCTCCTCGCTGTGGCGCACTGCGCTCTGGTATACCGCCAGGCACAGGAGATGCATTTCCTTGACAATGCGGGGTGGACACATAAATGGATTTCAAGGTACGCTCGACACTTGGTTCCATACGCTTCTCCTTGAAGAGTCCACACGTGTGGCGACTTTTATAGACGACTTCGTGGCTGTCATCTCGTTACACGGAACGGTGTCCACGCAGCGATTGGACCGCGTCCATGCAGAGCTATAGCCGGTACTGTGGACAACTCTTGCGCAACGCTTAGGGTTCACACTCAGCGAATCGACAACGCTGCTGTCCTTGATCAAGAATCAAGACGTTGCCGGTGCTTTTACGTCGTTGGTGTTTATGTTGAGCCTTAATAGTTTGAATAATGGATCCTTTTGTAAACCTCTCCAGACCCCAAGCCCCAAGCCTGAAACCCCAGTCGAGTCCACCTCTGCCCTCTCAGGGCTCACATCAACCAAAACCTTAGGGTCTGGGGGTTTATAATCCCCAAAGTAACAGTCCCTGAACATGGACATACAAAAGGGCCCTAGTGTACCTATCGTCGTCTCTTTATGATCCCTACTATGAACCCTCACGTTGTTCTGAAACCCCCACATGTCATGCGAAGCCTGGACCCAACAGGCCTTTTACTACGGCTTGCCCTGGCACTGTCTTCGGCTTAGTTGCAGAGTGGCTCTGGGGGGTTCTCTGGCTTCCTTTTCGGTGCTTCTCCCTGAGAGCAACACACCCTCAAGCAGATTATCCCAAACCCATGTGCGTGGCTATGGGGGCCTGTGGACATTGAGTGTCTTGCAAGAATGATGCGCCTTCTGTGGGAGAGGGAATTCTGAATTAGAGATTTGCCCTTGCGTGTCAGAGGCTGTCATCTAACTTCGGGAGTCTGGTTCAACTAGCCTTTGGTGCTCGTTTGCTTGTACGCTGAGCCGCGTCGAGAGCTGATGGAACCTTGCAAGGTTGCAACACCCAGCGGCTCCATAGAAGTTCCTTTTTGGGATTACCTTGTTGGATTCTATATATGAAACCCCCCCAAGTCAGGGTCCATTTCGGCAGCTTTGGCAGAAGAGCAAGGACCACCCCAGGATCCCTAGCACAATGACACTGTCTTTTCTTATTTGGCCAGTTAGTCTTCATTTTCTCGAATTGATTTCAGAGACAATGGTCGTTTGTTTCGAGACCCAGTCACCCCCACAGCTGCAAACCTGTCTATAGGGTTATTACCATGGTAGTTCTCTAAATTAGGAAGGTTTTTTTTCAGGTCCCCAAAATAGTTCGGCACCCGTACAATTAAAGGGAATCCAAAACAGATCTTAATTGGGAGAACTACCCTGATAGATCCCCTAGAGCTTAGAGAGCCCGTAGCGTCAAGCGAGTAGTGGGAAGCCAAAGATGAGGGAACCAAGGACATAAGTGTAAGCATTTCATAGGGTTACGTATCTTTATTGGGCTTCACCGCAAGTGCTTTTATATGGGAACCCTAAACCCTAAAGCCTAAACGAAACCCTAAAGCCTAAACCCTCAACCCTATCCCTATCCCTTTCCCTATGCCTATCCTCATTTGTTGCTTCTGTGCTTTTTTGGGCCCCAAAAAGATTCCGAGGCATGGTCTTGGGCCGCCGCTTGCGACATCGATGGCGGAAGAGCCGCAAGGCGGGTTTAGGGTTTCAGGGTAGTTTAGGGTTTCGGGTTTGGGGTTTAGGGTTTGGAGTTTAGGGGTTTAGGGCTTCAGGGTAGTTTAGGGTTTCGGGTTTGGCGTTTAGGTTAGTTTAGGGTTTCAGGATAGTTTTGGGTTTCGGGTTTGGGGTCTATGGGCTTTGGGGTTTAATGGGCTTGGGGCTTGAGGGTGTTTAAGGCTTAGACCTGAAGTTTTACCCAGAGTAACCCTGGTAGCTTTGATAAGGTAGATGCACCCTTAGTAGGTTCATATCCTTTCTCAAAGGTACATTGGTTAGTCTAGGCAGGGCCTTTACAACGATTGTTTTGGGCTTCAACCAGTCCAGAATAATCCCTTCCCCCTAATATTAAAGGGCTCCCCCCCCCCTCCCTAATATAAAAACTGGATTTCGGAGGTTTAGTTTTTATATTAGGGGGGGTTTCGGTTCGGTGCATCCGCGTACCCGGACTCCCAGCTGCTAGCTATCCTAAGCCTGGAGCCCTAAGCCCTAGGCCTCCAGCCCTAGACCCTAAAGCCGTGAGCCCTAAACTTTAAGCCCTAAAGCCCCAAGCCCTAAAGCTTTAGCTTAGCCCTGAGCCCTAAACCCTTAAACCCTAAAGCTCTGGTGTCTTTAGTACAGGTGTAATCTTTGGCTCTATAAAGCCCTGAGCCCTAAACTTTAAGCCCTAAAGCCCCAAGCCCTAAAGCTTTTAGCCCTGAGCCCTGAACCCTTACACCCTAAAGCTCTGCTGTCTTTAGTACTACTGTAGTCTTCGTTCAATTAAGACGCATACAGATCTGCAACCCCCCCTAATGTTGTCCCTTTTAAATTGAATGTGGGGCCCGAAACCGCGAAATTCCGGGGGGCCGGTAGTTTTTGTATTAGGGGGGGTTGAATGTTAGGGGGAAGGGATTAATGTTTGGGTTTAGGGTTCTATATGAGGTGTCTGTGAGGGTTCGATAATCAATGAGTCTTCTGTTGAACAGGGGTTCTAGACTAAGTAACAAAGGGGTCCATAGAGGCTCCACCATCAGGGTTCGAAAACGGTTTAGGGCTTAGTTCTTTTTTTTAGTATTTCAAGATCATTTCTAAGCATTCTACAACAAAGCGCAAAAAGGGGCTTTTGGGATTGTGATTTGGGAGCTTTGGAGCTTTGGGGTTTCCTTTAGTCGACTGTTGTCGGACTTTGGCCCCAATGTACCTATTTTCCCTGGGGATCAAAGTAGCCGAAAAGCCTTATATAGTATGGTCTTTGGGCCCAAAAGCCTTAATATATGAGTCCTTAGATCCTTCGGGCTATATGCGGAGTACTTTAAGGCAAAGTGTATACGATTTGGGTACGTGGACTCTTAGGGTAAGTGAGGATACCCCCCCACTTAGGGTACATACACCCCCAACTATCACTTACTTACTACAGTCCCGTCATCCTCCTAAGTGGACGTGCCTACGGCTCCTCGAGTAATTGTAACATACGGGCGTGGTTAATGACTTGGATTTTTCCCTCACGGCTCCTTGATGTTACTACCCTGAGGGTCCTACCACTTTGGGGAACCTCAAAATGTAGGATTCCTGAAGCCCCAACGAGACTCAAGGGCTCTCCCTAGGAGATTCCGTACCCTCCTAAGGAGATCCTTGGACCCTTAGGGTAATTATAGTGCAACAAATAGGGTCCGCTTTGGGATTACCTTATAGGATGACGAAATATGAACCACAAAAGAAGAACTACTATGGGGCCTTAGGGTACTTATAGTAAAACCCGAAGCCCTGTGACTGCCAAAACTCTTGAAGACCAATACCCGAAGCTCCTCGCGTAACTACCGCCCCAGTAAAACGTCTCCTTGCACTTTGGAGCATTCTCTTCAACCCTAAACCCAAACCCTGACTCCTGCCGCGCAGGTGAAGCGGCGATATCGCTGGCTTCGCGGCTCCGAGGTGTGACGGCACGAAGGGTTTGGGGTTTGGGGTTCGCACAGATCTTCCAACATCCCTCAATCCGGGGAGAGATCTTGAATCATATCAAGGGGTTCCATTATCACTTGAGGTGTTGCATACATGGTCATGTATGGGTTTTAAGCTGTTCTTTGTGACTTGCTTAGTTTGTTCCTGTTGTGGGTTGCGACTTCTTGTGTAGGGATCTCCCCCAATTTTTGTACTTACCTTGCGAGGGAGTCGAGTTTAGGTAGGTACAATGACACAGGCTTACACCAAACAGGAATACGATGTCTGCTCCACCTAAGCCGATTTCCTGAAAGAACAGAAGGGAGTTTCCGAAACTAGGGGTGCCCTTTTCTGGGGCCCTAATAAGGATCCCAATATGGAAACCCCCAGATGGCTCAGGGCTATCGGAGCCTCTGCCAAGCGCTGATGTGGAGCCTTTTGGCACCCGTCTCGGCGCTTTTGGTGACGGTGGCGAAGCTCCTGCAGGCGCGTTCTAGGGTTTCGGGGTTTAGGGCTCTAGGGGTTTAGGGTGTTTTAGGGGTTTAGGGTTCAGGGTGTTTCTTACCTTTGGTTAGCAGGGAATGGAAGAATGGTAGTAATAATAGTAGTTAGGTTTCTGTGGTGGCTTAATATAGGGGCCTAGATAATTACCAAAGGATGACCTAGGGTTCCTTTAAAAGGGGATCCTTGAAGGTCTCTATAAGGGATCTATAGTGGGGTTCTCTCATATAGGGGCCTAAATTCACCCATACTATTTTGGGGGCTCCTAATTTTTAACTATAATATAATGTGCCCCAAAAGCCCCATTCTAATTATGAAGGTCCCTATATTAGGAAGCTCAGAGGGCTTGGGGTAGGGCCTTTACGAAGGTTCAAGGGGTATAAGAGTCTAAGGTTCAGCAAACGGCTTAAGCTTCAGGGTTGAAGGATAAGGCTTAGGGCTTTGAGTTTAAGGTTCAGGGTTGTGGGTGAAAGGGTCAGAGTTTTGTGTTTCAGGATGTTTCAGGTTTTCGCGATTTCGGGTTGAAGAGGGTTAAGGGATTGTTGCAAAACGCGGGAGTTGCCCCTAAATAAATGCTATGACCCTAAAAGACTAGTTTCCTTTTCTTGCGGTACCTAGCAAGAGTACCTTTGGGCTCCATCGTATTTCCTTTCTTGCTACACAAATCTTGATGATCAGGACCCTGCATGAGCCAACCAAGGCAGCCACGAAAAAAACTGCAATGCTGACTGCACGGAACCTAGGTATTTGCAAAGCGCAAGGAAGGGAATATCCAGATTGGTTTGGGCAACGTCCTGTTTGAAAGGGCAGTTGGGTTGGTTCAGGGTTTTCGGGTTCCTGGACGTTTTTTTTTTTTGAAGGGGGTGGGTGGTTAGATGTAGGTCCTGCTTGTCAGTCACAGTGTGCAGAGCAATGAAGTGGAGTCGTGATGTTTATGTGCTACTTCGAACCCCTGCACTAAGCCGCATGGTCGTTGTGTTTTTCGGGCTTCAGGGTTTAGCCATCCTTAGGGTCGAGTGTATGGGATAGTAGTAGTGTCGTCGGTTAGTTGTGAAGGTATGCTATGTTCACTACTGCGGGTTCTTGGACCCTTTAAAGTGAAGACAGCGGACCCATATGCATGGTGTGTATGTGTAGTCTCTGACAGCAGGATGACATATCATGGATCTGCGTACATATACCGCTACACATGGAGCAGTCAGATCAGTGTAACAAACGGATAACCCAGAAAGCTGAACCTGCAAACAGCAGCTTTATCTGTCCGTTGGTTTGCGATTCGGGATCAGGCCTCAGCGCGGGACTCCTTGCTCAACCCCAAGCTCTGCGTCATAAACCCTGTAAAGTCCCACAAGATCCTGCAAAACCCTGCAGGAGCCATCAAAGACTCCTAGAATACTAATACGGGGTTACTCACGGAATACTTGGAGACTTAGTAAGTAGGTTGAATAACAAGTTGGGCGAAAGGCGAGCTAATTTTACAAGCCGATTTAACTTGCCGAGCTTCTAGCCCTAACTCTTAAACCTACCCTAAACTCTAACCGTTCTAAACCCCCCCAGGCCCTTAACCCCAAACCTGGCGAAGAAGGCCTTGGAGCTAATCATTCGCCGGTCGGCGCACGCGCCTCAAGTGAGAGTCACCAGCAGTGACCAGCACGACCTCAACGACGCAATGTACTTTCGGGGACTGAAAATTCGGAATAGTGTTCCTTAGCAGTCTTTACCATTATCCGTTTAGGTATTATAGCAGCCTGATCAATTGGAAAAAGGTTTTTGAGGTTGATTAAACACTACTGAAATGTATATGAAAGTCAGTTGTCACAAAGCGTGCTCCCAGTGTATCGGACCCCACTTTTAAGTTTGGGGTTATTTGGTCCTCAAGGCAGGTTTCAGGGGCAATGCCCAAACCCTAACAACCATGCCCTGATCCAAAGTACTTCCCTCAGTATGCCGCCGGCAGAAGGGTGGGTCCCTTTCGGGATCCTTTGTCCAAGGGTGCCGTACCGTACTGCTCAGGGTTTAGGGTTTAGGGTTTAGGGTATCTTAACGCATGATTGAAAAACATTGGCCCCAAGGTACCTTTCTTGGAACGCTTTACAGCCAAAGCAAAGGATATAGTGTGTGGGTACAGTTTTCAAGCACTTACTAGGCAAGCTCTGAATGGCCATAAGCCATCCTAAACTCCTAAACGCTAACCCCTCCAAAACCCTACCTTCAGAATGAACGAAACGAACCCTGAATGGGTTTAAGCTTCATATACCATATAGGGATTCATAGTATATGGGCATAGGGCCCCTACTTTTAAGGGTCACTTGGTCCTTCAGGTAACGCCTCCTAAACCCCTAAACTCCTAAACCAGCCTGAGCACGAACAAGGGGCGCCTAACCCTGAGCCTTTAAGCCCCCACCAAAGCCGAAACCCAAAACCCCTGGCCCTCAATCCTAATGTAAGAGCCTGATTAAGAAACCCCGGGCTGGGCCTATAACCCCAAAATAGCAGGATTCAAGAAAGGAACCCTAATGGTAGGGTTCATATATGGAACCCCAATAAAGAACTAGGATTTCTTAATCAGGTTCCTACATTCAAGTCCCAAACCCTAAACCCTGCTTTCATTCTTAGGGGTAGTAACGGATTTCGTTGATTCTTAGGGACCCTAAAGAGGGGTTGAAGTTTCATGATATCCGACAGGTCGGGTCCATGTTCAACGCTCTAAGCCCTCACCCAGGCGATGGGCGAGTCCACGGCATGTCACTGCCATCGGACCACCTCTGCCTGGTAGGAGCGCCAACAGGGTTAGGCTTTGTCTTGCTTTTCGTCGCTGATAGGGTTGATGATATGAATCCTGCATTACCAAAATAAGCAATGTACTATTATTCCCATAGTCTAGGGTCATTAAGGTCATGCAGGATTCATACCATCAACGGTTAGGCTTTGTCTTGGCTTGTTGATGTGTTTAGGGTTTGCGGTTCAGGGTGTTAGGCTTTGGCTTGTTCTAGAGTTTGCAAGGGTCTAGGGTTTAGGCTTTGTGTTGGTGGAGCTTGATATGTGGCATTTTTCGGGGTGTGTGTGTGTGTGCGTGTGTGTGTGTCTCATGTTGTGTTTCTGTATTGGGGTGTCTGTCATATTTTGTTGTGGGGCTTTGTAGGCTTCTGCAAAATGTGGTACGGTTTTGTTGCGGAAGATTCTGCGGAATGTACCTCAGAGTTTCATGGCTCTCCTGTTGAGAGGTGGGTAACAAGAACGAGTAGCCTATCACCTAAGACTACTGCGGCTTTACAGCTTTGGGGCCTTACCTACATCACATGCACTGCTTGTCGTGTATGGGCATGAGGCTCCAGAAAAAAGGAGAAGATAGCCGTGGAGGTGGAAAACGGTTATTTAGTGTTGAACGTGGTCTTCTTTAGGCTTCGCGGCTGAGTTGTAACTTACCCAAAGGGTACTAATTAAGTACCTATATAGTACAATGCCGGGTTCCAACATCAGGAATTAGTATGATGATTTGGGAAAGTATTCCAGGTAGCAGTAGATGGAACCCTTCGGGTTATTGATCTCTTTTGAGTCTCTAAGCCTACCTACCACAACAAGATAGAAAAATGCCAGCCGTTTTCTCAAATACGATTGTTTGCAATCCAACAGACTTGTGTCGAAACCCTGCTGTGAGGTGTTCCCATAAAGGAGGCCTTGAAACGCAAACCCGCAACCTGGAAAGCATCCTAAGCCCCTAAGCCCCTAAACTCTAGACCCCAAACCCCTAAACCCTACACCCCATGATCGGCTTCATGGTATCCGACCCAAACCTTTCGCCCCTGAGCTCGTCTACTGCACTTGGGTCTAGGGGTCCAAGTCGGCTTTTACGTACCAAAACCCATTCAGATTTCCCTAAACTATACCCTAAACCCTAAACCGTTACACTACCTGGGACGCAAAACGCCACAGTTGAGGTTCTTGGACTTTCTGACCCCTGAACCCCAAAGCCAACGAGAGCACCATGATCTTTAAATTCTTACTTCCCCATAGGATCTTAGGTACCGTTATGGGGGGATACTTTGCCAAATCATAATTAGAAATTGCTACTCTAGAAACCCTACCTGAAGGACCAAATTACCCTTAAAAGTAGGGGCCCTACACCCATAACACTATGAATCCCTATATGGTCTATGAACCTTAAACCTAAACCCATTTAGGGTTCATTTCGTCCTTAAGGTACTCTACTACATGGGTACTTAGGGCCCTTTGGGTTCCATCACCTGAAACCCAAAGCACTTGACCCTGGAGAGCTACTGCCCTGAACCCTAAGCCGCTGCAAATCTCATTCATATACCTCAAAAGCCTTGCAAGCCTGTGACAATTCCTATGAGCCCTAACCTTAAATCCATAAACCCTACACCCATAAACCATCAACCCCTTACTGCCGAATGCCGAATGCCGGCTGTGACGCAGGAAAGGCTCCCAGCAGTTCTTGGCGGGCTGTCCCCTCCAGTTGGGGGCCCCGGTGTTGGTCTTAACTTTTTTTGTATTACTCCTTACTTAGGTAAGTGTCAGCTACGTTTTTTTGGAGTAATGAAGTTGTCATGGTTAGGTAAAGGTCGGGACTACCCTGTAAAGGGCTGGAATGTCCTTGAGTCCTTATTGCATTTTCTCCCAAACCCCGTTCGAATGATTCGCACACCTATATTTGGAGGCTGTTAATGCACCCGAGGCTGTTCAAGGCTTTTCCACCGAGCAGAAAGCAGCAATGTAGGTCTTCCTGTGCCAACATGATGCCTTTTTTCTTGCAAAGAGGGGTTATGATGTCAAAAACCATTAAACTCCCCACCAGCCCTAAACTCTAAACCTCTCTAACCCTTAAACCCCAAGCCTCTAATTCCAAAACACATAAACCCCGAGTCCCGGAATTCTAAAGCCCAAATTCCTGAACTCTAAACTCTGAAACCCTTTATAACCGTAGCCCTTGTTTCAAAAAGGGGAACGACCCTGCCCTCATTAAGGCCCCTATGCTAGATCCTAAAAGTAACCCTTATCAGGGCCCTTTGAAGGAACCCCTTAAGATCCCTATAGATCCCCTATGTGATCCCAAAAAGGAGCCCTTTAAAGGAACCTTGTCCTGGTTCTTAAAAAATCCTAACCCCTAAACCCTAAAACCCTAAACCCTAAAACCCTAAACCCTAAAACCTTAAACCCTAAACCCCTAAACCCTAAACCCTTAGAGCCCTAAACCCTAAAACCCTAAACCCTAAGCTGTGCTACAGGTTCTCTCGTGAGGCGTCTCCAGCCCTCATGGCTCTGAGAGCGGAGACCCTCCAGCCGAGCCTGCCGAAGTTGCCAGGGTCTATAGGGCTTCAGGGTCTATAGGGCTTTAGGGTCTATAGGGCTTTAGGGTTTACGCTCGAGGGGTTAGGGCTTTAGGGTTTATGCTTGAGGGGTTAAGGCTTTAGGGTTTAGGCTTTAGGCTTGAGTCTTTAAGGTTTAGGGCTTTAGGCTTTAGGGTTTAGGCTATAGGGTTTAGTGATGAGTGTTCACTGCTTCGGGGGTTTATGTTTAGGTGTTTAAGGGTTTGGGGTTTATGGTTTCAGTATCTTGGGGGTTCGGGAGCCCAGGCCTACAAGGTTTTTAAGTTTTTGTGTAATTAATTACTTGTTTGCCAGAAAGGAAAGTACCAGATTGAGGTTGTCTGTGGGGGGTTATTGGCTGTTCTCAGGTCTGAGGGTTCATGCCTGGGGTGTATATGGCTCAGGGTTTGCTGCTTGTCAGTGCCCTTATGAAAAATCTCAGAGGCAAGTCTAAGTTATGAGACCGTCCATGAGACCTAAGTCTTGTTCTATTCCCGAAGCCCTATACTATAAACCTACAATCTGTTCTTCTCTTGACAGCTGCTGACGCATGCCAGGCAAGTCACATGTGCGGGGCCCAAGCGCAGCGGTCGTTGTTTCAAAGTGCCGGTCAATATGGGAGTTTCCGAACATTAGGGTACCTCATTTTGGGGTCCTTATAAGAAGGATCCTACTATTTAAGTACCTGATTAGGGTCCCCTATTTTTGGAACTCCCATATGAGGCTTGAATCATCTTAGATGCTGAGCAGGCAGCGGGTACTGTAGCCTTTTCGGGGGTTTCTACAATCCTACCATAAATCCAACGGCTTACATTTGTTCGTAGGATGTGTGTTCAGTAGAGGCGTCGCAATGTATACCGGTAGTATCAACTCCCGCATCCCCGCGACCCGTATCTGCGGCCTATAGCCCTAAATCCTCAACAGTGGTATCCCGAGTCTCGAGTTTATCCTCGCTATCCCAGAGGCTCCATATATAGTACCATTATGGAATTAGGTCCCAAAAGACCATCCATATCATGGCTTTGGGGACCTAATTCCATAATGGTAATTTGGAGCCTCTAGGTATTGCTTTGTTTCAGATTGTAGGCTCATGCCCTGCTTATAAGTGGATGGTTCTCTAAATGAGGTTCCTGATTAGGCCCCCACAAAAGTACGGCACCCTTCTAATAAGAATTCCCAAAGGGGCCCAAATTATAGACAACTACCCAAGCAGAAGGGCCAGAAAGCCAATGCAGCAATGTACGTAGTACTCTTCCTCAAGGGTCCCCAATAGAGCTACATTAAACCCTAAACCTCTAAACCCTGCACCCCTATAAACCTTAAACCCCTATAAACCCTAAACCCCTATAAACCCTAAACCCCCAAACCCTAAACCCCTATAAACCCTAAACCCCTAAACCCTTAAACACTATAAACCCCTAAACCCCTATAAACCCTTAAGCCCTAAACCCTAAACCCCCATAAACCCTTAAGCCCGAAACCCCTAAACCCTAAACCCTAAACGCTAAGCCGCAAATGGCCGTCAAACCAAGAGTCTGCTCCGTCGGGCCTGCCTATAGTCTCCATTGTAGTTCCTTTTTTGGTTTAGCCAATTATATACTTAGGATCCTATAAGGTAACCCCAGAAAGGAACTACAACGGAGAACTATAGGTGAGTTTAGTGTCCACATAGAAACGGGAATTTCCGAAAATTAGGGCTCCTTTAACGGGATCTATAAGGGTTCCTTTAAGGGCTCCTATAAGGGACCTACAGGGTTTGGGTTTTGGGTTTTCCGAAAATTAGGGGGGGTACCTTATTCTGGGGTCCTTGTAATCAGGATAACTAGATGAGGGTCCCCTATTTTTCGGAAACCCCCACATGGAAACCTACCTTGCATATGAAGCAATGGCACGGTTGCTTCTAGTTCTGTTCAGGTTTAGGGAGTAGGCAACCTTTAACCTGTCTTGGGCACTCCGTCTTGTTTGTAGGCGGAGTGGTAGCAGGCACCGGTACTATAATCCCTATACATAGTACCACTGTACTCCCAAAGGTTAACCTTTTGTTCCCAAGGATATTCGACAAGTAGGTTCAGGCCTGGTGATCCCGCCTGATCCCCTTTGCTAGGGGCATTTCAGGCCCAAGCCTTGAGCCCCGGTCGTCCCGGTAAAGCTCCGGTTTAGGGTTCAGGATCGATCTGGGGTTTACCCTAAGGCCCCATAGTAGTTCCGTTTCCGTTTGGGGATTACCTTATAGGATTCTAAATATGAACCACAGGAAGGAACTACTATGGGGCCTTAGGGTATGGTTTAAGCTTGGACTTCAGGATTCTTGGTAGGGAGTTCCGGGGTTCACGGGCATCCGAAACTCAGAAGTATGATAGCCCCTATGCTCCACATGTAGAAGAAGAGTCGCAACCTTGACCAGCCCCTTGATGCTGAGGCTCAGAATGGGAGCTGCGCGTGCTGCCCAGAAGGACTTCAAGCCAAAGCGCTATGCCGTAATAGCTTGATACCCTGAACTCGAAGATAATTAGAATAGGGTTTTCGGAGTATGTTTTATATTATGGTTATACAGGGACTAAAAGGGTTCAGGGTTTAGGATTTCAGGCTGATACTTCATAGTCTAATAGGACTGTGCTTTCCGATGCTAGAGCCCGCCCTTCAATTCCACAAGCACTAGTCACTAGTCACGTGGCCTTTTACACGAAATCCCAGACTCTGGATCGAACCTACATGCACACACACACACAACATTCAAGCTCCGAGCCTCAGACGGCAAAAACCTGAGACGCACACTTCACCCGCATAACGCCTTGTGAGAACCTTTAGAAAGCATTACACCAGCCTTTACAACGTTAAAGCCCTTACATGGAACAGCCTGACACTACAACCCTAAACCCTAAGCGCTAAACACCCAGCCCTATAAACCCCAAAGGCCCTCCCTCCTCTGAGCCCTCCCTTTACCCCCTGAACCCCTAAATCCCAAACCCTAAACCCTAACCCCCCCTCCCAAAAACAACAACAACGCGAAGTGCCTCGAGTTGAGCCAGGAGCCTTGCCGGGACCCTCACCCACTTGGAGGCGCTGGGCTGGGCGTGCGGAGTTTGGAAGGTGTAGGGTTTAAGGTTTAAGGTGTAGGGTTTGACGGTTTAGGGTTTAAGGTTAGGGTTTAGAGTTTTGGGGTTTTGAAGTGCTTTCCTTCGCCGTGGGATTCGGAGTCGTTTCGAAAGCTCAGGAGACGGCTGCAAAGAAGAGGCGTTCCAGCACAGTGAGCCTGGAAGGTGTGATGCAGGAGCCTCTTTGGGTGTTACAAGAGTTTAGAGTTTGGGGTTTAGGGGGTTTAGATTTAGGTTTGAGGAGGGCTTCAGTGGGTGGTTGCAGGTTCTGAGATTCCAGGATGTCTTGGGCCTTTTCGGAGCATACGGGCTGTCAGAGCTTCTACGGATAGAAGTTGCCAGCGCGTACTATCAACGTCTGCATCACCAGCATTTAACGCTCAGACCCGAAAGCCCGAACGTACCCTTTTGGATACCGTTACAGATGGTTTCCACAGGATGAATTCAGGGGATGGGTAGTAAGTGGATATCGCATAACGGCATGAGCTCTATGGCCTAGTATCAGAACAGTTTGTACGTGACGACATCACCTTAGTGTCTCATCTCCTGGGCTTTAGCAGTACTACCTCATCGATTGCTCCTTAAGGTGAGGTGTTTCTGTGTGTTCAGCACTTCTTTCAAGGGATGCCGAGGTGTTGGACAGTTTCGGATGCAAAATTCTCGCAGAAGAGATCGGATCTGAAGCGTGTTGTCCGAAGGTGATGCACTGAGTGCTGCTCAAACACCCTAAGGGTCCATGTACTCATATTGTATACATTGGCCTTAATGTAGTCCCTATATAGGTACTTTGGGGCTCATGTATCTCTATATGGGTACACGGACCCTTAGGGATATCTGTGTTGCATGCCATGCAGTAAGGCGATGTCACTGGCCAAAGCTTCTGCAATTAGTGCGGCATTTCTCGCTGATGGCTGCCCAGAAATGTCAACTAAGAACCTTGCCGGGTCTTCCAGGCGCCGAGTTTTCTGGAGATGGATGAAATTACCTTTTTCACCTTGCGAGGTGAAGTTGCCACTTCTGGCGAGAAACGCCCGTGAAAAGCACATCGTGTATGAGCTCGTCGCCATGATTCTCCCGACCGACATCATCGAACAAATGTAAAGAAGAAGGCGTTTGGCGTTAGCATTTTTGGCCCGTTTGGCTGCAACAGCCTGGAGGAATACGTATTGGCAGGGTGAAGATCAGTTCCTTGCGGCTCGCTTTCCGGATCCTGGCAACTTTCGGCCTTCGAACGATCCTGAGCCCCGAAGCCCCAAACCCGACAAGAACCCTAACTCCCGAAACCCCAAGGGTGCAAGGAATAGTATAATTTCATAAATTAGCCTAAACCCTGAATCCCGAAAACCCGAAAACCTAAAGGGGCCCAAGTCATAGCATAATTCATACTTTGGGGGCCCGAACATCTATTCAGTAGCCACTATATTGGCACCTGAACCCTTTGGCAAAGCCCTAAACCCTAAACCCCCCTAGCACTACCCCAAGGGTCCAAAGGACCCAGTAATTATAGGTACTCGGTTTTAGGATAGTAGTTATGTAGCTTAGGATTTCGGAGAGTATATGATTGTCTGGTACTTGGACCCTCGGGGCTAAAGCCTCAACCCTAGGCCCTAAAGCCCCGAGGCTCGAACGGCCCCAAACCCCAAAACCCCCAGCCCAAAAAACCCTAAAGGCCACAAAACCCGAAGTACCCTAAACCCAAAAAGCACCCTAAAGGCCCCAAAACCCGAAGTACGCTGAAATCGCAGAGCCTTCAGCAACGAACCATCAATCCGAGCCTCATTTCAGGACAAACTGCACCCTAAAAGTGTGCTAATAGCAGTACTAATAAACTTAACATTGATACTAATAGTATTGCTATTAAGACTAATCAGAATGGTATGTAACAAGATGTACCCGAAAATGGTTAATGTTCAGTCCGAGTTTAAGGTTTAGGGCTTAGGATTTTGGGCTTCAGGGCTGAGGGCTGGGGCTTCAAGCTCAGCCACCGTATAGGGATTCATAGTATAAGAGGAAAGGGCCCCTGGTCTAAGAGTTGAGGCTCTTCCTGATGGTTTGTCCCGAAACCGCAGCAGCCCTCCGGACCTGAATGCCGAAGCAGACCCTCAACCATGCCTCTCCCAACTTCTCTTCCATCTGCAACCCTAGATGCTTGCAAGTACCATTCTGAGTGCGAGTTTCCGTATTGTGACTTATACCTGATGATGCACCAAAGCCTAGATTGCCTCCCCCCTGCCAGAACCTACTCTTTTGTGGGACCTCAGTCTTGTGAAGCCCCGGTCATCTCGCCAGAAGCCCAAAGAAGAAGGATCTCTTAGCGAGGCAGCCCCAATGACAAGGGGAGCCCGAGCCTGTCGCCCAAAACCTTAAAGCCCCTAAACCCACAAAGCCCTAAACCCGGAACAAATGATCAATCCGAAGTTCTGAGCCCTGCACCCAGAAACCTCAAAGCAACCGTAGGAGTACCTCGACCTAGATGCAGAGAATGTTCATGGTGCCTTGGGCAGCAAGATTTGAAGGTAAGACACTAGTGTTTAATTTGCGGTTTGGAATTCAGCGCTTTTGCTTGGGATTTGGGGTTGCAGCAAAAAGGTCGGGACAACGAGCAAGGCGACTCCTTTGTCAGGGCTCCCTATCAGAAGTATAGCAAAATAAACCGACAAGTCCCTGTTGTAAATTGGCAAGGCCTCTAGAGAAAAGTTAATATTAGATGGGTTCATAAAACGGTTGGTCCCTCAGCAGTACTCTTTTACCCTTTTCATGTTGGTTCTCTCTCTCTCTCACGTAAAACTGAAGAAGCAAAAGGGCACCCTAGCTGTTTTCGGGGGGAAATTGTGTTCGATTGCGAATATTCACAGTTTGCGACAAGTAGAGCAGAGTTGGGTTTGTCTTAGCCGAAACTGGCGAGGAGCAGGACGTGCCGAGCCTCGTGCCAGGAGTCAAAATGTCTGCAGTTTTGGTCGACCACTGCCGGCCTGGACGGCTGCGAAGCCATTGAGCGCTCCGGCTAAGAGGGGGCCCACCCTAAGGAGCCCACGGAGTCGCGTAAGGGACGACTCCGTGCCGGAAGGAGCCTATCAGGCCTTCCGACGCACTCGCTTGGCGGAGAACCCTGCAGAGCTCTTTCCGGCACCGGAAGACAAGTCAGGTGTACCACAAGGAGGAACCTCCAGGAGAAAATGGGGGGCATCGCCTGACACGGCCAAGGCAAGGGCCCGGGAGAAGATAAGGGACCTCCCTAGGATTTCCGGATCCCATATCCAGTACATCTCTTCAAGGTGTTCAAAAGCAAGGTCTTTCGGAAGTTAAGCTGGGCTGTTGAAGCAATTATAAGCAAGATGCTCTGAAGTTCTGACGTTGCTTCTAAGCCCCTAAACCCTAATACAGAGCTCTTGCGAACAAAGACCTTGGATCTAACATAGTATAAACTAATAAGATCCCCTAAGGAGCAATCAACCACATTTACCAGGCCCCTATGGTAACCCCAAGCCCCTTGGCATAACTGTGCAAAGCTTGCGGGTGGACCCTAAACCCTAAATCCTAAAGCATTATAGATGATTTAACACTTAATTGAAGTTCTCAGAGGCTTTAGGGTTTAGGGTTGGGTAAAGTTGGAACGGTAAAGTATACGCAAGGAATCCCAGCACTAATTAGTCATCCGAAGCCCATGTTCCAACTTTCTGGGGTCCGCTGTAGGAATCAGTCGTATAGCGGCTTAGGGATTCGGGTTGAGAGGTTTGGACGAGTTTAAATCTTCTAAGCCCTCAACCCCTAAACTCTCTCTAAACCCAAATCTAAGGGCTATAAGCTTTAGGGTTTGGGTTTAGAGTTTAGGGTTTAGAGCTTCTAACCCTTAAACCTAAACCCTTAAACCCGAACCCTAAACCCTAAACCCTAATTCAGGCTGGCTGTTGCTCCTCCGTGACACGGCCGAGCTGGTTCTGCTCCAGCCACCACGACAGAATCTGGGCATCCGTGGGGTCTCCCAGATGGATGCAGTAGTCAGGGCTTTTAGGGTTTAGGGTTTAAGGGCTTGATATAGGGGCGGCTTTAATAATTGGACTATTACTGGTTTTGGGGCATATAATATCATAAGTGCAATAAGGAACCCCCAGAATAGTATAGGAATTATTTCTGGGGTCTTAGGATTGTTGGGTAAGGGTTCGGTCAAGGTGGACCTGGAGCTCGTAGCAGACCTTTTGGGGGGTTCAGGGTTAAGGAGTTGACGCCTCGAGGCTTGAAGCAGCTTCAAAACTCTACAACGGCTGAGGGGTTAAAAACGCGGGTGAATTCAAGGTATCGATTAGGACAGTTTGTACTTTCCCTTACTGTTTAAATCGAGCTCTACTTATGACTACGGTTGGGGACTGTTGAGATCGACACCGATTTGGGGGCTCTGGCAGCTTTGAGATTTTCCAAATTACTTGCGCAAACTCCAAACATCCCACAGCTTTAGCCCCAATCCGAGCTTTAGGGTTTCTAGGGTTTAGGATTTATGGTTTCGGGTTCAGGGTGTAGGGTTTAGGCTTTTGTAAGACCTTGACAGAGAGACCGGGCTAAAACTCGAACTACCCTGGACAAAACCTATAGAGACCTTTGCTTCTGCAAGTCGGGTCGAGTTTAAGTATAGGTCCACTGCTTGGATGCTGATCTCTTGCAGGCTTGCATTCTCTGAAAGGGTGAAGGTTGGTTATATGATTGGAAACAACCCACAGTCTCTAGAAATGTCCACCAAAACAACAAACCCTAAGGATGCTGTTGCAACACCCTTGTATCTCTAAGCACTAAACCTTATGCATACGCCCTGGACCCTGAAAGCCTCCGCCAAAAGCCTTTTGACCCTAAGCCCTGCATCCTATACACCCCTAAACTCCCCAAACCCTGAAAAAACGTGAGGGGCCCATAGGAAGAGGCCTAAACCCGCAAAACTGAAAACACGTCTCACACACCCATCGAAAACCGTAAACAGTGTTCCAAACCCTGGAGAAAAGGTTTTAGAAGCCACGAAAAAAACCTATAGCACAAGAAATGATCGAACACATTTCAAAAGCTGATACAGAAAAAGTCAAAATACACAAAAACCCTAAACCCTAAACCCTAAACCCCCAAAACCGTGCAAAAGATTTAAAACCACTAAAATGCCACAAAGTCGCAGGCGTCGAACTCCTGGAGCCCCTTCCAGAGGAAACATTTCGGATGCAGGGGCCATTCGCCAAGGCCCGGGAAACGATTCTAAAAGGGGTTTTAGGGTTTGGGGTGGTTTAGGGCTTAGGGCAGTTTTTTAAATTTAGGGTTTAGGGCGGTTTAGGGGAGTTAGTTTTTGACTAATTAAGGATTCAGGTTAGGGTTCAAGATTTTTTTAGAACAGGGTCTTTAAGGCTTTGAAAGAGGGTTCTTCAGGGGCTCTAATGTGTTAAAGGAGGTTACGGGTTTAGGGTTTAGGGTTAAGGGCTCCTGATGGGGCTTTAGATCATATCGGGCTCTTTTGGGGCCTTTAATGAGGGTTCAGAAGACGGTTCTGCCAGGGTTTAGCATCATCGGGTTCGGTAAGGGTTTTAATAGAATAACTAGGGTTCTTCGAGGGTTCTGCGAGGCTTTGTTAACCGTGGTTTAGAATAGGGTGCTTTCAGGTTTTTCATGCTAAAACCTAAACCCTAAGCCCTTCTTTAGGGGCTAAGGGTGGCCGAGGTCGAAGAAGCGGAAGTTCTTGAAGGAATCAGAGTATATAGGGGGTCTTCTTATTGGCTGTAGACTCAACTTTTCAACTTTTGGGGTTCTCATAAGGTAGTCGAATCTGAAAGCTTCAGCTTTTCTTTCCTTGGGTTTTGGGCCAGTTAGTCCTTAAGCTTGCAGGAGTCCGTAAGGGTCTTGCAGGGTTCTTCATAGTGTAATGCAATCTAGGAACGTGATTAGGAAACCTTGGCCCGATAAGCCCAAAGTATTAGGGTTCAATTTAAAGAACCCTAACAAAGCCCAGGGTTTCTTAATCAGGTTCATATATTTTGAACCCCTAAACACTAAACCCCTGAGCCACTCAACCCCTAAACCCCTAAACCCCAAACTTAACATTACCTGCTGGGCACAGGCTTCAGGGCACTGCCGTTTGGGCAAGCGACTGCTGTTGCTGAACATAGCATACAGAGACGCTAGGGTTTAGGGTTTCCCTGTATCCCCAAACCCTAACTACGAAACAATCGGTTATGTTATGACCCTCTGATTATAGGGCCCAACCCTTAGAACCATAGGTTTTTGGATTCCAAATCAGGGTTATGGGTTAGTTGTTTGGGGTTAGGCTTTTGCACTTTAGTTGCGCTTGAAGGATCTTTTGGATCGATGATTCCAAAGTCGTGAAAGTATAGTGAAGTAATGAGAGGTACTATTCCTTCGGATCATTAGTTACATTATAGTACATTCATCAATGATATTCCTTCGGGTCCTGCATTACGCTATAGTACATTCCCGAAGGGTCCTGACACTTTGGGGAACCTCAAAATGTAGGATTCCTGAAGCCCCAACGAGACCCAAGGGCTCTCCCTAGGAGATTCCGGACCCACCTCAGGAGATACCTGGACCCTTAGGGTAATTATAGTGCAGCAAATAGGGTCCGTTTTGGGATTACCTTATAGGATGACTAAAATATGAACCACAAAAGAAGAACTACTATGACCCTTAGGGTTCATACAACTTCATTTGCGCTCAGGGTTGACCTTTTTTGTTTCTTATTGTCATGCCCGCTGCAAGAAACTGCATCGCAGGTGGAGCTCACCGAGCAGAATGTCCTACAGCTACTTGGCTTAAAGCTTCATGGTCTAGTTTAATTAGGGGTTTAGGGATGTGGGCGTTTGGGTGTTGCGGGTTGAGGGTTTGGTGTTTAGTTAAGCTACCCCTGCGAATCCCCGGTCAAGACAGTAGCACGGATGCCCCCTAGCCGCAAGCCGCAACCCTAAGCAATTGGTTGCTAGACTTCTTTTGTCGAAATGGCGGGTACCTGAAGGACCAAAGGACCCTTAAAAGTAGGGGCCCTATACCCATATACTATGAATCCCTATATGGTACATGAGCCTTAAAACCGTTTAGGGTTCATGTCGTCCTGAAGGAATGAAGATACCGGTTTCAAAACCTCAGAACTCATGCCCCACATGTCCCAATGATCGGTACATGCCTACACGGCAGGGTTGAACTGTTTAGGTTTTGCCAACAGTTTCCACTGGAGTGTTAGTTTCCTACTGTAGTAGGAGAAGGGTAACCTGACGGAGACGCCGATAGAAATCCGCAACATCCTATACGGTGATGAATGCCAGCTGAATCTTCTCTACTCGCTACTCACACCTGTGCACCCCAAACTCGCGCCCGCGATGATGTTTCTTCAGCCACTTTAGCCGCTTCAGCCCTTGAATCTAAGCCCATACAACAGGTCCCGGGTATGGCATGTAGTCAATGTAGGTAGACCTGGCAATAGGGGTACTCCTAGCCTCGGAAGTAGGCTATGCGTGGGGATCCCAACAAGAGGTCATTCAGGACGTATGGGGTTTGAGGTTTATGATCCTCACTCCTACGCAAGGACCTTCCTTCATCTTACCCACTACTCAGGGTCTATCCAGAGATCCAATTGCTTGTGACATTGCTCACAAACACCAAACCGCAGACCCTTCCGGAGTGGTAGAACATCGATACAGGCATCTCCATTCTTGCATCGTTGTCTCCAAAAGTTCGATTGGGGCCCATCTCCACATCCTACCCTCTTCCACCTTTCAGAAGAGATACTATACAGTAATCACATTTATGGTATGCTCATTATGCCGATCGCATAATATTGCATATTAAATTTCACCAACAGAAATGACACTGGCCGTGCTCATCATCGATCATCAGCGTCATCAGCAGCACCATCATCATCATCATCATCACCACCATCGTCAGCAGCAGCAGTCTGCATACTGCACCCACCAGAATTACTGGAAGGACGAAATGTACACCAAAAGGTTCAAGGTTCAGTTCAGTTACAATTCTCACGATCGCGTGGTCCTGAGGTAAATTATGTTAATTATGCCTACACTCTGTCCTTTTTTGGCTACATCATTGGATCCTAAATATCTTATGTGCATGGTTAAAGCAGAGCAAGGAACTACTGTTGATGATATAAATCCTGCATTACCCATAATAGGGGATATACTATAATTCCCATAGTGTAGGGTCCTTAAGGTAATGCAGGATTTATATCATCAACCGTACAACGGTGCCTGGGTTGTAGCCTCAAGGAGCCGAAAAGAACCGGACAGCCCCGAGGTGCTACCCGAAGGAGCCCGCTGCCACTCCCATAGAGCTCCAAATGCCGTGCCTTGAGGTGCGGAGCTCTCCATTTTAGGGTTTTAGGGTTTAGGGCTTTAGGGTTAAGGGTTTCAGGGTTTTAGGGTTTAGGGTTTACAGTAGGAGCCTAAAAGTTGGAACACAATAGCCTCAATCCTTAAGAGTATTGCATAGGGAATCCCAGCACTATTTGGCTTTAATCCGGTTTCCGACTTTCTGGGGCTTACTGTATGTAGGGCTTGAGGTTTTAGATTAGTGGAGGGGCTGAGGGTGTCGGGTTTTACATGGCTTATAAGGAGTCAAGGTTTTCGGTTAGAATTCGGTGGAATACCACATGAAATTAAAGCTGCCAGGCAGCAATCCCTGTAAGATACACTGAAATTGTAGAAGTACATATAAGGTGGGTACTGCCCCCACTCAGTAACAGTTGGAGAATATTCATAATATAGATATATTAGGACCTTAGTAGTAGCCCTAGTATGGACTGTTACTGTATGGGGGCAGTACCCAAACAGAAAGTTTCGAGGGATCTAGATCCCAACGTGGACCGTGCTCCCTCCAGAACACAGTTCCGGTCTGGAGTGTGGGTTGCGATGTGGGAACTTGATATTCTATCCTGAAGGACCGAATGACCCTTAAAAGCAGGGGCCCTATACCCATACACTATGAATCCCTATATGGTATATGCCCTTTTAGGGTTCATTTCGTCCTTAAGGTATGCTGGTGAAGCAGGCAACGGACTGCACGCACTTTATACTGGTGGACTTGAACGTTGGATGTACGGCTACAGTGCTGGAACTATCCCACGAGTGTTCCGACACATTGTGCAAGAACACCTGGGTCGCCAAAGCCTACCTGTTATTTGGCTTGGGGGACGTTCTGGTGGCCGATTCCGAGTTGGCAAAACTGAAGGCAAATTAAGCGCCGATCTGACGATCGACGCGCACATGCATGGGCTCCGTGTGCTGAGAAACTGAGTGATTGATCGACTGACTGCTTCATCTGCTTCACTTGCTACAGTGAGAAACCCCCTATTAATTATGGGACTCGAAATTTCTTCACAACTGCCTTTACCAGGTTTCTGCACCTCTTTGTTGCAGGGGCTTTGGAGGCAGCTTGCTGCTTCGGAGACATTCGGGGTTTAGAGGCTCAGGACATGCATTCTCTATCGGAATCGGGCGTCGCAACACGGCAGAAGGTATTTTAGGCTTGGCGCGGGAAGAACTTGACTTCTGTGGTCTGGAAGTTTCCAACTTCAGCCCTAAGTCCCAAGCCCACCAATGCTAATTATCTGCTAATCCCAAAGGCTCCATGTACCTTTCTAGTAGATACTTAAGCCCCAAAGTAGTCTCTATATAGGTACTTTAAGGCCTAAGTATATACTATATGGGTACATGGAGCCTTAGGGAATTTGAAGCCCCAAGGCCTTCACTGGCCTGCACTCCCATTCTCAACCCTCAGTACCTCAAGGAACGAGTGACCCTTTTAGGGTATGGCCCGGGAGCCCTATGCTATGAATCCCTGTATGGCTGTACTGCAACCCCAAGGGTCCAAGTACCTAATAATCATATACTTTCCCAAATCCTAACCTACGTAACTACTATCCTAAAACCGAGTACCTGATTATTGGGTCCTTTGGACCCTTGGGGTAAGTGAAGGCCCAGTATTTTAGTTGCTCTTAGAGGTTTTCAGAGTCACACCGTGTATCTGTTCATAATATGTCTACTTACTTCAAGATTTCTGACACAACTGGGCTTAGCAATGGAAGAGAACCCAAAGGGCCCTAAGTTCCCATATAGTGCAATGTAGAGTTTCAAGAATACGAAATAGCATTCTGATTAGGGAAAGTATCCCCCAGAACACTACCTGGGACCCATTTCGGGAAACCTCTTTCCCAGACCCCCGGGAGGATCCAGCAGGTAGATCCCCAAATTTGGGGCTCTATACTACTAAGGGTAGTTTTTAGGAACCCCCATTAAGGGATCTACTTTCTGGATCGGTCTGGGTTCTGGGTACAGGCCATCCTAAACCTGGGGACGTTGGTTTGGTCATCTGTGACTCCGAGGCGGGCGTCGCCGCCTTCGGCTTGGCCAGTGAGAACGTAAGCTGATGCTGAGGGCCCTCCGAAGCGTGCTTCGCGTCTTGCGAAGAAGAAATATAGTATGAGGCAGCACCATGTAGAAGTAGGGGCAGAAGTAACAGTAGCAGCAGCATGACGGAGAGTAGGAGTTCAAGAGGGTTTCGCGGAAATGAGGGCTTGAAAAAGAAGAAGCAGAGGTTGCTTCAAATGCTCGGCTTAGGGAATAGCGTGCATGTTGTCCTGACGAAAACGGTAGCATGATGTGGGATATGTGGCTGGTTGTTGCGCAGACTTCCGCTCGGACCCTAAAGTAGCCAAACAGGGAAGATCTGCACTATGTCACAGCCGGAGCCTTGTCCTGGAAAGCCAGTGTGCAAAGTAATAACCATCAGTTAAGCTATCTTTCAATTGAACGTTGAAGCCTCATAGTTTGCACCGTGTACAGTCTGCTTTACCCCGAACCGGACTCTGTTGAGCAGATTAAGTTGGGATCCCTACATCTTCAGTTTGCTTCGAAGAGCTGATAGCCCCTTTGAACTTGATGGGGGGCGTTTTTTCCAGCAAGGGCTTGAAAAGCCAGTGCTGGTTGCTCTGGCGGAGGTTGAAGGTGTAGGCTTTTCAGATGTCGATACGGGGCTTGCGAGCCGTCGTTCTACGGCTGATGATATAGAACCTGCAGTACCCGCAATAAAATAATGAAGAAATATACCATTATTCCCATAGTCTAAGGTCCTTAAGATAATGCAGGATGTAAATCATAATCCTGAAACCCTATATAGATCCTGTAAAGGAACCCCTTAAAGGTACCGTTATAGATCCCTTTCAAGGAACCCCAGGATTTAAATCATTAATCATCAACAGTAGTTTCGAGTCGGGACTAGAGTTCATCTCCCGAAGCGACTAAGCCTAAGCTGTGTAGGGGGGGTTCCAAATTCCAAACCCCTATGTAAAGTAACTAATAAACTTTTTAGCCCCAAGGTCTATAGGGTCTCTTAGCCTTCGACAGGCACAAAACCACTAGAGCCCCCAAATAAGCGCGCAGCTCCGAACTCCGAACCCTAAAGCCCCATATACGGCTCACCGTAAAGCCCAATCTCGAATCCATATAAACGCTGAACCCCTAAATCCCTACAACCCTATACCCTTAAACCCTAAACCCCTAAACCTTAAACCCTAAACCCTAAAACCCTAAACCCCAAACCCTAAACCCCTAAACCTTCAACGGCGGCCAGAAGCGGTACATTCAACAGGGCCTCACCGAGGCAAAGGCCTCAGGCAAGCCTGATTTTTACGAGGCTCGCGTGCTCTCCTGGCGGGTTTTTTGCTTTGATACAGGGCCTAGGATAGGGCTGGAATAGCTTCAACAGGGCTTCGGAGGTATACTAGGCTATAGCGTTGCAGTGGCAGGAAGGATCTGAAATAAGGGATGCATTCTTAAGGGGGGCCTGCTTTATGGGGTTGTGTGTTTCTTTTGGGTGTCTACGGTTTTGGAGTCAATTCCTTGTAGATGCGCTTAAGTCTTGGGCTGGTCCGGTTTGCAGCTGATTCAGGGGGGTGGGGGTGTACTATCCTCCTATTGTTCCTGTATCGGTGTGAGACCCCAGACCCTAAACCCTAAGCCTTAAGCCCTCAAGCCGAGACTGTAAAGGTCACGGCTTGAGGGGTGCGGATCCGGTAGGCAAAGAAACGAGCGAGAAGACGCACCGGAAGGATGTCCGTAGAGACATTCCTTCTGTTTGAAGCCTCGCCGCGAAGTACGTTTTTTTTGTTTTCGAATGCGGACATTTCCAGGTGGGTTGACAAACGGCAGGCTGGGAACCTAGAAATTATCCTTATAGTAGCTGAGTGGATACACTTTACACTTTTCGGGATAATATTAGCCACTATAAAACTGAAAGTGTAGACTTTTTGGGGGGGGCTAAGGAACTCGCAACTAAGTATCTATTATTGAGCCAGCACATCCCCTTGTTGTCCTTGGTTATGTTATCAATACAAAGCCCCTCAAGACATTCTTTTAGGTATCAGTGTTACTATGGTTACTACAGCGTGCCTCAACACTCTTGTTCTAATCACTCAGGCTCCTTCATGAAATAACAAAAACCCAAACGGACGCTTGAAAGCCCTACTTTGTTTGATTGATAAGACCCCTGTGCTGCGACCATGCAGCACCCTTGCAAGACCACCTGATCCCATGAGCAATACTTTAGCAACGATTACACCCCACGGCCTACAAAGCCCAGCTGCAACTGTCCTAGGTCTGTGACCTCAGGTGCCCCAAATTCATAGGCTGACGTCGCTGCAGTCCGGAACTGAACTCAGATGTACCACGGCTTTTACAATTTGGGGCCATGTAGGGTAGAGGGCTCAAGGAAGTTTATGTAAGGTTCGTAGGGTTGAGGCTTGTGGGCTGAACCGTTGTACATACATTGCAGTTGTGGTGTAGGTTTGAGGGGTACTCAACTCAAAGGTGGCTACCATGTATTTCCGCAATAACTGCCCTGACAGGTTTCTGATAAATCGCCACGAGGATTGCATTTCTTGCAACGGCACCTGCGCTGCTTCTTCGCAGCGGTAATTGCTGTAAGAGTAGTGGAGGCAAGCAAGAAATCGCCGTCATCATCGCAGAGGCAGTTATGAAAGACTCGTTCTCCCTGTTGTCTATCTACCGATCTACCATATCTGTCTATGTAGCTGTCTAACAACCGTTCTGCCTATCAGTCTATCCGTCTATCCATCTAACTACCTATCCACATACCTATCTATCAATCCGTCTGCCCATCTTTCTTTCTGCCTATTGTTTTACTTCTCCTGTGTCACCTGAACCAGGCCTCCCAGTGGGCCCTTTTTCCCTTTTTGTAGTCCCCAGGTTCCCTATACGGTTACCCAATACCAAAAAGGGAGCCCTTTTTATTCCTAGGTTACTGGGCATCCTAGTGACACATCATACCACAAACAAAAGTCCGAGACCCGGAGGCAGAGCCTGGGTTTGGGGTTCAGGGTTTAAAGTTTATAGGGGCGAGATAGTTTCGACTTAGGGGTTACTGGTTTTAGGGTTTAGCATTGAAGGGTTAGGGTTTAGTATTCAGGGCTTGAGGGTCTGGGGTTTAGCGTTTGGGATTTAGGGGTTTAGGACTACAGCTCAGGACCAAAGACTCTTGAAAGGTAGGGCCCCTAGATCCTGATATGAATCTGAGTCCCTGTACGGTAGTCACACCTCACACTCTGTAGGGCACAACCAGTGAGTACTGTACCGGACTGCTCGTCACAATCGAGTTGGTGAGGATGAACTCCAGAAGAGCTGCGTCACACGTGGCTGAACAGCATTCTGGACTGGCCCGCCGTGCGGCCTGCAGAAGACTGTACCTCGTACCTGGACCCTAAGGAACCTAACCTACCTTTTCAGGGTTCCCTAATATGATTTCTTTATATATGTCCTGAAGAAGGTATATAGGTTATTTGGGTTTAAGGTATACACGCCTGGCTAGTTACCAATAGCAGTCCATTAGGGTTACTCATCAGCAAACCCAAGGGTTCCAAGCTGCTCCAAATATTTAGGTCCCTGTTCTCAAATCCAGCTCAAACCCTGCATCCCAGGTCTTCAAATATAAGACTCCACACAGATAACAGTGTTTAGGGTTGTGAGTTTAGGGTACTATAGGGCCTGAGTAATTACCAATACTATTTATGGGGTTCCTTATCACAATTAATAATTGGCCCTAAAAAACGATTCTATTTCTTAAGGCCCCTACATTATAGTATCCTTGTAGATCCCGTATAGTAACCCTTATAAACCCCTTTGAAGGAACCCTTTTCTAAATATAAACATACGTTCTGCGCAGTTTCACATTCACACTTCGTCCACCTCAGGCCCAAAGCACGTCCTTAGGCAATCGAGAGATCCTTCCTGTGACCTCAGGGTTTAGGATTCAGGGTTCAGGGCCAAGTTTCGGGTTTCAGGGTTTAAGGGTTAAGATTTGTTTTTGTTTAGGGGGCTTATTGCGGTTCGAGTGTTCTGGGTTCACAGTATTTCTGTCAATGAAAACGGGGCTTTGCAGATTTTGGGTTAACGGTTAGAGCTTCTTATGCCCCTCTTGCGGGACGCAGCCATGTGAAGCCTATAGTTACGGCGCAAGAGCCTGCCTACACCAAGGGAGAGAGTTTCAACTGCACCACAGATCCTTAAACCCCTAGATGGCGCTAAAGAGTACACCCACAAAGTTTAGGATTCAGAGATCCGCATGGCGGGTCGGGGCATGCACACGTCATGCCACAAGGTGGGCCGTATGTGCTCGAGCTCCATCGTCGCAAGCACGAAAATCTGATACTATAGGAGTCGGAATACTTACTAATAGTATCCCCTTATGGTTCCTGTATATGTATCTGATTACGGACCCCAAAGACCGATGATAATGATCAAGCTTCCAGATGTGATGCCAATCCCCTGTGCAATCCTGGAGTTCGTATGCCTTGAGCACATGGGCTGGCGATGTTGGATAAAGCCGATCTGGCCGTTGTGTCAGGAAGCTAGCAAAATGCTCTGCGTGGGGATCTGGGCTGATATAAATCCTGCATTACCTTAAGGACCCTAAGCTATGGGAAATATGGTATGTTGCCTATTATGGGTAATGCAGGATTTATATCATCAACAGTAGGGACTCTAAACCCTAAAGCCTGAACTGTAACACTTCGGAGTTTCAGGATTCGTTTAGGCGCTTCGGGTGTCAATCTAGATATATAAAAATCCTTGCAAGCTCAACCGTCAACACAGCTCTGGTGAGGTAATAACAAGACTAATATTCCAGTCATGTGTCGACAGTTACACTATATTCCAGCGGTAGTATACCCAAAAGCGGTGTTCTAACTGTTGAGGCCCCTTGATCATGGAACCCTGATGGAATCCGTCTAAAAAGCGCATTAGAACCCTTTACGACGCCCTTACAGGAACCCCTATTCGATTTAAGAAGGCCTCTAAACTCTGAAGCCTGAACCTTAGCCTTGTCGTAACTGTTCTAAAGCCCTAAACCATAAACCTTGAACCCAAACACTGGTAGGCAAAGGGCCTTAAGTACCTATAGAGTCGAATGTGGGTTTCTACAGTCGAAACTACCACTATGATTTTGGGAAGTATCCCGAATAACGCTGCTTCGGACATTTGTTTGGTTTTGCGGCTCTCCTTTGTCTTGAAATCCTAGACCCCTAAAGTCTAAAGCCCTAAACCCTAATAAACCCTATTCTGCGCACCCTATACTAGGGCTCCTGTATGAACGCCGTATGTGGTGAGCACCACAAAGGGCCGGCCTTGACTCAGCATGGGGTTTTCGGGTCTACCTTAACCTAGCAGAACCTACTTTTTGTAGGGTCCCTATAAATCCCATATTAGGGTTTATAACAAGAGCCTACAAAAAAAGTAGGGTTTAGTAGGTCTAGGTAGGGCTCAGGGTTTCTAGGGTTTAGGAGTTCGGGCTTAGGGTCTACAGTGGGTTCAGGGTTTGGGGTCTACGGCGTGGGCTGGGTCTAGGGCCTTGAAACCCGCCGTCATCACCTCAACGCCCCCTTGCCCTCCAGATGATCTGTCACCCCTAACTCCAGGAATATACTATACCTTGGGTACTGCCCCCACTCAGTAACAGTTGGATAATATAGCCGTAATATAGTTATATTAGGCCCTCTATAGTAGCCCGTACCCCCAATCTACCAACAAACTGCTCAAAGGTTCAAGCAGCAAACGTTCACGGGTCGATCGATTGTAGTTCCTGTTCGTCCAGCGATTTCAATCTTTGTGTTTTGCAGGAGGTTACCTTAAGGACGAAATGAACCCTAAAAGGGGCTAAGGTTCATACCATATAGTGGTTCATAGTATATGGGCACAGGGCCCCTTCTTTTAAGGGTCATTGGGTCCTTGAGGTAAGCACAATGCAGACAATCCAAGAGCTTCGTGACGGTCTATGTCTACTAACTAATCGTCCATACTTTTAGTAGCTCCTTCTTGAGGTTAAATATACCCCTACCGTAATTGAACATTTTAGCATTTTTTGAGCTAGGGTACCCAGCCCCTAAGTACATATGCCCCCCCCCCCCCCCGAACAAATCAAGAAACTTCACTTTTGTGGTACCCTGTAGTATGCAGTGATTTATGGAGCATCCAGGCATGGGATCTTCGCGAGTTTCAAGACGAAGGGTTCCGAGTTCTCGGGGTTATAGGAGTACCTAATCATTAGGGGTTAGGGGTTTCAGGGTTTAGGGCCGTTTGGGGTTTAGGGAGTGGGTCTCGAGGCTTAGAGTAGAAGTTTGGTCTCTGCTGCATCTCAGCTCAATCCGTTTTATTTTATCTGTGGGATCCGCGCGCTGCGATGCTGGGTTAATGGCGCACAGGACGCGGCTTCGTGAGCATCAGGGGTCCAGTTCCTGGTTCGTATTCCTGCAGGGTCGTATGCACTTACGTTGTACACAGCAGAGCCTCTACAATCTCAGACCCTGAACCCTAAATCGAATTGTGCAAGGTTAGGGCTCTAAAGTTGGCAAGGCGAATTCCAGACTTTATGCTTTGAACCTGCAAAGACCGGTCCCAAATATGAGCTTGTAATCAATCAAGGATCACGGCTACTATACATGTTTTCGGCCTACTGAGTATACCTATAGTCTCCATTGTAGTTCCTGTTTTGGTTAACCAAAATCTGTATTATAGGGTCCTAACCATAAAACTGGTTAACCAAAAAACGAACTACAATGGAGACTATAGGTAGCTGCTGTCACTGTAGTAGAATAGCGCCCAGCGCCCTCTTCTATTTATCAAGGCCCCTTCATTAAGTTAGAGGCATTTTGCCCCTTCCTTGGTGTATGGCACCATCCAGCTGCGGGCCCCCGTCCTAAGACAGTCCACCCTGAGAGGGTTTAGGGTGTAGGGTTTCAGGGTTTAGGGTTCAGGGTTTAATCCCGATGCTGTGATATCTATCTTAAGATCCCAACCTGAGCTTCTACCATCCTAGGAACAAGTCTTACCAACCTGCGTGGGCCATACCACTAACAGCCCTTTCTCCCTTTCTTGAAAGAGCACCGGGATCGCTGTATCTTCAGCTTTGGAATAGGCCGTGTTGTTTCGAGCTTGCACGGGCGGAGCATGAGAACTCGTCCTTATAGTACAACTGTTAGCCAATGGTCGTCGTATACACCTAAACGTGCAAGGAGTTATACGGTGTCGTCGTAGTAGTATGTGAGCTTCTAAAGCCTTTCAGAACCCATGAAGCCCCAATACAGCCATTACAAAGCCTCATTGAGGCTGTACGGTGTGTTGGTATGCTCTATATCCTCAACTCAACCCTAATCATGTATGAGTAGTTCATCAAATCAGGGTCCCTTTGGCACCGCCTCATTTTGGGGGTCATATAAGAAGGGATCCTAATATTGTAGAGAACGACCCATACATGAGCTTCAACAGCAAGAACCACTAAACTTCATTTAACCCCAAAACCCCTGAGCCCCTGAACCCCTAAACCCCTAAATCCCTGCACCCCTAAACCCCTTAACCCCTTAACCCGTAAACCCCCGAACCCCTGAACCCTAACTAAACCCCTAAACCCTACCTGAATCCCTAAACCCCTAAATCCCTAAACCGTGCTGAACCCCTAAACCCTAAACCCTTCCACCGTTTCTGACCGAGAGCCAGGAGCCCGTCTGAGGCCAATGCTTGAGTTTAGGGCTTGTAGGGGTTTATAGTAGATTGGAACATGGATTTAGGAGGATTCATGCTGGGATCCCTTATACTTTACCCTAAGGGCATGGGGATAATGATGTTCCAACTTTCTGGCTTCTACTGTAGGAGGTTTGACAGGGGTTTAGGGGGTTTGAGGGGGGTTTAGATGCTTCGGGGTTTTTAGGACTTTTAAGGGACTTTGTGTTTGGGGGGGTTAGGATTTAGGGCTTCAGGGCTGTAGGGTTGAGAGTCTTTGGGTGTGTGGGGTTTGGGGTCTAGAGTCTGGGGATGAGGAGTTAGTGTCAGGGTTCAGGTTGCTTCAGTTGAGAGGTTTGTCGAGGGATCCTCATACAAGCCATAGCATGTCTTGGGTCCCTTGTTTTTCTGATAGCATTGTAGTATATTATCCCGTGAAGCTGTGACATAAATCTCCCTGTTCAGACGTGGCCCAGTGGCGGAAGTAGGAAATATGCAACGGGTGTGCGCGATATCCGTACGGTATGCGCGGCCAGGGCCAAACAGGTGCGGGGGCCGTCCGGCTCTGCGATCTGGCGTATTGCTCCCACGCCGTGGTCCGAGGTCATACTGGAGGGTGAATGCCTGTTTGGCACCTCTCTGTTTTGTTCGCGAACCCTACCGTGCCCAGAGCGGATTCGACGCGCTTGAGTCCAGAGATTCGTCTTGTTCGACGCTTTGATGAAGATCTTGTCCGACGCCTTCAACTACCCGGGGCTTCCGTTTCCGAGGACTTGAAGCCAATTACGACGGAACATGAGTGGCCGCTTTGCCAACATCCCAGGCTTCGCTTTAGGGTTGTAGGTTTTAGCAACAAGGGTATGTGTGTGTGTGTGTCATCTAGGAGTTCCTGCGGAATGTGTTCATCTCCGGCATTGCCACCTCAACGACTTATAGGTCTCACCTATGCCGCAATCATACGCCCCAAGCTAAACGCTCCAGAGACTGCCATGCCCTGCATGAAGGAATCCACTGCAACTAAACCACGAGAAACGAGCTTCCATGTGACGTGAAAGCTAATTACAACTTCGAATAGTTGCCCCATCTAGAATCACATACACAGCCTGTAGACCCCACTACAGATCCCTCGATATAGGGGGCGTATTGATTGCAGTTGTTTCATCAGGGTTCTTTAAAGGGCTCTCAAGAGTCTCTCATTGGGTGTTATCATTTTGATAGGGCCGTTAATGTTTCTGAATAGGGTGTTATAATATGAGGTTCTGGCAAGGGTTCCACAAGAATTTGCAGTAGTTTGGAACAGGGCTTGTGATCCGGGCCTTAATCAATGATTGGAAACGTGCTTGGAGCGTATATCACAGTAGAACGAGTATACTACTACTACGTGATGCTGCAGGCTCCTATTTGTTATTATATGTGCAGTATGACTGGGGTTGTATTATGTGGGCGCTAGTAAGAGAGAGCTACTTCATACAAAGTTTCTGACTATACTGCAGAAATATCCGAAAGCTCGAAGCACCGAACCCATTTTCGAATTGTTCGGAGGATCTCACGGAAGGTTACGAAAAATGCCACACAGCCCAAAGACATAAATCAATTTCCCCACAGGCGACCTTATGGAGTAGTAGGATCCCTTAATCCCCATATACCCCTTAAAGCTCGTGAACCCTATGATATGATCCCAAAAAGCCCTGCAAGCCCTTCACCCTATCGACATTGCGCAGAACCTATGATCCCGAGAAGCCCTACTTATCATCTTAGTAGCTGAGTGGATAAGTGGATACACTTTACACTTTTTGGGCTTTTTGGGAGAATATTACCCACTATAAAACTGAAACTGTACACTTTGGGGGGGGGGGGCTTATGAACTCGGCAACTAGGCCATCCCTTGAAGCCCTAAGCCTGCCGAAAGACAGGCCAAACACAGCCAAGGCCTGATTCTGGGAGTCAGAGATCTGCTTGAAAGGTGTACCTGTATCTCCAAACCCTACAAAATAGTAGTAGGCTATGATCCTCTCATTATAGGGTCTAACCCCTAAAGCAGTAGGTTGTTGGATCCCCAGGTACGTTCAGGGATCAGACGGCTGGTTGTGGGGTTGCTAAACTGAGTTCTAGGATTTGGAGTGGTTACTGTTTGCTTTTTTTTGTGTGGGGACTTTTGCTTTTCTGTCTGTCGGCGTGGCTGTTCGAGTTGGTGGTTTGGTGTCGGTGTTAGAGGGAGGGAGGTGGGGGTGATTGAGGATTTTGGGCATTGGGTTAGGGCTTTTGGGGTGAATGGGTCACAACCGTTCACTTGTAACCATGCTGTTAGCATGCTTGCGAGATAGGGCATGGTATTGCGGATGGAACATGGATTTGCCCATCCTAAACCGTAAAACCGAAACCGAAATCCTCAAGCAGCTCTATAAGCCCTTCGAGTCTGATCAACCGTTCTAGAGCTTTTGCACTACAAACATTGCCTAGAGAGCTCGTTAAGCAAACCATCAACAGTATGGGAGGACTCTCCTTTGGTTTGTACTATTTCACTAAACCTTGCAAGACGATATGTACCTTGAAAGGATTAAAGGTTCAGTTCCAATGTAGAGGTAGAAGGTTTTAGGGCCCCCGCTGTTAAGAGTCATTTCGTCCTCAGGGAACCCTCAGACCCCACTGTATACCTTCATGCAGGTGCACTCATGCCAAGTCCTTCGACGCAGGAAGGCGGCGCGGAACATTCCCGAACTTTTCTGCACATCGATTTTTGTTGTTGTTTGTGTGTTTTGGGGCATGTAGGGGTTTCCAGGTTGTTGAAGGAGTCAGGGGTCAGAGTTTCCTGGTCCGGGATTTAGGTCTCAGATCTTGATGGGTCCGAGCTTAGACTTTCAGTGTTGAGGACGGCCGGGGGTGGATGGCTTGGGGTGTAGAGCTTTAAGCTTTAGCGTTTGGGGTTGAGGACCAGGGCTAGGGGCTGGCGAGTGTGGATCCCCTGTGGTCCGGACCGCACGTGCTAGAGGTTGGGAATATGAAGGGTCTTCGTGTTGCAACTCGGAACACAAGGGTCTTGGGTTGAAGGCATGTTTGTGTTTTTTTTTAATATTGGGCTTTTGTGGAGTGTATGTCGGGGTCGTCTTGTATTTTGCTTGTCGTATACTTGGGGTTTTATTTGACGGGGTATACTTGCTTGTACAGGGTTACATAAACCGCTTTCGTGTCAATCAAGCTTCTTCTCCCTCGTGCTTACGAAGGAATGGGGGAATGGATCCCTATAGTTTTCCCTATACAAGCCCCAATAGTCCCTATAATCCATTGCCCCATTCGCTACTAAACACCAGACAGTCGTCTGCTGTGCCCATGGTATACGGGAGCCTCGGTTATCTGCAAGCTGGGCTTCTCACAGTCCGTTCGTGATTCTGCTGCCCGGATTTCCCGGATGCCTCCTCTTTTGAAACTCCGATACAATACCTTTACAAAGTGCGACCCTATACATACCTAGCGCAATATGCTCTACGCAATTCCCTAGAAAAATTGGTGTTCGGCGGTAGTAGCAACTTCGAGATACGGTTGATGATATAAATCCTGCATTACCCATAATACGGAATATATTATTATTCCATGGTTCTCTCTCCCCTGGCGTGCGCAAGGCCTGAAGCGCCAGGCCAGCTGTGCCGAGTTCCTTTCTTTCGGATCGAGTAGTTGTCAAAGTTATGGTCCCTTCTTGGGTACCCTAAATATTAGGTGCCGTATCATATTTGGAACCCAAGAGGGCCCATAATTTTGACAACCACCCGGATAGATTTAAGAGCTTTGGGTTGGCCCTGAAACGCTACAAACTTCAAGTTATGGTCGACGCGCATAGATTTCATTAAGGTTGGGGCTAGGGGGTTGAGGGTTTGCGGTTGAGGGGTTGTAGATTTGTAGGGGGTTAGGTTTAAAGCGGAAGCCAGACAATTGGAATGGAATAGCATTATCCTCATGCCTTACAAGAATCGTCGCAAGATTCCTTCCATACGGACGAAACGTTTCCCAAAGTTTTTAAGTTTCAAGTGGTAAACCTGACATGTTGCACTCTAGGTTCTGAATCCCACCTTCTGGACCCTAAACCCATGTATCCCAAAACCTTGTTCTAGCTCTTAAGGCCTTGAGAGTGGAGCCCCAAATCCCGTATAGAAAGACAACTAAGGGGTCCCTAAACCCTAAACCCGGTACCTTTGAGGGCTCCTGTAAGGGTGCCTTCAAGGGCTACCTAATGGGCTCCTTTAAAGGAGCCCTCCACCCCAAAAGACGGAATTGGGGCTGAAGCCCCCCCCCACAAAGAGTTGGGGAGTTTTTAGATAGACGGTAGGGTTGAGGGTGGGGGGGGCGGGCTGGATTTCTTACATGTGTCCTTTTACAAGTTGACAAATGTTTAGGATACTTAAGGTGGGCATGTTGAGGGCCGCTTGGGGTTTACGTACCTTAAACTACCATAGCACTGTTTTGTTTTTATGTGTGAGAGCTCTTTATTATAGGGCCCTAACATGGGTTTGATCCTACAAGACGTTTGTTTTGGTCACATCAGGGCCTCCATGATTTGAATCGGATTCCTTCGGGTTCCTTATTATCCACATAATTACAAAATATACCATTACTGCCATAGTTTACCGTCCTAAACCCTAAACTGGCCCTAAACCCTATAACACCTAAACCCTAACGCCTAAACCCGACACCCTAAATCCCAAACCAATAGTAGGCTAAGGTGGGGTTCAAGTTGCATCTTGGAGGGTCGGAGGGCTACTGTACGGGCTTTAATAATTGGAATAGGGTTTTTCACAAGGGGTCCTTAAAGGGGCTGCTATAAGGGATACCACAGTAGGGTTCTATAATATGGGGACTTTAAGAAAACCCTATTCTAATTATTAAGGCCCCTACGTTAGAAACCGAGAGCCCCACTATAGATCCCTTATCGAGCCCTTTAAGGACCCCTTCAAAACCCCTATTCTAACTATTAAGTCCCCTATAGTACCTCCACGGAAGGCGATGCAAGCGCGCTCCTACCTGGAGCGACATGAGCTGCTAAATTGGATGCAGGAGCTTAGAGGGTTTAGGGAAATCGGTTTCGGGTTTAGGGAAAAGGGTTTAGGGTTTAGGGAAAAATAGTTCAGGGAAGAGGGTTTAGGGTTTAGGGAAAAGGGTCTAGGTTTTAGGGACAAGGGTTTAGGGTTTGAGGTTCAGGTTCAGGGGGTGCTGATAGGGTAAGGGGTTGTTCAGGATTCGGGCTTTTCGCAGATCAGGGGTTTACAGCAAACCCAAAGTTGCGGCCTTCAATCCTAGATTCTAGATGCGAGTTACGGATGAATGAATGAATGTGTTGATGGATGTTTGTATGTATGTGTATGTAATTATGCATTTATGTGTATGCGTATGTATGTGTTTTGCGCTTGTAGTGTTGTGCGTGTTGTTGCACGTTTGTATGTGTGTGTATGTCAATGTATGTATATGCAGATCTCCGCGTGTGCGCATGCATGTACGCACGCATGTGCGGATGCATGTACGCATGCACGTATGTAGTTGGAACTATGTACACATAACACAAAACAATCTGATGTTTTAGGTTTGGTTTCAAGTTCACCGCGTGCACGAAGTCAGTGTTGCAACCTTTAAGGTTTCAGGATGCGGGACGACGCATTTTCGGTGCCGGACCCAAACGGGGTTGAATGTTCAGGGTCCAGGGTCCATATGGGTTTAAGAATGGCCAAGATGTTATAGGAATCTAAGATTTTGGGGTCTTATCGGGATTCATGTAGCGCTTATGTAGGGGTTTATAACCGGTCTTGGGAGTGACATAGGTACGGTTAGCTTTCAAGCTCCAAAACCCTACAAGACAAGCACCCGAGAACTCTTCTGCCCAGGACGTCCTCCAGAATCTGTTGAAAGATCAACCAGGTCGGCGAAACCCGGGAAAATTGACAGAAAGCTCGTTGTCTAGGGTTCGGGGTTTTCGAGTTTTAGGGTTTCGGGCTTTAGGGTTTAGGGGCTTTAAAGGGTCCTTTGAGGTCGGCGAAAGCCGGAAGCCCGTTCCGTCTTATTGAGGTCTAAACCCTGAGCCCCGACACTTTAGATAATTCAGGTGCACCCTTAACCGTAACCTGAAGATTCGACCACCATCACTAAGCCCTGAGCCAATCGGGCCCTGAGCAAGGGATTATTGGCAAAGGCTCAACGGTTTTGTGGACAGGTAAAGATTGAATTATTGCCAATGTTATATATATATATATATATATATGTTTGTTTTTTTTGTTGGGGGGGGGGGGCTCTTTAGAAAAAGTATGCGATAAACACCAGAACAGGTGGGTGTTTCGGAAGAATCGGCTGCTGTCGTCCGCGGAAATTAGGGCGTAGGACCGTGAAGGTTCAGGGTTAGGGGCGAGCCTTTTTTCGTAGGGTCTCTTGCAAAGAGGAAGTTCCCTTGAAGCCCAAGAGTCCATTTGCCAAGCATCATCTGCTCCTCAAAATGCGAACCTACAATGATTCTATGCTGAAAGCATTGATACAACTATCAAGCAAACACGTTAACCATACCTGTTGAAGGCCTTTCAACCTCGCGAACCTTATAAGACTCTAAACCCGAAACTCGGAACCTCATAATACCCCACCCTCAACCCCAAACCTGCACCCTAAACTTAGGGCAGACCCAAAACCCTACAACCTCAAACCCCAAATTACCTTACCCGAAAGCCCAAACCTAAACCCCAAACCCCCAAACCCATAATTCCCTAAACCGAACCTCAAAGCCAAATGGGTGGTTGTCAAAATTAGGGTCCTTATTATAATACGGCACCTAATATTTAGGGTACACCAAAAGGGACCCTAATGTTGACAACCACCCAAATCCTAAACTTGGGGGAATCTCGATTTCTCGCAGATGATCCTTGGACCTTCATCGAGGCAAGTGTGCAGAAGAGGCGCAGAGGGCCATTTCCTGGCCACGTTTGAATGTTGCTATCCAGGGTTAGGCTTCTAAAGGGATGTTGAACTTGTAACGCCTTTTAATGTCTTAAGGGCTTAATTATCGGGCATTGGCGTAAGGCGGTTTTAAGGTGGTATGAGTCCTGTGTGGCTTTCAGACGGATGTTAGGGGTGCAGTGTTTGGCAGATTAGTTCCGCTGATTTGATGTGTTCAACATTTCCGGGATTCTGTTTGCAGCATGGGTTCGGCCACTAAGATTTGCGAAATCGTGGGCCGACAAGAGAAGCTGTACAGGTTTAGAAAATAGATCTTGTGTGCTGGTTTTTGGTAGGCTGTTACCCTAAGGGTCCAGGTAGCCATCTAGTATATTAATACACTTTGGCCCAATGGACCTATGTAGGGAGTACTTCAAGGCCAATGTATATACTGTTTGGGTACATGGACCCTGAGGGTTCGGGTGTAGGTAGGGATTCACAGGTTTCGCACCTTTGGATCTTGGTTCTGGAAGTCATCCCCTTGTGTTTTGAATGTCACAGAAAGAGCCCACCGTACCCAATCATTAGTTAGATACTCAGGTTCGAGATAGCAAAGTTGTGACTAGTGTTTTTTGGAACCTATGTTTAGCCACTTGATTCCTTAGGGTACTGCAGACTGCAAGGTTTGGAGGTTTAGGTCGAAAGGGATTCAGGCGAGCACAAGCTTTAAGGACGACCTTGCATGGAAGCCCGTTGTCTAGCTGTTGTTGCCTTTGGTCCTAATGCCTCGCATTTCAGGAACCTGCCATGACCCCAAAACTCCTAGCACATGTTTCCCGATGCAAAGCATGGGACCTTGTACAAGTCCCTGCAACCTGCTTGGCGCGAGCTCATCTAAGCCTGTAAACTACCTGAATCGTCAATTCCTAATATTGCTTCAAGCCTAAATAGATACCGAATACCCAATTTTAGTCCTTCTCTGTTATCCCAAAATTGCTTAAAGCCTCTGTAAATAAATACCGGATACCCAATTTCAGCCCTTCTCTGTTATCCCGCTTCGAATAAGTGAGGCGCCCTTTCTTATTGAACCTGCAGCCCTGACTACCAAGTTTCAGCCCTGATGCCGTGCATGCTACGAGATGGACGTAAAGGGAACTCCAGAAAGTTGGAATATGCATTAATGGTAGGATCCCCTATAATTTACCTTAAAGGGGTTACGATAATGATATTCCAACTTTCTGGCTTCTACTGTACTTGCACGAATGATTAGGGTCTTTTTGGGTTAGTATTGGTAATCGTTCAGGCTTGTATGTTACCCCAAGGGTCCAAAGGACACCCAATAATTAGGTACTCGGTTTTCGGATAGTAGTTATGTAGGTTAGGATTTTGGAGAGTATATGATTATTGGGTACTTGGACCCTTGTATGTTACCCTGGGGATCAAAATAGCCCAAAACCCTTGTATAGCATGGTCTTTGGGCCCAAAAGCCTTAATCTATGAGTCCTTAGATCCCTATATGGTATCTTATCCAACCAGCGGCCTTGTGAATCTGTAGCGCTTCAACTCTGAGCTGCTTACCGTAGCTTCTTGTCTAATGCCAGCAGTACCCTCTTTAGACCCCTGCATACAATTGTAATATGATATCATATAATATGCATATATACATGCAGAATATGTACTGCTCATTTGAATATCTACTTGTCCAAAAGCTCGTTTAGAGCAAGCAGAAGACCTTTCGTCTTGCGAAGGTTTGCAGTTTCGGGTTTAGGAATCCTCGAAAGTGGAAATAAGCTGCAAGGAAGGCAACGAAACTTCCGAAGCTGCAGCACGGAGCCGTCCTTCCAGTGGTGCGAACCGACCTGCTGTTTGGGTCTGTTTTGAGCGTTCGGGGTCTCGGCGTTTTTGGGGCTGAAAGGCACCGGTCCCCCGGTATTGCTTTGATTGGCATGCTGGGTGGTTTCATGAGCAGAAACGAAGAGGAAAGAGGGTTCCCTCAGAACCAAGGGGAGGCTTTGAAGCATATGGGCCTACAGTGTGGGATTCAGCAAGGATTTGGGCTTCAGCGGTTTGGGGGTTGTGGAACTTTAAGCATGTTTGCTTTCGGGGTTCAGGGTTGAGGGTTTCGCGAATTTCGGATTGAAGGTTTCTTTTGGTTTAGGGTTTCGGGGTGGAGGCAGGGGTTCGTTCAAGGTTTGTCTTACAGAGCAAAGTAGAGCTTCTAGAAAGATCAGAAACAGGGGCTCCTGTCCGGTATCTACATATGTCCTAAGATGTTCTGCAAGCTGCACCTCCAACATTCGACATCATGCGGGTTTCTAGCACTATGGGTCCAAGTACCTACGTATTAAGCATGGTTAATTCCTTCCCTCTAATATTAAAGCCTCCCCTCCCCAATATTACAACCTCCGGCCCCATGAGTTTTGCGGTTTCGGGCCCAGAATTGAAGGTTAATGCAAAAACCATTACCCGGGGGGTAGGGTTGTACGAGTCTTAATAGAGCCAAGACGACAGTAGTATTAAACCGACAGGACCCAGAGCTTTAGGGTTTAGGGGTTTCGGGCTAAGAGCCCGTAAGTAAACCCTAAACCCTAAACCCCCCAAAAGCGCTAAGCGTTGCAGGTTTAGGGCTTAGGGGTTCAGGCTTGGGCTGTTAAACCGACAGGGCCAGGACTTTAAGGTTTATGGGTTTAGGGCTTAAGGCGTCGGGCTTGGACTTATGGCTTCAGAGGTTAAGTTTGGGGCTGTAGGTAGTCCTAAACCGAAAGGACCAGGACTTCAGGGGTGAGGGGCTAGGAGTTTAGGGCTTTGGGGCTTTAGGCGTATCTACATGGTTGTCTCTATTTCTAAGCCGTAGGCCCCTTCCGGATTCGATATGTTTGCGAGGGAGCCTTAAGCTCTAAACATTATTCCTCGGCAACCGTTAGCTCACGGTTTAGGGTTGGGGGGTTCAGGGTTTAGGGTTTAGGGGTCGCCCCCACGAAAAAAAAACAGACTGTTGGCCTAGCGCGGCTCCACCAAGCCCACAACTGGGCTCGAACCTGGAACATCGACTGTACAACCGTTTAGGAACAAAGCTTGTGCATACAGCCCCTATGGAACCCTGTTACAAGCAAAGAAACAGCTTAAGCCTTCACACGGAAGTTTACCCCCTCACTCATGGCGTTGCATATCAATCAGAGACCTCCGAAACCGTGCCGAAACCCTAAAGCCCTAAAGCCTAAACCCCGTAAACCCTATTAAAGCCCACAAGCCGGAAATCCCTAAACCCCAAAACACCCTGAGAGACTGCAACATTATGCGTGATTTAGCCCGAAACCGCAAGCATCTGCACAACCCCAAAAACCTGCAAGCGCAGCAGTTGCCGTGGACGTTTATTAGAGCCTAAGCACCCATGGGCAAGGACCATTAAGGCTCTGCTAAAGGGTACTTTGCGGGGTGCTGGTAAACCCATGCTAGAGCCATGGAACCAAACTGGAGCATTCGTCAAATCCCGACGACGGCCCGAAGGCGTGGGTTTGTCTCTTTGGGGCTTTGGGCTCACGGTTCAGGGGGTTTGGGGTTTAGGGGTTTTAGGGGTTTAGGGATTTCTTGGCTTGTGGGCTTTAATAGGGTTTATAGTAGGGTCTAGGCTTGAGGCCTTTAGGGTTTAGGGTTTAGGGTTTGGGTTTGGGGGTTTCGGTTTCAGGGATGAACTTCGTTCTTCTGTTGGGGATCACCTCAAGCGCGAGGTGTCTCCGTCGTTGTCGCCTGTCTTTCCCCGGCACGATACCAAAACGGCACCTGTGCACGCTTACAGAGCTAGGGACGGAGAGTGGGTCAACATTTTTCTGTTGGTGTTACAAGTTGTCGCTTCGATGGCAAGGTTTCATAGGTAACAGGGCTGACATGTGGTTAGCTCCTCTTCAATTGACGCAGGTCCATGTGGCAACCTACCCCTAAACCCTAAACCCTAAACCCAGCATCTACTTGGTTGTATAATGGACCTGACAACGAGGCAGGCCCAAGTTGGTTAACGTGGGTCCAGAGATCCCGAACCCTCAGCATCGCACTTGGACGGTCATGGGACTTAGTAAGTATGGTTATAAGTACCTTAATTGGGGTTATAAGTAATTATAAGTACAGTTACCTTAATTATAAGCCTAGTTACTAAGTCCCATGATCCTCTAAGCACCATCAATTCCTAGCTACACTGGGACCGAGGCTTCGGGTTTTGGCATCTCCACGCGCCCAAACTCAACATCCGGAACCCAAAGCCCGGAACTCCAGAACCCTAAGCCCTAGTATAGGGGCCGAAATCATTACCAATACTATTTTGGGGGTTCCTCGTCATAGCTACAGTATAATGGGGCCCCAATAATTACCCTGTTCTGATTATTAAGGCCCCTATAGTATAGTACCCTTATAGCAATTATCCCTTATAGTAGCACTTATAGACCCCGTTCAAAAGGAACCCCTATTCTAATTATTAAGGCCCCGTTTCTTTTCAGCCCGTATCTCTGCGGGGAGGCCTGCTGCGTCACTGGAGCCGACTACGAAGCCACGGCTGGGGTCGAGTGTGCTAGGCAGAGCTGGGCTTGCGGAGATACGGCTGATGATACAAATCCTGCATTACCTAGAGGACCCTAAACTATAGCAATTATGGTATAGTCCCTATTATGGGTAATGCAGGATTTCTATCATCAACAGTAGTGTTTAGGGTTTAGGGAGGCAGCGTAGGCCTTGATGTCTTAATATACGGGCCTGGAAATTGCCTTTTTCCATTTTGGGGGTTCCTAATTTATCGTGTGCTGGGCCTCCGAAGACCTCAACACAACTACTGCCAAATCCCAAGCTACAGCGACCTCGAAATCCCATACCCAATACTGGTCATATACGCTGATAAAGCCAATTCCTAAACCTCAGTTCCCACACCCTTCGGGTTGTTCATGAACGAACCCTTGCAAGACCCCTTTGACAGAGTCCTCGAACATCTCTCTGAAGGACACCGAAACCCTAATTTTTTTAAATGCTAAGCCCTTTAAAGGAGCCCTTTCAAGAACCTTATGAATCCTTGACAGGAACCGTAAAGGAACCGTCTAGTCCCCTTAGAGGAGCCCTTGCAAAAGGTTCCGTACTAAGATTAAGAAAGAATTACGTGGTCCACAAACCGCAGAAGGACAAATGTTGATTCCTTTGCCCACAGCCGCTGCAGCTTGCTCTTGGCATCTCTGTGTCACCGAATGTTAGCGATTTAGAGACTAGAGTCACTAGAGACCGTGCTAATCTGACTTGTAGGCCGTATCAGCGACCTGTACCAACAGTTCTGTAGGACCATTCTTGGTATAGGATTGTTGTCGGGCTTCTGTCACTTCCCAAGAGGCCATGGCATGTCCCAGCGAAGTTGCGCCAGAGCTGCTCGACAGCCACGAAAACCCTGTCGTTGCCCGCTTGGTCAGCAGAGTGGCCAGCATGGAACCTGTCGACAAAAGCATCCTCAGAGCGACTCCCGCTTGGCAAGTGCTACAATCCTTCGGTGCTGCCTTGCGGTGGACCAACCAGGATTTGTATGAACGGAGCTTCCCAGTGAAGTTGATCAAAGTTTTTTGGAGCCACAGCTGGCATGGCAACAACTACATGAAGAGGCTGCTGTTGCTTTTGCTGTACAACGGGCCTGCTGCAGCAATTACTGCCACCATCTCAGCTCTGTTGGTGATGTGGTTGCAGATTGCGGGGTTACTTCCTGGCATCCTAAGAGTTACTGGGCCTCGGAGTATCATACTTCAATTTTGTCTGGGACCTGTTTGTTAATTGAAGGGAACCATCAATCTATATTTTGTCTCCACGGTTACTTCAAACCCCAGGTTTCCAGGACGCCGCTCGATCGAGGAATGGAGCTGGTGTTTTTTCCGTGGTGTACGCTGACGGCAGGGTTTGTCTTCGTGGTCGTGCTTCTGATATGGAATTCGAGGGTCTTGATCTTCCTTGACCAGGTATGTATCAATCAGAGGGATGCAGAGCAAAAGGCCAAGGGAATTATGAGCATTGGCGCCTTCCTCAAGTACTCCGAGCAGTTTTTGCTTGTTTGGGATAGCACTTATGCTGGGCGCCTATGGTGCCTGCTAGAGCTTGCAGCATTCCTGACAAGTCATCAACAGCCCGAGAAGAAAGTTACTATCAGACTGACAGCCATGGCCCCCTGCATCTTGGGCGTTGGATTTGCCCTCTGGGCTTCGATGATACATTTCATTTTGTCTAGCGAGCAAACTCCTCTGGACACCCTGGTGCTTCTGCTGACACGGTGGTTCTTTCTATACGTTACCGCATCGTACCTGCGTGAGCACTACCGAAGCACGGAGATTCTGCTCAAGCAGCTTTCTGACTTCACAGTTCAAGGTGCCCGTTGTCATTGCTGCAACGATGGAGAGATTTGTACTGCCAGTGTCTGTGATCGTGCAATCATAGATCGATGCCTTCAAATATGGTATGGGTCTGTCGAGGCCTTCGAGGTGACTGTAAGGACGCGTGTCAAAGCCATGCTATACCGCCAATTGGGTGGATTGTTGTTTCCGTATGGTTGGCAAGTCATTGGTTCCTTGCCTCTCTTTTGGGGCTTTGCAGATATCATCGCAGCTCGCGGACGTATCGGAAACTGGAACGTGGCGGGAATCTTCTTCCTGGGTGCTCTCACTTGGTGTTTCTTTCTGTTTCCGTTCATCTTCCAAGCGACACTGCTTTTGGCGGGTTATTTTCGCCAGCAGCAGAGCCACGTCTGGCTGGACAGGCTGAAAAGCGCTGCCGTGGCATTTGTGCTGACTGCACTATCTTTTGTCTTTCTGTGGACATCGAGTCTTATGCCTGATGTCTTCTC